TCGCTCCTCCAGGACCCAGCATCGGAGGAGGGTGCCCTCGTTGCGGTAATTGCAAGACCAAGGACCCCTCATTTAGCCAGAAAAGAGCCTCCCCCATAATCCAAATGGGACAGAACGTGGGGGCGTCGTGTCACCACAACCATCCGAAGCTCTGGTCCTAGGATATCGCCATCAAGCCACCAAGTCTCTCATTGGCGTCGCAATACCTGTGATCTTCAAGCGGCGCCACATCCTCTATTGCCTCTCCACGCAGTAGCGCCAGGTCCGCAATTGCATGCGATAACCCCAGGTGCCACGGGCGCCCAGCTGGCCAGATTGTCGGTCCGGCGTTGAACTGCCTTTCCAGTTCAAACTTCCCTCTATCCAGGTGCCTACTCCGTGAGGTCCCTCGGGCTGCGAGGTGCGCTAAGCTCGATTCGGGAATTCCGGGGGAGACCCTTTTGACCAAAGATTTGGGGTGCCCAGTGCTGTGAGATCTCTCATCCCCAGATTCTTCTCCTCACCGGTGGATTGCTTGATTTTCGTCGGACGAGAGGCTCCGAGCCCGCGAGCTATGTCGTAAAGCATGCTCCGGTACGCCCAACATGGGCATTGCTATCGCGATATACCCGTGTGTAAACCGAGTCAGGCTGTTGGTCCTCGGGGCGCCTAGGCACTCTGTGATGGCATGGGTCGATAGAATGAAGTGATTCGTTTGATGGAAACAAATGTGTTTGGCAATGGAAAACAGCCATGGAGTCGACACCTCCACTATTGGATTTGTCAAACAGTTCCAATGCCCCCATTGCTCTAGGAGTCCAGAGTCCAGAGTCCAGAAATCTGTCGAATTTCTTCTCCCGCTACACACACCTCTTTCCCGCCCCCGGACTTCTCCACGTCTAGATCTGGCTGGCCGGTACGTCTGATTGCTGCACTACTCGTATTTTCAGGGATGGCAAGATATCTAGTCGCAGACAGGTCCACGGACGCCAAACCAGGCCCTCTTTGGCTAATTGGTTAGTCGTGCAGGATGCCGAATGTCGTGTATTAATCCGTTCATTTTGACGAGCAATGATAGCAGACTAGCGAATGGAAGTTGTCCAATCTACAAACCAGGGTGGTCTGTCGAGTCGTGACTTTCTCAGGGGTATCAGAAGAACGGGAAGGCGCCAATCTGGAGTCGGGTATCAGCTAGTTGGAAGTCGACTCTGCCTGCGGCTCTTTGCTTCGTCCCCTTCCCCAGCGTACCCAGCAAAGAGATAAAGCTTGTGCAGTGGACAGATAGCTTTCACGGCTATCCTTGTCGATGTCGAGACCACAATCGAATTGATATGGTTTGCTCGTGAGTTTCCTCTGAACATGTCGCCGAGGCTCGCCCGCAACTTAACATGGACTCTTGTCTTTGACTTAGGAAAAGCTTCCACATCTCGACCGCGATTGGAAAATGACCACTTCGATTTGCACATGTATCTGCATAGCTTACGCCGCCCTCCGGCCGAATTGAGACGCAATTGTGACATGCGGAGAATCATACGCTCATCGCATGATTGTGGAGGCTTTCACCAAGTATGTTCGAAATTTCCGATGGATCTCGCGGGGCTGCGACGACAAACTTGCATACCGCGCATGTACACTACCGTATACGCGGGGGTTGCGAGACCTCTACATTCTCAGCAGCGGCAACAATAGCAATAATGCATAGTCCTGGGGCTTGAGGTACGTTTTGCTTTGTACGGATATCGTGCTGTTGTATGAGACAGGCCCGTTGTTGTTCGCGCGGGGAGAACCCCGCTGGCTGGTTCGCTGTTTCCACCGCGGGCGGACGCCCTCACTCTCACTTGGGCGTTTCTGTTGTTGCTTCACAAACCTCCGTGTCTCGCTTGGACCGGGTTCATGACGGCTGAAAGATAAGACCTGAGAGTCCAGAGTCCGGGGCTATGAACTCAAAGAGTGCACTGGTTGAAAACTCTGGACAAGCGTCGGAATGACTGGCTCTTGTAAGACTTCGCAATGCCGCCAGCGGGCGCATTATCGCTCAATTTTCTCGGGGGAACTGTGGGCTTCCGCAGTTGTCCTCAGAGTCGATTGCGAGACTCGCCCAGCATGAGTCAGTTGTTGCTTCCTGCGTTCGACGGTCGAGCGGAAATGAACCGAGCTCTTCAGAGACAGATTGGATCTGCCCATGCTTCCCCAGACTCCCCTTCACTTTGAGCATCCCCGCAAAGTACTTGGAGAGGCCAAGGCGGTAGCTCTTGAAGCTAGAATCCAAGGGCCAAGGGTCGTACCGGTATCATGTGCTTTCTGCCTTGGGTGAAGATTGACCCGAGTTTCTTTGCCGGGACACGCCCATGTTTGAAACCAGCTTCCTGAAAAGGGCAATATCTGAAGGCGTGGGAATGAGCCGGGGATGGCGCTTCACTAGGGGGCTGATATACAGGGTAGGTATGTAGGTAAGTGTGGGGAGAGAAGGGAGCACGCCCAGAGGTGTGAATGTCGAACATGGTGTGTTGATACGGTTCCGAGTCCCAGTTTTCTGAGGGAGGTCGAGATCCCGAGATTCCCCGAAAGCACAAGCAAACAATCAAGCCAACTGCTCATACCATGAAGCAGAGGTTTGGTTTGTTAATAGTTGGCGGCATGTGAGTGGCGCTTATGAAATCTCTGTTGTGTCCTAGATGCCTTAGGTAAGACGCAAACAGACGAATTGACGGCACTGAGAGTCATTCAACGGGACATCGCCCAGAAGATTTTAAGCCCTGGATGTTTGGAACGCTTGCCCCTCGTTCCTGTCACATGTGAAAGATAAGCAGATAGAGGGGATACCCCAGAAGAAATCTGTCCCCTTTCGCGAGAGAACAAACCTTAGCATGATGTCAGCGGTAAAGCTTGGAACCGCATTCAGCAAGTTGGAGAAACGGTAACATTCTTCCACATGTTAATTCTGGAGAAGCGCGTACCTTGCATCGCACATGCGGAGGTGAAAGGGTCTGGCCAGAATTGCCGTTCGAAATTGAGAGTTTGTTGGTGGCTGTTAGCCGCACCTATAAGCGGGCGACTCCAAGCAATCTGAAGCGCCGCAGACTTGTAGCCCGAGCCCCAATATCGTCTCTCCACAAAATCTGTGTAATGTAAACCGCGGATGAGAGAAACTCCGCCTGCCCTCCACGATCGACCCCAGGTCTCTTCACCTCGTGACGGGTGACCCTAGCAGCCACCGAGGGTCCTCATTAGCAATTTACCCCGGCCTGCAAGATGAACGACATGTGTGCGGTGCCAACGCCAGCGAAGGAGTGAGGATTCATTGCCTCTGGGCCCTGGGAGATAACGTGATCCGTCGACCCGAGCTCGGATATCGGGAAAGAAGAAGAGGTATAGGTAGTGTGGCTTACACTTCCACCTATGGCCCTTAGGCTGTGGGCATTGGCAGATAAGGCGGTACGCTCTCCTAGTACGGAGTAGTAGTACATACCATCATGCTTGACAGTTGGCAGCACCGTCGCCAGGTAGACCCTTGAACTCTATTGCATTGAGAAGTGTTGAGGCTCAGGCCCTAGGGCAATGTAAGGCACCTCGGGCCCTCGCTGTCGGGTATGTAGGACACATCTCTGATCTCCGCAAGGATCCTGCTGTGCATTCGTGAGAAGCCCGGCTTTTCTGTGGATAGCCGTTCCGATTTCCGACCCGAGCAATGCCTATTCAACCGGTCAGTACGTAGTACGGAGTAAGATTTCGGGTATGCGTACAAATACGAAGACTAGCTTTCCACTTCGCCGCCCGACTTACACGTAGTTGCGTTCTAGGAACCTGAATACTTGGGGTTGGCCCCAAGCCGGAAATCTCCTCACCTTGAGCCTGTCAAACCCCACAAACCCCAGGTTGGATCATGCCGTGATAGATGAAGGTTAACCCGAGTTATTGAGCATAATTGAGCCAAAGCGATTGGGGGCGCTTTCCGGGGCATTTTCCCCGAACGAGTGCTACCATCAGCAGCGTTCTAGTCAACCCTTCTCATATTCAGGCACAGTGCCTGCCGGCAGGAGTAAATGTCGATACCAGGATCGAATATGGTCCGGTAGGTGAAACCACGAGTGAAGAGAATCGAGCGCTAGGGTTACAGGCAACAACGAGTCTGAGGTAATGCCAGACCAGAGAGCCCAAGCTCGCTAGACTCATAGGTCTGTAAAGATGTGAAACCGGAGGGGTCCTAGAATGTTCCGAGTCGCTGTGAAAATAGACTCGCGAAGCCGTCGATGAGGAATCGAGGGAACTGCATACACAAAACGGCACGCTCGAGCAATGGACCCTGGCGGCCACGTTCCACCCGTTTGGCCCGGAAACACTGCCGTCAGTGCTGGAAATTCTTGTCGTCCGAAACTTGGCCAAGGCCCCGGAAAGGTCCTGAACGTTCCGGATGGTCGGTACCAGAAGGCTGCAAAAGCTGAGGCGGCTCGAATTAGACGTCTTGTCTGACTGAGTAGCATCGACGGACTCAGGCGGCCACATAGAATTCCCAATGGAAGGTATCTTGTGCCAATCTTTCCCATGGTTGGTACATGTTTCAGAAGGAAAAAAAAAAAGAGGTGCAGAAACCGCAATAATTCTGGAAGTGTCGGTGCTTGATTGGAGCTGCTGGTCTGGCGGTCAAAGTCTTGAGGTTGGATGCGACTCGGTACGTCTACTCGACTGTGGTATGAGGATCGCAGCGCAGCTCCTCATCGCAACGATGGAGGTTGGTCTTTTGTTCTTTGGAGTTGAGTTTGGGTTGAAGTTGAAAAATACCAAAAGATGATGTAAGATATCTTGACATAACGCAGGTAGACCTTAAGGTAGGCAACCTGTCATCGCACAGCTAGAAGGTGCGCAGGTTCCCTCAGCCACATGACTGCCTGCCACGAGTGTGGCTGATGACCTCATCTCCAATACGTGTGAGGTTGAACGACTCGTACTGTGCAACTTTTTCAACTTCACGTCTTCAATCGGGACTTATCAAACCCCATCAAGCAAGTTTTGAGGTCCTAGCAATGGAGAAATACCACTCCATTCATCAGGAGGATATCTCTAGCTTCGACCTCCCTTCCACACGCATGTATGACCCCGTCCTCCAACCATCACAGCTCCTAACAGAGTGCAGATCGATTGCCTACAGTGTCCGCCGCTGACGCACTGGAAGAATTAGATGGCGGTGTCGCTAGATATGTCTCTACTGGTATTGAACGACTAGATGGGGCTCTCATATCCTCTTCATCTCTTCAGACACCAGATACGATAAGCGGGGGAGGCCTCCAGAGAGGACAGGTCACGGAAATTTGGGGACCACCAGGCTCAGGCAAGACTGCCGTAGGGTGAGTTACCATTATGCTGTTCTGCAGACGACGCCATGTAGTCATGACTGACCCATCAGCAAAGTATTCAACTGGTCGCCAATGCGCTATGCGAGGGGCATGGCGCTGTGTGGGTAGGTCGGTTCATCTAATACTACCATGCACGGGAAGACGACGACGAGACTGACACACATATCAAAGATTGTGCGTATTCAGTTTGCGGTCATCGACTGAACGCGGTGATCGAGGCAGTGGAATCAACTCGGTCGTCTAGAGACACCGAAGCGGCGAAATCGGCCACGGATCAATTTGCACACTATAGCTGCCCTAGCCTGCCTCACCTGATAGCACTTCTCTGCCGTCCTACGGCGGCGACAGTGCCGGCGAATTCGTCTGTGGTTGTGATAGACTCCTTATCAGCTTTGGTGAATCACGCTTTTCCTAAAGCGCCCGACGGTAGGAAAGATCAGTCGCGCGGTAAAGGTCAGTTGTCCTGGACCAGATCGAAGTTGTCTACTCATGTTTTGCAGGTCCAGGTCTATCAGCGAAGCGGCTGCAAGCTTTGCAGTATATCACCAGTGCCCTACAGAAACTAGCAGCAACACGCGACTGCGCAGTGGTGGTCCTGTCGCAATGTGCAACCAAGATGCAGTTAGAACGGAGCGCGACATTGATTCCATCCATTAATGCTGGGGTATGGGAACAGGGCATGTCGACGCGGGTCGTGCTGTTCAGAGACTGGGTATGGAAGGAAGAGCGACCGTGGTCTGTATGCTTCGCCGGCGTGCAGAAGCTAGACGGCAAGGCTGGGCCGGACATGATGCAGAGCGCAGCGGCGTTTAGAGTTGAGGCGGTCAGTATTTTCGTTGGGCAGTCACGATTCCGGCATAATTTCGCAAAAGCGGAGTTTCCAAGGCAAGAGGTTATGTGGTTTGCTGACATGGCTCGTTATCGTGACAGACGGGCTTGGTTGGCGTGCAGTACGACACTAGCCAACCATCGGTGTTCCTTCCAACAGCTCCACGAGCGAAACGCAAGCTGGCAGAGGCTGGCCTCGAGGTGCCCGATAGCGAGGAAGATGACGAAGAATACGGATGGGCACGAGAAGATGAGTCGGCGCTTCCCGGCCCGCCGCCGCAGTGGCAAGGCAGCGAAGACATCCTCCTGGGGACCCAGGCGGCCGAAAGCGAGGATGACGGGGGTAGCAACGGAGACGGCCACGGCGATGGCGGCGACGGTGATGACGAAGACGACGAGGCAGAAGATGTGGGTGAGGCAGCGACTAGCGGCCGAGATAACCAGGTTTTGGCCGAGTAGTAAAGAGGGATGGCGGAGAAAGGACCACGGTGGAAAATTTCCGGGTGAAGGACCGGAGCTTGGCCGACAGATAGGACGAGCATGAATCGATAATACGGTACGGAATGTGGTTCCTTGACGGCCTTCCCCTTGGCAGCCCTGGCAAAATCTCAGCCTAGGCTGCCCAGCCCCAGACTTTGACCAATTTGGAGACTTGGTCGTGAAGAAAATAAACCCAGCCAGGAGCCAATTCCGAGACTGACGGAGTGTGTCATGTTACGAATACTCAAGCTTCACAGTTGAGGGTGAGGCGAGAGGAAAAAGACAGAGGAAGGAAAAACTAGTGCAACTCCACCAAATATGACGGACGACCCGCCACAGGTAGAGATTCAGCGGTTAAGGACCGATAAGAAGCAGTGGTCGGTCCAGAGCCGGGTCCACCGAGAGCATGAAAAGCCCATCGTCACCATCGGCCAAATGTCGGCTTGACGCGGACCGCTTGGAAGCACCAGCTCAGAGACACTTCCAGGGCTCAGGGGCAGAGATGGGGATAATAGGCCGTGGCTCGTCCGGGGCCCCGACCCCGACCTGGGCATCGTGGGGCCCACATGTTTGGTTGAGCCGCAGTGGCTGCGGTGCGGTAGCGCTCTTTGGGAGGTCGCAAGGAGACCCAGAGTGAGTTTGGGAGTGCGGAATGAGATAGAGCTGGCCGGCTAGGGAGTAGTGTGTGAGATCTAAGTGAGTGGGTGAGTGAGTTTAGTGAGTGAGCGAGCGAATGAGTCTAGATGAGTGTGTGTTGTCATAGTGCTCCGGGCAAGTCCGGATGCAGCTGGCTCACCAAGGGGGAAGAGGGAGAAGTAAAAAAAAAAAAAAAAAGAGGACCATGATGGCTGAGGTGAGAAGGTGAGGTGGAGGGAGCCATCGGCTTACTCATCGGGGAGCGCGACTTTTCACTCTGAGATTCAGGATACTTATTTTTGCTGGGGAGGAGAGTGACGGGTTTTCGTGGGGGAATCTTTTTCTCCCGCCCCTTGAGAGCCCCGTTTCTTCTCGAAGGAAAAAATGGCGTCAGATCGAGGGACCCCACACGCTCTGCAGCGCCGGGCTCTGCAGTCCGCGGACACACTGCTCCCTCGAAGCTCGTGGAGGTATTTTGGTACCCTGTGCACATTGGTCAAAGAGGTGGGTGCCAAGGTGTGCGCGCTGTTTGCTTGCGCTGGTTGGGCACTTCTGCAGGGCTCAGCTATGCGCCAAGTACTGCCAGGTTCCCCATGAGCGCTGGCCTTCAGGGGGAAGGTTACGGTGCCTATCCGCCGTACCATTGATATTCAGGGTATTGACAGATGCACACAGGCTTGAGAGCTGGATTTCGGCGGGTCTCCTATCGGCCCTTGGACTCAGTGCTATTGGAAAGGTAAAGTATTCGCACCAGGATTGTCACACAGGGTAGATTCCACATCGCTGGCTCTCGTCCCTTGCGTGGGTGTGCAGTATTGACGAGATGCCAAGCAAAACGGCCCTGAGCGGGCATGGCGGGAGGGCCAGGCACAGAGCCTACACAAGTATTTCTGGAGAAGGAGTGACTTTCGAGATTTTGTGGTAAACTCGAGTAAGGTCTTTTCCCCCGGTCGCATTCCGCTTTCGCGACCATCTCGCGCTCCGTCAGAGCCTCTGGAGTAAAGTGTCCAGTAGGTACGGAGTAGGTATCTGAGGCGCCCCAGATCTTTCGAGCACGTTTTGCTAGGTCCACGCCCCCTTTCCTGGTCCATCCCGTCCACAGCAGAAGGTACCTACCCTGCTTCCTGGTCCCTACAATGAACAAGTCACAGCCCTGCGACGGGTGATCCCCTGTCTTCCTTACCGTACTACTTTTTTTTCCCTCTCGCGCTGGCAGGTGAAAATTCCCTCTCTGGAGACTGGAGTTCTGGAGTCTGAGGTACCTCATTTTTTTTTTTTAACCCTCTGGTCTATTTTTCAGCCTCTTGATTTTTTTAATGCCGCTGCGGATCCGCACCTAGTGTACCTTGCTTATCGACTCCAGACCGAAGTAGCCTCCTTCTCCACCCAATTAGGGTGACATAAGCCAGTGGGTCTCTTCCCCGTCTGGGACCACTGGCATCAAGCATTGGGCATTGGCATTGGTATTGGACCTGGCTTTTGTGAAGTTATTCCCACATGGCCCGGGCTGCAGCTCACGTATATTGTACGTACATCTTTCATTTATTATTCTCCGGCAGGCTCAGCAGGGTTTACCTTCACTAGGTATCGAGCCCGCACCGAAAATCTGCATTGGTTTGTTAGGTGTTGGTCAATCCTGCAACTTACGGACCGACTGAGATTTTTTTGGGGGGTACTTGTCTCTGGGTGATGATGCCATTTCTACCCTTGGCTCTCACGCAATTATTCACAGTAATTCGCTCTTCGAGCCAAACGCGGTAGTCCACAGCAAATAAGCGATCGAGCAATTGGATAATTCTGGAGGGCAGGTATAAGTTGCGTAAAGACTTGTCGCAATTGTGTATTGCACTCATGGCATTCATGGCATTGCTCCAATGCAAGATGGCATACTTGTACAATACATCCCATGGGTCCTCTGCGGTTGCATCACTGCTGGATTCAGTCACAAACTTGAACCGAAGCAAAAACCTGGCATCAATGGGACGTTGAACTTTGAACAGACGGTCAAAATTGCACCTCGCGAGCCGCAAGTAATTCCCGCGTTCCCCGCCCTTTTGCCCCAGCCAGTCTTCCCCTTCTCCGCTTGTTTTCTTTGCTCGTACGAATACAACATTGGAGTCCTAGGCGCCATATTCCATCTTACGATCTTGCCGAAAATCGAGACATCAATCGCCAGGTAGCCCATCCAGATCCTAGGTCAACACCCACAGCCCCCAATGCAACGAGGTTCCGGCTTCAAGGTAGAATAGTAGGTGCGCCTATTCGTATAGAGGAGCAAATCCCAACCAAACTACTGCACAATGCCGTCCCTCCCCTCCCCTTCCGCCGCCGCCGCCGCCGCAGCACCCCCCTTCCCCGGTCGGCTGAGCCAAGCCGAGGTCCTATCGGCTGACGCCGGGGAGAAGGAAGCAGGAGAAATCCCAAGTTGCGACCCGCCTGAAACTATGTTTCTATCCATCATCAGCCGATGTTTCCTTATCTGTGTGTGATGTATGATGTATCTTCTAACCGCACCAGACAGCGGAACCGCTCTGTAGTATGTCACAAACAAGCCAAGCGGCGGCATTATCTAGGCGTAAAAAGGAAGAGGGAGGTCTAGATTGGGTGATCTGGTCTGGGGGAGCAGATCGACCGTGCCACTGGTGCCCTTTCCCCTCCGTTCTTCTTTCTCCGCATCGAGGAAGTCACATATTTGATATGACATCGTCGATGGCAACCACCACCATCATGACCACCATCGTAAGCACCATCTGCAATCGATCACGGCCAAGATCCACGTATTGTCCTTTTGCTTCTGCAGCCATAGGCTCACGCCGTCACAAGTAATGAAGCGATCAAAATGTAATTACAGACCTTCTGCTCCGGCGGAGGAAATCGGAGCCACGGCACTGTTGCGTGTACAATATGCAACGCGAAGCAGGTGCTTGCGCCTCTTCAAGCAAGCAGAACGCGTATCTCAGCCTCTCTGAGCCTCTAGCGAAACTGCAGTCACAACTGGGCGAGCGACCTTCAGCGGGAGAAGCTACTGCACAGATCGCCCATTCGCCGCGGGTCACGCATATACCGATGCAACCGCGGGGGAGGCAGATGGTGGTAAAGGCCTCTCTTTCATTTTCTCCTGCATAGCTATTCGTGCCTATCAGAGCCCGCGGACGGGAACGGGTCAGCATGCGCGGTCCCGGATTTTCGTGGTCCTGCAGAAACGGCCTCGTTACCAGCCCACTTGGAGACGTGACTCCATACGAATATAGCGCGCAGCAAGCAATCAGGACTCGAGGAGCGGAGGGTGACATCAAGGGACTTGAGACGATTCCTGCTGCAGGACCGTAGGCGCCTCCCGCTCCTTGGTCAGCCCACAACGCCGCTTAATCGTGCGGACGTCGTCTAACACTGGCTCCATGTTTCCCGGCTCTCCGCGGCGGCGGCGGCGGCGAAGACGAACAACTACCACCGTCCACAGCCCAAGATAGTAGCCCCCAAAGAGCAAGAGCCGCGAGAATCAGACCTGAGGGGCAATGACATAGCAAAGACAGGACTAAGCACCGAGTTCGACTGTAGGTCCCCGGGTTCTGGTCTTCATTGGCGGGAGCCGCAATGTGACAACGCCCGCAACTCTGCAACAGGACCTCGTTCTAGACCCTCCCATGTTGCTATGCATCGATGGGCAGCATTGCTTGACTTGACTTAACCTACAAGGTCGGCTCGTTCCTTGTCTCTCTATCACACGATTTAGGCTGTTTAGGTATCGATATATGCGTTGCGCCTCTGCTTGATGCCCACGAAGTCTTTGACAACATTGCCTCCTCGTTCGTTGTTGTCTCCGCAGTTTGGCTCTGTGGCACCCCCGCCTGGAGTCGTTCGATGGCCCCAGTGCCACCTACCTCCCCCACACCGCCGCTCCCGCTGGCCCGCGTTGCCGCGACCACTGCCGAGATCTTCATGTGCGGGTTATGTTTCTAGATTGGGTGTGTGTTTTGTTTTTGAGCTACTCTGAGTACTCACCAGTGGTTTGATCTAAGAGAAGGGGAGAGTTCAAGGACTACCCAGACCTATGAGAGTATGTGGTGTGAGTGTATGATGAGAATAACACAACAGGAAAGAGACAACGGAAACAGTAACCCGTATTTAGGATAAATGGACAGACTTGCTTGCGTAACAGTAGGATGAGTAGAGTTGCAAACCTTGCAGCGGATGACTTGCAGCCATCATGCACACATCCCGCTTCCCCGCCCGCCCGTCAACACATCCTCAGGTTACTTTCTCCCCCCTACTCCCAAGAGTCCCTTCCTCCTATCGCCGTCGGGGCAGCTCGCTCAGTGCTCGGCGAGACCGGGAGAGAGGGGGAGAGATGTCTTCTCTTCTCTTACCGAAACTGGATTCTAATGCTGGGTGCGTTTGCTCATTTGCACATCTCGGCTGCTTGTGGCTTGAATTCCCCCCTCCTCTCTCGGATTATCGTCCTGCATATGCGGGGGGCAATGAGATTCTAGACCGCCGTTTCCCGTGATACTGAAAGGCGGCAAATATACAATAGCAATGGCTATAGCTGAAGTCGCAACTACAACATTCTTTCCGGCCCGAAAGGCATGGGTCCAGTTGCAGGTGTAACCGCGGGCTCCTCTTACAACGGGGATCACGACAAACGTCGGAATGCGAAGATGGTCGACCGTTTTCCTTGATCATTTGGGTTTCTCGGAAGCTTTCGCACAGAGTACGAACATACAGGGCACAATCTGTCTTTCGCACATATTACCCAGAAGGAATTCCGTCGACATTTCAAATGAAAAAGTAACCGAGGGTATTCAGAAAGTCGAGCCTGTTTTTCTGAACGGCAACGGCAGGTATGCTCGGCTGCTGTATCCCTCCTTTGGCGACTCATAGAAGGGGGCGTGCGCATATCGAAACCAACGGATTTTTTTTTTGCTTTCTTCCAGTTTGGATCGAAAACTTTCAGAGAGTTCGTCGGGACACAGTTTGTCATGTTTCGCCTCGGGAAGTCTACGGTAAGTCGGGAAGAGAGAGAGAGGGCTGGGCGGTGCCGGTGTGGTTGTTGCGGCTCTCTATTCCTCCGCACTTCCAACGGAGGAAACCTTACGTCAGTGCCTTTTTGGCTAGGGTGAAATGTGTCTATCAATACCTTCACATGTCAATTGAACAGCTTTACTTTTTTGCTGATTGCTGTCTCTAACCCCTCCCTTCCCCTTTCACCCCTCCGTTTGCCCCGCAATATTAGAGCTGGCTCATGCTCATGCTCATGCTTCCTTGAAGTGTGCTCATGCTGCATGAAGAACAAATAACAGACTTCCCGACGAAGAAAAGGTCGAGACCTTTTTTCCCGGAATCCCTCGTGGCAGAGGCTCGATTCTCGGCAAGTCAATTGCATGATTGATGGCTCTGCTAGCAATCGGAATGATTGCCATGTGTCGAGGAGAAGCTTTCCTGCTAAGGATATGACGGCATCCCTTCGTTTCGGCCTCGGCGTTGAGATTGGAATTTAGAGAGCATTCATGTGAGGTAGCTAAGCTACGGGTACGGACTTGGGCTTTTATCAACAGTCAATGATACTCATTCCGTTGTCTCTCAAGCACATGTCGACGCCATGTACGCAGTAGTGGCCAGCATGGCACGGGTTCTTATCCATCACAATAGAGACTGTGGGCTGATGATTTCCAAGTCCCTTTCGAGACGCAAGGGTATGATACCATTTTCCTAGCGGGATAACCCAAGCATCACAGCTTCAAATTGGCTCCGGAAGCAGATTCCGGATTGTTCAGGCCGACATACCGCCGTATCGGAAAGGCAGTCAGGAAGTTCCTCCCTCTGTAAGACGGAAGTAACACGTGCTTCCAACCAAGACCGGGGAGGGGCTCCGAACTCTACATCAGAATCGAACGTTGACGTGAGAAGCTTATCAGCCGATGATGTGTTCTGCATGTGAAATGTTTCTCGAGACAGTTTCGTTTTGTAGATTTCATGTACCCAAAATAGGACGACTACGATTGGCCGAACCCTCCCAAAAACCCAAATCGCTCCCAATGCTTGCCAGGGGAGAAAAAACATAGGCCAGACAACCCAGAAGACGCCGTTGATACGCAGTAAGAAAAACGCCATTGCACCGATTACAGCCTCATTCAACGATTTTAACAGACACCACACTTCTCAACCCCACGCTAATGCAAAGAGACCAGAGACCAAAAAGCTCCCAACAATACGGACCATAGTCCTGAAACCACGGGGGGGCGTCATGCCGAGTAACTCGGCGGATTCGGGTCCGCGTATACCATGGTGGCCTTGAGGAAGATGAGCACCTCGTACGCCGCCTTGGCAATGTCGAGCCCCTTCTTCTTCCACTCGGACTCGTACCACAGGTTCTGCAGCATGTTGTCCGCGACGAGCGTGACGATGAAGCGCACGTGATGGTCCTCGGCCGTCCACGCGCTCTTGTCCGGGCGGTAGACGCAGAACTTGGCCTTGCGGCCGTTGAGCGCCTCCCGCGCCGCCTGGGCCGTGCGGATTTTGTCCGGCTCCGGCACGGCGCTGGGACCGGGCGGGAGGCCGCCGGTGGTGGTGGGGCCCGCGGCGGCGACGTCGGCGATGGCGCGGGAGAGGAAGTCTGCGTTGAACTCGTTCCAGGGTCCGCGGACGAAGTTGCTGTCGAGCCAGTCGTGGAACTTTGTGGCGTCTTTGAAGGGGAGGAGCTCGAGGAGGAGGCGCTCGTGCTGGAGGGATACGCGGGAGGAGGAGGAGTAGGAGGCTGGCGGGTTGGCGAGAGCCGGCGTCCGGGCCGGCGATGTGGGCATGGCGGCGACGGTTCCGACGGCGGCGGGTTTGGGGACCATGCGGGGCGTTGGGGGAGGGGAATCGAGGCGTTGGTAGGGGAGTTTTGTGATGGGTGAGGTGGATTGCGTTGTGTGTCTGCGTGGACGTGGGATGCACATTGGAAGAAGACGAAATGCGACTGGCGGGCACCAAGGAACACGAAGTTAAAGAGGCAGGCAAGTGGGTTGGGAAACTTCTAAGCGACTTGGTAGACTGTGGCTGTACAGAGAGTCTGCCTGACCAAGCTCGGGATGGACATCATCACATATATGTCTCTCTTCCAGCCCTACCATTTCTGGGTCGCTACCCACCGAATATGCCTCGCACCAAGGGTCTTTTGTTTTGACGTCAATGTGCCTGTAAACCCCTGCCGTTCCGTCTTACAAGTTGCTGCCTGAGGGAGTTCCCTTTGATATGGACGCATATTGCATCGGAGGCGTGCTGGAGAGATGGCAGAGGGGAATTTGTGAAGTTGTTTCTTTGGGCTTTTGGAGGGGCCTGCCTCTAGGCAACAGAGCTGAAGTGCAGCGCCAGCGAATCAGGAGTGTCTGTGTCAGCCGCGCTGCTCACGGCGCTTACGCGGCCGTGAGGGAGCCAAGCAGTGAGATGCGCAGCACTCGTCTGACCATTTGCATCAGATTAAGCCTGGATTAGAATAGATAGTTCTGAGCGTTGGATTTATGGTGAAGCATGCGCGCCGGGTTTTGGTGCAAGTGCATCGAAGTTTGTGATGGGATTTCAGGCTGCAGCAAGTCTTTGACTGTCTGGTCAGGAACACCAAGGTAGACATTCATACAAGATTACGAGAAAGCTATAGAACATTACTCATTATGAGAGAAATGATGTATAACGGATGTACAGTTTTTTGGACCTGCTATTAGTAGATCTACCCAACTATTGCATCCGGCTGGAAGAGGCACATGTGGACATCTCTGTCGACGAAACTGGTCATGCCATGTCTAGTCTTCTCGAAGACCAGCCCCTTTGAATGAAGGATCATGTTTGCAATAAAAAATTCTTTCGGGTGACGGTGCTCATTGCCAGGCTCGGTGCCTTATTCAATTGAGCAACGACTTCACTACTCTTCAGAACCCGCAGACAGCAAATTCACAGTACAAGCCTGATCTCATACACAATCATCTTAACATAACAGTATTTACCCATGAAATATTCACCTTTAGATCATGGGGATACCATTAAGTGTTCCTAACAATAGCCTGTTTCTCCAAGTAGGTAGTCTTCGTTCATTATTTGAGAAAGATGAATGCTCCTTTTATACTACCTAGTCAAGTTGATAACAAACCCATAGGTCTCAAAGGAGCCAGAGACCCTCTTACTCAATCCAATATGCTCGCCGTGCCTTAGATCAATTACTTGAGGCTTAAAGGGTGATATAGCCATCAAAAAGGGGCCGATCCGCGGTTCGAACGCGGGACTCTTGCAGATAATTCATTGAATCCAAAGCAAGGATCTTACCACTTGACCAATCGGCCTGTCTGTTGATGTCTTCTTGATGGAATAGCTGCAATTGGATTCGGAATAAGGTTGATTGACTTGTGGTTGGGATGAGGTTGAAGATGTGAGGTAAAAGGCTGGGTGTGGGCGGTGTGTTGAGTCACCCGGCAAGCGAGCATGAAAGGGCCTCACCTGAACCCACGGCAGGGAAAGACGGTTACGAGGTAATCTAGGTGCCTTAGGTATGCACCTGAGAGGTCTCGAGGTAGTCTTCTGGCAAACAATCACAATTTTCTTCAATCCCTTCCGTGAAAGTAAAGCTAGCAAGTCAATTTATAGAAGATGTTCCTCCCAAGCAGTCGGTCGTCATCATCATCCCTGGCTGTCCCTTGGCAAGTGTACCAAAGACGCAATTGAGGTTCTTTCCAGTTATGACAATGCTTATTGCCGTTCTAGTGAATGCCGTCCTCGTGAACGAGCCGCAATCGGCAAGAACACAGTCGGTTGAGGGAAGGTGATGTCGAGTTGTGCTTACCGATGAACGTTGACATACGAGGGCAGCTGGAAGGAACGCCGGCCAACACCTTCCCAGACATGGAACCTGCTGTTTCCAACGTTCCCACGGTGAAGATATTCCGTACAATTTCAACCTGTCCTCCTCCATCACCCTAGGTTCTCTTTGTCGAGTCGCGGCTGTGTCTCTAGACCGTTGTCTCGCAACCCAACTTTCTCTGCGAAGGCATTCTGTAAGTCTTTCTAATCAATGATGATTTGTAACAGAGCTAGACTGACTCTTTTTAGAGGCCAGTAGCTGCATCGGATCCTCTTCAATTCTTCATTCACCTCTCCTTCGCACCACCTAGACTACAGTCATGCGAGAACTCCCTCCTCTGCAGCTCGACGGCATTGAAGCCGAGATGGATAATGACAACCCACGGCCTGACACTTCGAAGAGCTCAGACGAGCCTAACCAGTCTTCGTTTCGCCCTCGCTCGAAGAAGCAGAAGCAACATCGGGTTAGATATCGCTTTCTCACTCCCTCTGAATGGGCCATCGTTGCTCATGGAATCGGCGGTGTCAATGATACTGAAGGACACATTGCCCTTCATCCTTCCTGCTGGTATTATCCACCCAAAGGAATCCCGAATGGACTGTACCGAGATGTCATCTGGCATCGCACCAAGTATTTCTACATGTACCATGGCATGAGCTCCATTCGATGGGTTGCCTACATTCTTCAGATCATTCTTGGAGCGATCCTTACCGCAATCGGTTCCATGTCTTTCAAGAACGGCACTCCCATCACCATAATTGCGGCTACGAACACTATCAATGCTGGAATACTCGCACTTTTGCACAATAGCGGACTGCCCGACCGTTACCGCTCCGACCAGGCGGAGTTCGACGAGGTCGAAGACCACCTCAAACAGATCCTCGATACTGGCATTGTCCCAGAGAACATGTCTGTTGACCAGGCTCTCATCCATTGCTTTAGTCTCTACCACGAGGCTAAGAAGACCGTAGCGGCAAACATTCCCGCAACGTACACCCCCAGTTCGGTTCTCGGAGCTGGTCAGCAGGTTGGTGAGCCTCAGAAATCTAGCGCCGCAGGTCCAACAACACCCAACGCAGCTAGTGGCGTCATTGCAACCCGACTTTCAGTGGCATCACCAAAGACAAGTGAGGCACAGGCCATTGAGGAGAAATGATAAGGGCTTGTCGCATGGTGAGAAAGTGGGCTGATGTGAACTTTGTGTTACCTACCCCTGAATTATCGCGGTAGAGAAGGAGATTAATGCGTACGGTGCTTGTTACAGTTTTGGCATGGCCTTGGCAGTAGTAGATGATAGGCAACTTGTGTCTAATCGGAATGGTAATGGAACGATCAAGGACAAACGTGCATTCTTAGACTTAGTCGCATTTGCATCTAACTGCGTTGTCTGAAGGTGGCGAGAGCGAGATTCTTGGGACGAAATCATGGATTACGGTAGAACGATGCCAAGCTGAAAGCATTCGGATAGATCAATACATGTGCTACATGCCCTCCAAGCCTCGGCAAGGATGCTGATATCTTACACTACAAGGAAATGCTTCTCGTACATGCTCTTACTTCAACGCACTGCCCTTTTTGCATATCGGTATCATCCCCAGTTGATGCCGAGGAATCTGACGCCTTTCTTTCCAGAACCGGTCGCCGTATCTGCGTTCTCAAGGTAGTGTCGCTGGTGCCCTCTCACATCAACGTAGAGGTACTTGTATTCGAATTCGCCGGAGATGGGCGTTTTGATCATGTGGAGGTAAACCACGCCCCTGTTGAGGGGCCCTTCGACATGGAAATGCATGAGCATATGCTCGTGGCCTCTCGAATCCGTGTTGATAGTAGAGCTATTCAAGTCAGACTTATACGATCCTCGTCATGGGAGGAGCGACATACGCAATCGGACGAGCTCGTCGCCACTTGTTATATGTTTCCTCGCCATGGCAAACAATCTTCTTCGAATCTCCCAGCATTTCGATGCATTTCTGATCAGCCTTGATCTTGTCGACGACTCGGTTGAAGACAGCGGTTTTGCTGTCCGGAGAGAAGACGTCTGTCCACAAAACATATGCAACTCCGCCCTATTAGACCACCTCCATCGTTAGCTACTGGTTGCCGCGGGGTAGAAGTCATTTGACTTGCCGTCACTGCGATACCAGCCAGAATCAACCCAAAGTTGAAGGTCTGCTGGGTCGCCCTGGCTGCCTTTTCTCCTCCGGAGAGCTGCGACCAAGGTACCGATCCATTGTCGTTGAATGGCGTGACTTTCTTCCGTTTCGAGCTAGTTGTCGAGGCGGTCGTTCCGAGACCATACTGTGTCGCATAGCTTCGCTGGAGTAGTAGAGGTTGTAGTCGGGGCGCAAGGCCTAATCTCGCAGTTGCGCGGATCGCATTCGAACAGGTAGTCGTCTTCATCATGGTGGTTCGACGTCAGCCATCGTACAACCGCAGGAAGCAGGGTACGGTAGTGGTCGAAAAGAGCTCGGCAGTCGAAAGTTGGAGCTCCCCATGTAGCTGGTCTGGGCGAGCTCTGCAAAAGCCTCTTGACCGCCCTTGGCAGAATCCCAATTGCCAGCCCACTGTGGGGGAATTGATCTAGCCCTTTTAGGTCTAGCGCTCTGGCTACATGCCACTTCACCCAAGGGCGGCGACTGCCTCCTGAACTTTTGGACACGAAATTCAGATAACTCCGCTCCCTGCTTCGCTCTCGCTTGCGCATCATTTCTGTACCCGCAACCTGCACCCTCTTTCGCTCCCTTTGATATCACGGCCTTCGCAACAGGTTGCGCTTTCAGCTTTAGGACCAGAAGCACACAAATAAGTTGTTGCCAATACCGTCACGATGGCTGCACTCGCTTCCAAGCAGCAGTCGCTCAAGATCTTTGAGAAATTGAAGACGAAGCCTGCGAACAAGGTATGCCCAACACCCTGCACCCCTTTATGCCCAAAGTTTGTTATGTTGTGCAGTGTTGATTGACTTGCGCACGCCACAGATCTGCTTCGATTGCGGCGCCAAATACCCGACATGGACCTCAGTTCCCTTTGGCATCTACCTCTGCCTCGACTGCTCGTCTAACCACCGAAACCTCGGTGTCCATATCTCCTTCGTCCGATCCACCAACCTCGACCGTACGTGTACTCGGAAGACCGTCTTACTATCCCTCCCTTGACTGACCTGTACGACAGAATGGCAGTGGGATCAGCTGCGTGTGATGAAGGTTGGCGGCAATGAGTCAGCTACCAAGTTCTTCCAGCAGAATGGAGGTACTGCTGCCCTCAACAGCAAGGACCCCAAGACCAAGTACCAATCCAGCGCTGCCACCAAGTACAAGGACGAGCTGAAGCGCCGCGCGGCAAGAGACGCTCAAGAGTACGTATACAAATTGTCATTCTTGAAAGCCAGATAAGCTGACGAGACAGATACCCCGGCGAGGTTGTCATCACCGACGCTACCGACGCCGATACCTCTACTCCCGCTGGCGAGCCTGACGATGACTTCTTCTCTTCCTGGGATAAGCCCTCTATCAAGAAGCCTACGCCCCCGATTTCTCGCACTTCCACTCCTCCGACCGTCGGCCGAACCGCCTCTCCCTTCCTCAACGCCAACAACGGTGCCGGCAAGGATATTGCACGATCCTCCTCGCCCCTGTCCAAAACGGAAGGCGATAATAAGCCCACTACCGGCCGCGTAACCACCTCCGCTGCCCTGCGCAAGACTACGACCTCCACCGGACCCCGTAAGGCCAACATCTTGGGAGCCAAGAAGGCCCCCAAGCTTGGAGTCAAGAAGGTCACGGCTGATATCATCGACTTCGACGAGGCTGAGAAGAAGGCTAAGGAAGAGGCGGAGCGCATCGAGAAGCTGGGCTACGACCCCGAGGCTGAGGAGGAGAAGAAAGCCGCCAAGGTGGATGCTGTCGCGGCTCCTACCCCTGCTGCCCCCTCGGGTGGATACGGATCATCCAGCCATACCCGTCAAAAGTCTGATGCCGAGATGGAGCGTTTGGGCATGGGTGTTCGCAAGTTGGGCTTCGGAATGGTTGGTGGAGCCAAGGGTGCCGCCGCAGCGCCCAAGAAGGCCGGAACTGGTGGATTCGGCTCCGTTGGCCCCATCAAGGCTAAGACTGAGGGTAAGAAAACCGCTTTCCTAAATCACGAATGCGCAACTAACAGCGATGCAGATGAGAGCGAGAACTACGCACGCAGCAAGTTTGGCGCCCAGAAGGGTATCTCCTCTGATGAGTTCTTCGGTAAGGGCTCCTTCGACCCCAACCAACAGGCCGAGGCGAAGACTCGTCTGCAAGGTTTCGAGGGCGCGACCTCCATCTCGTCCAACGCATACTTTGGCCGCCCCGAGGATGAGCCGCAAGAGGAATACGGCGACCTCGAGGGCGCCGCCAAGGACTTCATTCGTAGATTCGGTATTACCGCTGGCGACGATTTGGAGAACCTGGGTCAGCTGGCCGGCGAGGCCAGCCAGAAGCTGCAGGGTGCCATCCGCGCCTACCTCGGAAGCTGAGCGGTTCGACGTGACGTCACTGGAAACGACAGAATTGAAATTGGAATTCCACTTTGCCATTGAGATATAGAAAGCGGCCATATCCCAAGGTCCCCTCACACCGTTTAGAGGGACGAATGCCTTACGTCAGGGGAGTCGGAAGGTAACGAAAGCAGAACGTGGGACAATGGCAGGCGGACGCGAAAAAAGGATACCTTGTGTGCTTTTTCACAACGGACTGCATGTCAAGTGAGCCTGGAGGGTCATTGGGGAAATCTTGAGGACGGGAAGGGTGGGAAAGATGCATGCAGAGGACTTGTGAGATTTGAATTGCATCCCGGCATATGAGGCGTACAGACAGAAGCCGGCGACGACGGGGGAGTGGATCGACACTTGCTTGGTTGGTTTGGGTCTAATACATAAAGTATGAAATGAATAGAATTGAGCTTCATCACCATGTTCTTCTTGTCTCTTGTCTAGCGTCTCCTGTCTTGGCGCTGAGGAGTTGATCTGCGGCCGAGAAACATGTGTGGAGAGACGGGGAGAGAGAGGTTAAAGCATGTGAAGTATCCACTTGGCGCTTAGCCTTCCAGGGTCCATCGTGTTCACGCGTGACTGGGGAGCGGAAATTCTACAGTACAAAAACTTGAGCGCAAGAGAGTGCGAGAACACGTTGCGACTTTGGGGGGTTAGCCGTTCACAGTCACGTCCCATTTTCTTACTGGCCAATTGTCAGAGAGAAAAATTCAATTTGATGTCGAGCACAGACGGAAGTTCTCTGGATTGGGGATTAGGGAATTGTTCCTCTTTTCGGCTTCCCCAGATTGGGAAGGCTGCCAATGGCGTCACAGTAGTGTCAACTTTTATGAAGAGAAGTTTGTAGTTCATTTCATGGTATGCTAGCAATCATCCATCTCAGGTCATCTCAAATGTACAAAACAAGAGCCTCATAACTCCAGGGCCCTAGGGAGGCGCCAGGCATAGGCTTCCCCTGGCGCACACCCAATATGCGACCAACTAAAAAGAAAAAAAAGAACATTACGCTTTTTAACAATTTACAACTTCGCAATCATCTTGTTGCCCTTCTGGAGCCATGCGACGGCGTCGTTTACAAACTCGTCCACGACTGCCTTGGCGGGCTTCTTGTCGTTACACACAGCAGCGGCCTTACCCATAAGGAAGGGGCGGAACTGATCGAGGGCGTCATCAATATCGACCTCGGCGGCGTTGTCATCGCTGCCGCTCTCGCCGCTGCCCTCACCGTCGCCCGAGTTCATGAGCTTCTCGAGATCGGCCTCGTAGGGAATGACACCCTTAGCAGTGAGCTCCTTGATCTCCTGCTGGCGCTCGGTCTCCCAGTTCTCGATGTACGGGTTCTTGCGTACACGGAGGGGACGACCGGTGAAGATGAGGGTCTTGATGTTGTCGTCGTGGCCGGCGGTGCGGACAGCCTCCTTGTGGGCCTCGGGGGCACCGGCCTCATCCGTGAGAATGAAACGGGTTCCAACCCAGACGGCACCGGCGCCCATCATGAGAGCGGCGGCCAGAAGCTGGCCGTTGTGGATACCACCGGCGGCGATGACCTGAACGGGGCCCTTGAGGAGAGGGCTCTTGGTGTTCTTGCAAAGGTCGACAACGGCGGGGATGAGGACGGTGGTGGGGACGTCACCGGTGTGGCCACCACCCTCACCACCCTGGGCGCAGATGATGTCGACGCCGAGGTCGAGGCACTTCTGGACGTGCTTGGGGTGTCCGATCATGTTCATGTAGACGATGCCGGCAGCGTGAAGTCTATCGACGACGTGCTTGGGAGGGACACCGACAGCAGAGACGAAGAGCTTGGCGCCGGACTCGATGATGATGTCAACGAGCTGGTCGAGCTTGCCCTTTGTGTAGTCGTAGCTAAAGCACGAGAAATTAGCCTCGGTTAAAGGTTGTAGATGCGGCACATGACCGCGCGCCCGTCTCTCCAGAAGACGTGTAGAGTTGAGTGGTTCGATGCTTACTTGGTCTTTCTCGCGCTGCCACCGACCTGGGGAAGAAGCAGGTCAACACCGAAGGGGGCGTTCTTGTCAACCAGGTACTCCTTGAGCTCTGCGATCTGCTCCTTCAACATGTCCGGTGTGTATCCGACACCACCAATGACACCGAGACCGCCGGCGTTGGTGACAGCAGCAGCCAACTTGGGGCCAGCAGCGACGTTCATGCCGGCAAGCAGGATCGGGTGCTTGATCTTGAAAAGATCGGTGATGGGAGTGCGGATTTGCTCTGTTATCGCGGAAACGTGTCAGCAGTGGCTCTGAGGCGGACCATCTTGTCGCATGTGACAGACAAGGTCCGGATAGCGAGATGGTTTACTTACGAGGTGACGCCATTGTGCCTGTGTTACTGGATGTGATAAATGCTAAAAAAGATCTGGGTATATCAGGTCGTGAAGCTGTATAGACGAAGAAATTTGGCCTGGGAAGAAGAGTAGTAGATGAGAGGAAGAGCAAGTAAATCTTGGGGAAGAGGTGAGATCTGGCAACCGGCGGTTTAAAGGGTTCCGGTGGTAGCAGCGCTCGGCATCAAAGGCACTTTTGGTTTCTGGGGAAGAAGGGGCGGAGTAGCGTTGCCATGCGCCCCTGCTGGGAGTCCTGGACCGAGGTTCGCCTGTGACCTCAGCAACTAATCCTGTTTGGGCAAGGCGGGTCAGTCCAGCGGGGTGGATCTGGGGAACCTGAGAGATGCCGAGGGTCACTTTCCAGCCTCCAGACCAGAAGCGGGACAATTTCACAAGGGCACGCCGCACAGGGGACTCGGAAGCACAAGGTACAGTACTCCGTACAGCTTGGTGTACCTTACATAAGCACTGAAAAGCATAACTTGTTTATGCATCCCTCCCTACACCCCCAAAAGTGATTGATTCATCGATCGGACTCGGACCGGTGACCTCGGTCTGAGCTTTCCATGTTCACATTTACTGTGAAAATGGAGTCGTTTTGCAAGGCCTCGTGGAGACTAAAGTAGGAGACGTGTTTGACGTTTACCCTCTTTCTCTCTCTCTCACTTTCGGACACGGTCGTTTCTTCCCATCTTGACAGCGCACAGCGAATGCGACGGGCCAAGTGCACAGTTGTGCTCTCTGCTGAGCCTGACAGCGGGCCTAAGCACCGAGTCAACCATGCGCTTTACTCCGTTCCAGAACGTTTGAAAATGAGCCCGTAAATTCTCTCGCGGCTCGAATCATGTCATGATCTAACCATCTTCCAACCTCGTTGCAACCACAAGCGGGCACTTCGGACTTTGGTTTTCTGAAAAGACGGACGAGTGTCTGCACTTCCTTATCAATCTGGTATCCTAGACGACGACCCCCGTCTTCCTTACCCGCCCCGGAATAGCTTACCTTGCCTGAGGTCAGCCCATTTTACACTGAATTCCAGTCGAACCCCTCCAAAGCCACTTTACGCGCTCTTCCACGTCTTACCTAATCACTGGATTGCAAAGGGACCACCACGGTGCACACCCGACCCTCATTGGCTACAAGAAAAGATTCTCTCCTTCTTAGTGACCCTCAACACACAAGAGACACACAAACCCATTGGATATTACCTTACTGGACTGTGGGCTTTTTGCCGTTGGCCTCCTTTTCTCCCTTCCGTCGAGATGAAACCCCCAAACCCCCTCCGTCACCAACCCTCCCTCTTTTCACGAGCTTGCGCCCTAGCACGGAGCAACAATGCGCGTCGCCAGCCCCTAACACCGCGACTTGTCCGGTTCCAGTCCACAACGGCATCACCATCAGCTGCAGCAACATCCTGCATAGCCTCATCCTCCTCCTCGCGCACGTTCTGCACTTCTTCGTCACGAGGTAGTCCCTCCTCCACCAACCCTGTCACCGCACTACTCACCCGCTCCCGCCCCCGGTCTACAGCAACCATGCCCTCCCGCCGGACTCCGTCGCCGGTCATGTCCGCCGGCGCCGCCCAGACCCGGTCGGCCTGTGGATGCGCCTGCAGCGGCGGCGGTGGATGCGGCAGCGGCGCCGCCAAACCTAAAGGTCCGAGCACGGCCTACATCGCGCTCGGCAGCAACCTCGGCGACCGCGTTGCCTGGATCGAGCAGGCCTGCGCCGAGATGGATCGCCGCGGCATCAAGGTGAAGCGCACCAGCAGCTTGTGGGAGACGGAGCCCATGTATGTGTTAGATCAGGATAGGTTCGTCAATGGAGTCTGTGAGGTTAGTGACACTCATTCTTTGAACTCTCTCCGTCTCTCTGTCTCCGTTCGTGAGCTCAGGGTTTCATGTGTGATATTCATGCACTTCTTGGAAGTATATCTATGCCAATTAACTTTTGACTGATCGGATGACATACAGGTCGAGACTGAACTCGAACCTTTGGCTCTTCTCGATGAACTCCAGGACATTGAGCGCACCCTGGGCCGTAAGAAGCTGATTGACAAGGGCCCCCGCAACATTGACCTCGATATTCTCATGTATGGTGATGAGAAGATTGAGCATCCTCGTCTCAACGTGCCTCACATCGGCATTCCCGAGAGAGAATTCGTCCTGCGACCTCTGGCTGAGTCCGTCCCATCTCATACGTCCTCTTACATGACAAGGCAACTAACACCCTCATCTCAGACTCATTCCTGAAAAGCCTCTCTACGCATCCAACCCCTGGAAACTCACCCTGGACTACCTCAACGAGCTTCCTCCCTCAGCGGCGCCCCTCTCACCACTCACCCCCATCTCCGCCTCTCACCCTCCCCTCGCAGCCCTCACATCCAGCCGCCAAACCCACGTCATGGCCATCATCAACGCCACCCCAGACTCCTTCTCCGACGGCGGCGTCCACAACGCCCAAAACCTCGTCGCGACCCTCAAATCCTTCGCCGCCGCTGGCGTCACCATCGTCGACGTGGGCGGCTGCTCCACGGCCCCGGGACGCCCCGAGGTCCCCGCCGACGAGGAGCTCGCCCGCGTCCTCCCCGTCATCAAGCTCGTCCGTGCCCTCCCCGAACTCGCCCACCTCGCCGTCAGCATCGACACCTACCGCGCCTCCGTCGCCGAGGCCGCCGTCGCCGCGGGCGCGGACATCATCAACGACGTGTCCGCCGGCCAGCTCGACCCGTCCATGATCCCCTACATGGCGCGCAGCAACCGCACCGTCTGCCTCATGCACATGCGCGGCACCCCCGCGACCATGAACTCGCTGACGGACTACCCGGACGGCCTGATCCCCACCATCGCCCGCGAGCTGCTCGAGCGCGTCGCCGAGGCCGAGGCCGCGGGCGTGCGCCGGTGGCGCATCGTTCTCGACCCCGGGTTGGGCTTCGCCAAGACGGGGCCGCAGAACCTCGAGATTTTGCGCCACATGGACGAGCTGCGTTCGTGGCCGGGCCTGGAGGGCTTTCCCTGGCTGGTTGGGTCTAGCCGGAAGAGCTTCGTCGGCAAGTTCACTGGTGTGTCGAAACCTCAGGAACGGATTTGGGGCACGGCGGCCACGGTCGTCTCGGCTGTCCAAGGCGGCGCGGACATCGTCAGAGTTCACGATGCTGTTGAGATGTGTCAGATTGTCAAAATGGCGGATGCCATCTATAGACACTGAGCGACTTGATTTGCTTGGCAATAGAAGGGTAATAAAATAGAATATGTACAACAAATGGGAATCAGCGATGGGTATAGACTTCCTGTATGATAGGACGGCAACAAAAGCTTTGGTTTCACGAGCCAACTTCTTCGACTTCATCTTCAGCTGAGCTTTGACTAAACAAACCACCTTGATTCGCAGAGAAGGCTGCGAATTCTTCCTGAACTATCTCGACCATTGTTGCAATAACAGTCAACATTCGCACTCTACTTGAACCGGTTCCAAAGATTGGCAGATACGCCCAAAATAGCCTGGATAATCACCAGTACTCCTCCCTCGTACCAAGCTCACTGCTCTTATAGATAGCATCCAACATACGATGCCTAATCAAAGCAACGTCAAAATCCGGCGCCTCCCCAGCTTCCCCCGCAAACGCCTCCCACGCCTTACCCGTGTTATCCGAGAACCCCTTTACCTCGTCCACCTCAATAGCCTCCAGCACGGCACCCGGCTCAGCCTTGACAAACTTCATCGTCGGCGGGAACCCCTGGATATTCCCCATCGGGCCCTCAATCAGAAGCGTCCCCTTTGTCCCCGTAACCTCCCAAAAGAAATTCTTGTCAACCTGGCTCATACCGCCCTGGCAAACCGCCGTCGCCACACCTCCGCCGGGAAGCCTCCCAATCACAGAGAGGTGATCATGCGCCGTCTTCTCAATCTCCTCGCCCTTGGGCTTCCCCTCGTTGTCAGTAACGGCCACCCGTGGCCGATTATTCGCCAACGTAGCCTGAACCCCCCTCAACTCCCCCAACACGAAACACAGCGCGTCCAGCGCGTGGCCCGCCGAGATGGACACCAGATTCGCGCCATTCTCGACGTCGGCGCCGTACACCGCCGCCTCGGGCATGGCAGCCCCGAACCAAGGGCTCGTGAACAGCATCGTCGTCTGCAAGATCTCCCCCAGCGCCCCGCGCTCCACGAGCTCCTTGGCTTTGAGGGTAGCGGGATCCTGACGCCCTTGTAATCCCACCAAGGTCCTGACTCCCTTTTCTCTAGCCAGGGACGTCAGGCGCTCTGCCTCGATGCTGTTCCGCGCCAGGGGCCACTCGCAGAAGACGGCGCGTTTCCCGGCGCGGATGGCGGCTTCGACGGCGGCGGCGTGGAGGTGGACTTTTATGGTTACGGCTACGAGGTCGATGTCGGGGTCGGAGACGAGGGCGTTGATGTCGCCGTAGGCTTTGGTGTCTTGCGGAAGATTGTGGAGACGGATTGCCTTCTGGGCTGTTTCTTTGGAGCTGTTTTGGAGGGCTGCGAGGTTGTAGTGTTTGGAGTGGGCGAAGTAGGGGAGGTGGGCGGCGACGGCCCAGGACCATTCACTACTTTGTTGTTAGTGTCTGTGAGTTTCAAAGGAATGAGAAATGTGGCTGCTAGGGGACGTACGGTCGGGAGGACAGGCCTATGAAGCCGACGTTGGTCACTTGAGGGGCCATTTTGGATGATGAGATGTTGAAGTGATTAAGATGCTAGAGTGGGATGTAAGTTGGACTGAATGAATCACAGAGGAAGCTGTATTTCGAGCGATTCATCTTGGCTTATATACTACATCCTGAGATGTGTGCCACGATCTTTACATCCATCGCGAGATTCTCCATTCTTCTCGTCTCGAATCTCGTCAGTTAGTGAAAACTGATCAACGTTACCGTTATGCAGCATATACTCGTGGGTAAATTTGTCATCTTAGATTGGTGGTTTAGACCGTTGAGCTCCGTCTAAGCTTAGTCAAAAAGCTTAAATAAAAGTCCGCCAACTCATCCGCCATCTCGAGTTTAGTTTATAGCAGAGTCGGTTCGATTGCCTCTGTAACCCAGAGAAGCAAATTATGCTTGGCTGAAATGAAAACTGTCATTGTGTTATCAAGAAATTTCTACACCCAGGGGTGGGTATCACGGCTTTGGGCTGCCCGTCTATTCTCATTGAATTAGTCACTCGTTATTCGAAACCTAGGGCTATCATAATGCAATACTTGCACCAATTTAGGCGATGTCAGCTTCAGATCGGAAACAGGTGGCAATGTGCGATAAGTCCGAAATGGCGGGCAGGTCCCCATTTGATGCAAGGCAAGTCAATCCAGCAGCTAGACCAAGATCTCGATAAGGGCGCTGAATCCCATCACGTTATCCGTAGACGGGTAAACAACAGAGGGTTTCTAATCGGTGTTCGAAAAAAGCCTGACGCAGAACGCGAAGGTCTCGCGGAATGCCCCGAAGATTCTAGGCAGTTGAAGGCAATAAATCCCTTAGGAATGCTGTTTAGTGTCTGTCATACGTTGACTTTACAAAGGTATCGCGGATCTCAAACCCTAGATAGTAGGGTATTGCTTCGTCGGAGGCGATCGAGATGAAAGATCTTGGAGCCTGGGAGAGCTTTACGGTGCGAGGATATATCTCTGGGGACCAATAGAAATGCTAAGTATCTTACCCTTTGAGAAATGAAGGCATCTGGTTCCTGGGCCTTTAGGGAGAGTTTTACATAACCCCGTGCTTTATTTGATGCTGTGGGAGAAAGATCGTTAACACTGCGAATATGTTAGTAAACAAAAATGAGCTGGCATAATTCCTCGCCAGCCCAGGCAAAGAGTTCACCCCGGGTGCTGAACTGGGGGCTACATCTCTGGCGCTCATGCTGGGATTCGAACTCGGGTGCTCGTATGCGCTGAGCCTGTCGTCGAGTAGGCTGGTTGGCGTGTAAATTGATTGTTGACCATGAACCATTCCACCACCCACGCCACAGTTTGACCTGACCCCCGACCTAGAGGGCGCCTGCTGTGCTGGTGACGGAAACGGGGTGGAGGGGGTATATGAGGCCTTCCGCATAGGTGTTCTGGCTGAATATTCCGTGAGTATGCCGCATGAGTATTCCTTTTCCCCACATGAGTATTTCACACGAGTATGCTTACGTCCAATCAGAATATGCCCATACGACGTTTTGAGTGCTATTTCCGCATGTATGGCAGTGACGGGAGACCTTCAGCACTCGCCCAACCCGTTGATCCAGCCTGTGTGAGAGTGAGATGAAGTATCCTGCTGATGTGTCAGACTGTGTTCTAGGTGTATCAATGTCGAAGATTATTCATGTCACAGGAATAACGACCACTATTCAACTCAAGTATTCTGTATGGGTGAAGTGTATTGGAACTATTGTGGTTGTTCTACACTACTACTCCAGTATTGTCTATCCTATGTGTCGCGTCGAACTTTTCCTGTCAACGCCGCAGACTGTTTGTTTGCCTGCCCACAAGAATGAGATACTAGCCACACACGATTTCATTCTGCTGAAACCGAACTGATGTGTATGGTATCGCCCACCAAGGCCCAAAGGCTCAAGGACATCCTATTACTGTCGCCCCCAAAGTAGAGAGACACCCATACACAATTCCACAACGCCGAAAGCCTAAGCCAGTATGCCAGGGTATCTTAACTCCCAAGGTCCTTAGACATCAATGTCCTTTTCACATCCCCCAAGTCTCCGAAGGCAGCAAGAGTCATATGCTCCATTGTCAGCCCGAGAAGGCGCCAATTCGCCAAGGTTTCTTCCCCATAACCCAACACCTCTCCCAGGCTGCAAGAGACACGAGCTCCATTGTTCAGCCTGAGGTGTGTGTGTGCCCCTTAACGGAAGCCCAACTGCTCCACATCCTTACACTCGACGGCGCCATATTTGTTGTGGGTAGCCTCCCACCAGGCGGACTGGACCATGCCAATGTTGCAGAAGGTGGAGGCGACGAAGTGCCAGATCAGTTCACCCTTGTCGGTGCCCGCGCGGCAGGAAGCGTCCGAGGCGGCGAAGCAGCCACCGAAGCTTCTGAGCTCTTGCCAGAGATCACCGCAGACCTTGGGGACATCGTCGACTCCCGAATAGGCCTTGAGCGAGTAGGCGTGGAGGACGCGGTGTTTCAGCTCCTGGTGCTGGCAGAGTGCGCCCCCGTGCTGGATGAAGTCGTCGACTGAGGAGTCGGGGGCTTCGGGGGTTGCGATGTCTGTGTTGTTGGCCTTGCCGTCGCCCTCTTTGATGGTGGGGACGTTTGTGTCGACCTTGCCGTTGCCCTCTTTGGTGATGGGGGGAACTGGTTTGGCCTTGGGGACATACTGTACAGGGACAGCCTTGTCTGTGTTGATCACACCGGCACCCTCTGGGATGAAGGCCTTGTCTTTCTCGCCGGCGCCAACATACTTGACGAGGTTGGGGATGCCTTCACTGACGACAGGTGGGTCTCGGCGGACGTTGCCAGCAGGAGCAGCGTCAGTGCCGAAGAAGACGGCGGCAGCGAGAACGATGAGGGAAGTAGAGAACTGCATCTTGACGATTGAAGTCGGGTTACTTGTGTGTGTAGTTGGGTTGTAAGTTGGTTGGGTAGTTGTATGTGAGTGGTTGGGTTGACTTCTTGACAAGATGCAGTGATGAGAGTGGTATGTAAGATGGATGGAGGATGAATAGAGAAGAGAAATCACAAGGGGGAAAAAGCCAGATCTTATAGGTTTCTGGAAGATCGAGGCCGTCACGGTGTCTGCATTTGCGAGTCTATTCCGACTCGTCGTGCCCTAACATGCTCAACCTAAGGCTCAACCTGGTGGGATTGATGGATGCCAAAGGAGGTTTATTTTACCGTGTGTGCATGATCCTAGGCGGCCCGTTGCACCAGAAATTCGGCATCAAGGTTGAGAGCCATGGCCTTCGTTTGGAACAAACAAGGCTGCTAGAAACCTTGACTGGAGATTAACCAGCGGTGCGGGTATGTCTGTCAACCTTGAGGATGTAAGGCCATGGGCCCTTTCTCCGGTCTCTATTGAAATCTACCGGAGTCAGGCCTATAGTTTCAACGGAGATTGCCACAAGACTGAAGAGGCGTCTGGTCCAGATTTCTGGCTAGCCTGAAAAGGCCTCGATGAGCATAAGGTATGAGCAGCAGAAAAGCTCGAACGATAGCAGTTGAGGGTATAGGTTTCATGGAAATAGAGAGAACGAACGATGGCTATCTCCTCGCGCAAACAAACTCTCTGCCAGCGGTTTGTGATGAGCCACGCAATCATCCATAACCTCCTACCTTCTGCACAGAATACACCAGGTAAAGCGAGTCATCAGGTAGATTGATACACCGCAGCTCCAGACTCGGAGAACCAATGGCTTTATCTTTTGCTTGGTCCAGAAGGTCCCCCCCTATGTACTTGGAAGCAGTGGGTTTCATATGGGATGTACAATGGCAAGAACTTCGAACATCACTACAACACCAGACACTATTTCCAGTAGAACAACGCTGATAGTTTCAAAGACGTGGGAGACATCTCGTAGGTGGTTGTGCAGCCATTCGCTGGCCATTACGCATGATATGTGCCTCATATTCTCACGTTTGAGCGGTAACATCAAAAGCAGGGACAAACTCAGGAACTCTATCTAAAATACTTACTTAGGAGGCGACTCCACGTACCATTCTCCTATCGTTCACAGATAATGGAGCTTGCTTGCTTTTATCGGAGGACATTAAATTGCACAGAACCATAGGCGATCTTCTTGGGTAAGCGTCAGAACTCTTGACGCATGGCCTGCGGCGGACGCACCTCTAGCCCTGGCGGTCACAATTGCGGCTCCGGATTCCGGGGAGTGGGGTCTGCCCAGCGGCGGAAAAGGCGCCGGAGCCCGGCCGACCACCCGATCCCGCCTCCGCCTTTTCGAGAGCCTACAATGTGTTCGACCCAAGTCGCATGTACAACTGGATCTGGACCCTCAATAACATCATGTGCAAGTGCAATAACTCGAGGCGCGCTTCGCCCTTCTATTCACATGCCTTTCGGTGATATTATAGAGTGTTGCGACCAGTGAAAGAACTGCTATGACCTTACTTCAATCCACGCCCGCCGTCTAGAAGGCTCAACGAGATTTTCAAAGACTGGATGGCCAGCATACAGTTTGGTTTCTTGGCTTCGTATCGCTGAAGTAGGGGCAGAAGGAGACTGAAAGTCAGATAAGCCCCTCGTTAGTCCTGGCCTGACAGGTGAAACAACTGATGCCCCTGACAGCGTCCCCTCAACCACAAGGCTAGGAAGGCCTTTTTTTCTATATCTAGAACTCGATTTCCATCCCATTATCAAACGACAAGAACTCGCAATTGAAATGGGAATGCATTCAGTAATATCCGACAGCATATTCTGCATTTTCATTTTGTTCTGCAATTGAAGAAACAGAGGGGGGCAGGGGAAAGGAATTATTCAGCCAGCGCTGCTTGTTTCAGCAACGGCCCCTTGAACGCCACGAACCTGGCATTGACACGATCCTGCGACGGCAGATCCGTTTCGACTTCTCTGCTCTTGTCCCCGTAACGTCAACCCCCAATTGGAGGGAACAGAAATGTCAGACGCACAGCACGGCGCGAATTGGCCGTGAGTACAGATTACTGCTCCATACCGAGAAAAAAAGGGCCAAAACACCAAAACACCACGAAATACAATCATCTACACATTCAAGCCCCTTTCATCTGAACTTCGGCGTGGCGTGCGCGTGTTCATCCCCTCCCCCACCGAAGCACTTGTCGAAGAAATTCAAATCAACAGTCCCAAACCATGAGATCGTCCAATATCGCCGTGTGGCTATCAATCGCAGCCGGCGCACTCGCATGCGACGGCGGGCACGACGACATCAGCGCCTTTGACACCGGCCTGGCAGCGACAGACAACAATGACGCGCAGCAACAGCAGCTTCGGGATCGCATATGCGCCTCGAACCCGTTGACTTTTGCATCGTTGCAGGGCACCATTAAGAAGAACGACACATCTCAGGACGGCGTCCTCGACACGGCAGACGAACCCCTTGTTGATGAGGGCGTTGTACCTGAGGGACTTGGCGACTCGGAAGAAGCGCGGATTCGTTATGGAACAAGTAGGTCCTTCTTTATATGTCACATCACCACATCACATCACCGTTCACCTTACCTCACTCATAACCTCACTTCACTCATGACCTCACCTCACTTCGCTTCATCTCATAACATCACCTCACTCATAAACTCGCCTCATCTCACTCTCACTCACACCAACTCATCACTAACTCAACACCCAGATCTCAAATCACCATCCGGCCTCTGGCAAGTCCGCCCCTCCCCAGGAAAAGGCCTCGGCATCTTCGCCCTCGCCCCCATCCCCCGCGGCACCGTAATCATAGACGAAACCCCGCTCTTCACAATAAACCCAGGCGCCCTCACCCCAGGCCAAGGCTTCGCCTTCGCCGCCATCGCAGCCCTCGTCGACGAAGCCTTCGCCCAACTCAACGCCTCCAGCCGCACAGCCTACCTCTCCTGCCCGGCACACCGCGACCCGCGGGGCGCAGACGCCGGCATCAGCAGGGAAGCCCTCGTCTTCCGCACAAACGGCTTCACCATGAACTCGGGCGAGATCGGCATCTTCCCGCACATCGCCAAACTCAACCACGCGTGCCGCCCCAACGCCGGGTCCGCCTCGGTCGGCGGGCGGAGGGTGATTTGGGCGGGGCGGGACATCGCGCCGGGCGAGGAGGTGACGATCACGTACGCGCCGCTGGTGCAGGATACGGACGGCCGGCGGGCGAGGCTTGCGCAGTGGGGGTTCACGTGCGACTGTGCCGCGTGCGAGGCGCGGGACGACGACGGCGAGAGGATCGAGATGAAGAGGCTGATGGGGCTTATCGAGCGGGAACTCGGGAGCGATGCGTTTGGCGGGGACGTGTTGCCCGACGCGGAGCGGCTCGTGAAGCTCGTTGAGGAGGTCGGGTTGGTGGATTACCTGGGTAAAGCGTACAAGTATGCTTCGTACGCGGCGTCGAGGTCGGGCAAGTTTGGGGCGGCGAGGAAGTGGGCGAGGAAGGAGTTGAAGATTCATGAGATTGCCGATGAGGAGTCGGAGTATGCGAGGGAGACGAGGGCGTTTTTGGCGTCGCTTCCGTTGTTGTGAAGGGGCGATTGTGTGGGACAGTTTACAAAGATTTTTCATCAGTGGTTGCCGGCTCACCTCTCTCGGAACCGAGTCAAGGTCGGCATAGAAAAGGGGGGTTGCGAGTCGGTCCAGTCCCGGCGGTTGAGTCACCCCGGCCGGTCGTGACGCGGCCGAAAACCGTAACCGGGGGAGGGAAGGGAGGAGGGCGGACCACTCCGCAGACTTGGCTATCCGTACGGATACCGCTCTCCCCTCCTTTTTGGGGGGAGTGGACCCCCCGCAGATCCGACCAGGCGTCTCAAAAGGGCTCCGTCCAGTGTTCGGCGTGAGTCACCCTGTGCGGAGGGGTGATTGAGAACACACCAACGCAAGCTGGGAAGCCAGGCCAACTCAACTGAACCGCGACTCCAGGTCCGAGGTGAAGGTACGTACCGCGCAGTTCCTTCAGGTTTGCAGCGAAAAGGTACAACGCCACTGAGTTGGACGAACTTATCCTCCCACACCATGCTATTTCAATCTGTGAGATGCTTGGGAAGCAGATGCGAGCACCGATAGGATAAGCACCTTAATTAGGTAGTCTTGGCACAGGCCAGAGAACCGAACAAGAACCAAAATATAATGTGAAGAATGCCCCAAGCACCTCAAATTCGAGGCACGGCATCGAATTCAATCATCTTTGTTTGGCGGTCTTCGCTTTGATTTTCCATCCCTTCGCAATCAGTCCTTGCTTTATTTGAGTTCAATCAACTGTCCGACCCGAGGACGGAAAAAAAGGTCACAGCAATGACGTCGATGGCGTCCGAGTCCGTGGCCACGATCCTCTGCACCAGCAAACAGACGCGCTTCAACATCCAGACAGCAGATTATCGAGAAGTAATTTTTCCATCACTTACCCAAAGTAAGCTTGCAGACCAGCTGACAGAAAGTCTACCATAGCTAGACATTGATGGCCTCAACATCACCGTCACCTCGGCTCGCAAACCCGTTGGTAGTGGTAGTGGCGGTGCCAAGGGCAAGTCCAAAGCCCGGAGCGAGGGGACCGAGATCCTGGTCGACGCCAAGCTGCGTCTGAAGGCCGGCCAACGATACGCTCTCGTCGGAAGAAATGGTTCAGGCAAATCGAGTCAGTACAGACCGAAAGAGGCCTCGAGACCAAACTCTTGAACTCCGAATGATTGACACGACGTTCAAGCGCTTCTCAAAGCCATTGCTGAGAAGTTAATCCCCGGCATACCCGAGGCGACTCGGATATCTCTTCTCCAGCAAACGAGCATCAGTGATACCGACTCGGACGTGCGCCCAGAAGACAACGACTCGACTTCTCCAGCGGATAGCTCCGTCCAAGGCAGCCGTACTGTGTTGGAACACGTTATCGAACAGGCGACTGCGCGGTCAGATGTCGAACAGGAAATCAGAGGTGTGCCTGACATAGCCTTTGTATCTTCCCCGTCGGCCCAGAATTAACATGTGTAGCTCTGTCCGATGGCATCAATAGCGCGGACTCCCTCGGCCCCGTACGCGCCATTCGCGCTCTCCGTCATGAGAGAAACCAAAAGCATCTCTTCCAAGTCGACAAGAATGCAAGGTTGCGCAGCGGAGACCGCGGCCTGGTAGCACGCAAGGCCTTGAAGGCTTTTGAGAAAAAGGTTGCCGAGTCTCAGTCACTGTACGTTTGTTGGCTCATTTGATGTCCAATTTCGTGGGTGATACTAAACCAAAAGCCAGGGTCAATCAACCGCAAGATGAGATATCGGCCGAAATCATCAAGAATGAGACGCAAGAGGCATTAGAGATGCTCGCAGATCTCCAACTGCAAGTCGAGCCGTCCAAAGTAGCCGAGACGGAGTCCAAAGCCAAGCGCATCCTGACCGGCCTAGGGTTCTCCGAGGCATACATGTCAAAACCCGTCGCCAGCCTATCTGGCGGGTGGCGGATGCGGACGGCGCTCTGCATATCGCTGCTTCAGGAGACTGACATCCTCATCCTGGATGAGCCGACGAACTTCCTCGACCTTCTTGGCATCATCTGGCTGCAGCGGTATCTAGGATCTCTACAAGACACGGACGACGCACCAACGCTCATCCTCGTGTCGCACGACAGAGACTTTATAACCATTTGCAGCGATCTCCTTATCCTGAAGGAGAAGGGGCTGACGTACTTCCACGGTGACCTTCCGACATACGAGGCGTCGCAGTCGGAGCGGAAGCTCTGGTTGACGAAGATGAAGGATGCCCAAGACAAACAAAAAGCTCATATCCAGCAGAGCATCTCTAACAACATCAAGGCAGGCAAGGCCAACGACGACCAGAACAAGCTGCGGCAGGCCAAGTCCCGCCAAAAGAAGCTCGACGATCGATGGGGCCTCACAGTCAGTGCTAAAGGCGGCCGCTTCAAGCTGAATCGCGACCTTGTTGGCTTTCACTTGACAGCCCGCGAGGACATAGACGTCCCCCAAGATGAACGGCCCGTAAGCTTCGTCTTGCCGGAACCTCTAGATCTCCGATTCCCGGGGCCTCTCATATCGGTAGAGAATGCGACATTCCGTTATCCGACTAGGGTCAAGACGAAGCTGGCGGCGCCAACAGTGTTGCAGGATATCAACCTGTCTGTTCACATGGGTGATCGGATTGGCATCCTCGGGTTGAACGGTGCCGGGAAGTCGACTTTGGTCAAACTTCTAGTCGACGAGACGAAGCCCACGTCAGGAACAGTGACAACGCACCCACGGCTGAAGCTGGGATACTACTCGCAGCATGCCGTCGATGTTCTGCAAGAGAAGGGCCAAGGCGATCCTTCATTGACGGCGTTATCGATGCTCATAGAGGAAGTAGCCGGGGAGTTGGATGAGGGGCAAGTCCGTGGCGTTCTGGGCAGTCTCGGTCTGCCTGGCCGCATTGCTTCCGATGTACCTCTTGGGAAGCTATCAGGAGGGCAGCTTGTGCGATGCGAGCTCGCACGCCTCTTATGGCGGAGGCCACATTGTCTCATCCTTGATGAAGTTACCACTCATCTCGACTACGAGACTGTAACTGCCATGCGTGAAGCACTCAGAGACTGGGAGGGCGCAGTGGTGCTCGTCAGTCACGATCGGTGGTTCATGCGCGGAGCAGTTGAGGGTCTCGTCGAGGACTCTGACAGCGAAGAGGATGAAGATGAAAAGGGGGTACCCAGACGACGGCTTGTGTACAAGTTGAGACAGGGGAACATGACGCGCCTACAGAACGGCGTGACCGAATTCGAGGAAAGCGTTGCGAAGCGGGTGACGAAGCTGCTCAGTCTGTAGAGAGGAACAAACTGCCTAGGCCCACCATGGCTCGGCCAAGATCTAGGACGTTGCCCAAAGTCCCAGCTACTCAGGAAATTGCAATGAAATATGATTGCGTAGGAATATGGCGCATTGGTACCGAATACCAATACACTAGAAACCCGTGTCCAAGGCAGAAGAATACTGGACCAGTCAATTGGATTGGCGAGTCAGGCTTGATCCGCCCGGTATACGTGTAGTTCGTCGTACATGTGGGGGTTCCGGAATCCGCGCGTCGAGTAGGTACAATTGCCTAGTGTCTCGATCCAGTTCAGGTTTCTTTAGCTTCACTCGCATGATGTATCTGGCTTTCCAATCTGACGATGCTGAAAGCCGAAGACTCGACGAGTCTTAAAAACAGTCCGACCGCAATACAACACCTGTGAAGACTTTTAGAGAGTTTTCGAAGATGAGGCCGTTGCGTATTCACAGCGTGAAACGCATAGGCCAGTAAAGGTACAAAATTTTTGCTAGAGAGCCAATACAGACAGAACAGCGCTATTTTCGGACATGTTGGTCGATTGATTGCCGCTGCGCCGGCCCGTCCAGTCGGGTCGGGATGGCGGCCGCGGCGAAATTGGGGCGTTGCCTTCACGTCAACCAACCCTCGACTATTTTCATTGAAGTAGGACTGCCCCGCTGCCTAGGCCGTCGAAGGGGTTTGAGGTGAGGCCCGTCCTCACTCTCGACTGTCGAAGACGGCTAGTTTCAGCAGGACAAGCCAAGCCGGCCAATGGTTTTGCTGGGAAACTCGACATGAATGCGAGTTCGTCAGAAAAAGCGTGGACGAAAGCCGATCGGTGTCGCGTCGATGGCTGGTTAATGCCGCCTGATTGTTCGGCAGACTGGAGACAAGGGTTAGGCGGTATGGAGAGAAGATATTGTGGTTGTATGACAAGGAATGTCATGACACTTGCCGGCTACCTGTGCCAGGCTGCAGCATTTTTCTTCTTCTTACTGGATAGGATCAGTAGCTTGGAGGCCCCAAGAAGGAGAAAAGCTGCTTGCAATCCTCTGCAAAAACTTGCAGCTGCAACCTCGGGAGATTGTGGGCGGGAGGATCGGCACCATGAGCCGTAGACGATCCCGGGAAGAAGTCAAATGTATAACATTGAACAGGAGGGTGCATTGTTGACGCACTGCTGCATCGGCGGAGAGAGAAGTCCAGGTTTGGCCCTTGAGAAAAGGCACAGACGGACGGAAACAATTGTGTTTGACTGGACCAGTGCCTCTTGGTGATCCGATGTTTGATTGGGTTGAGTTTGTATGCGCAGCGTGTCTGAGACCTCGTCGCGCATCTTGTTTGCGGATGTGTCAAGAGCACGAGCGAAACAGCTGAGAGAGTTCGTACGCAGTATACTCGGTACTCCCACCGGTAGCCGTAGCCCGTGGTAGCCGTAATTACTGCATATACTGAATTGTAATGGCACTGTCCAAACTCCAAATTGACGTTTGTACCTTTCCGGGGGCCGATGCGTGTCTTAGGGGCTTGGCCGGGCGTTGTTGCCGCTAGACCGGGCGACTCCAGAAAGCAGGGTAAGCCACAATGAGCTAGTTAGCTTTCTTGGTTGGCTAACTTTGGTCATCTAGGGTTACACTAGGAGTTGTTTGCACCTCAGAGATGGGGGTTCTAACTTCTGGAACAGCAGCCATGATGATGTTGTCTTCAGAACCAATCTGCAGATCGCAACATCCCGTCGTGAATGCCGTCGATTGTTCTCATTGTTTGTTTGATGAGGTGTCTGGACTAAGGTAAACTGTAAGGTACTCAGGCTGCGAGCAAGAGAGAGGCAGAGGGTGAAACAAGCCGTGACGGGGCGTGGAACTCTCACTCAGGAACCGTGTGTACGGAGTACTCGCCGTGCCTTCACAGAGAACGCATTCCTGCCACATAACTCCGGCCTCTGAACAACGACCGTGACAGGGCACAGCGCAGCATAAGTGTCGCAGAGTAACAAAAAGGCATTGCCATATTCCATACGTTGCGGTGAGACGAAAGGGCAGAATTACACGGACAGGAGAGAAGAAACATGAGAAAAAAGATGAAGTGGGCAGAGTATCCGTACCTGGCATGGTGCCATGGAAGGATTCGCATGTGGGCACTTGACAGGTTATTATCAAATTGCAACGACGGGACTGGGTCCGTTCCCTCCTTACCCGCCCTGGCTCGTGGAGATCTTTTCGAGGGTCACATAGTGCGATGTGCATCCGGGTAGGGCGAGCCCAGTCTGAGTTTCCCATTATTGCCTTGGGATGTACCCTTTTGGCTACAGATGCCCCAAGACGGTACAGGTATCCGCAGCTACGTGTGCGGTGTGAGGCGCATCCTGCCAAGTTGACACATACCAGACACAGCCAGGGACACCACTTGGCCCGCCCCAAGGAGGAGCCAGGAGTCTCTCTTCCTTCTTGATTATTAGGTTTCCAGAGTCAAGACTCCGCCTTCTTTCTCTGTGCGTGCGTAAGGTAAGGTACCTCACCTGAAGGGCCAAGGAGTACGTGCTGTCCAACATAAACTAAAGCAGATGCTCCCCCATCCCATCAGCATCAAGACATTCATGTTACTTTTGACCTCCATCTCACCTCTTCTCTCTCCTTACCGCTCGATGCCTTTTGCGTTCCCCCTTTCCCAACCAAGATCCTAGTTGATCCCGACTCTTGGATCGCTGCGCCTCGCATCGCTCGGGCTCCGTCTCTTCTCCTAAACACCTTTTATAACAAAGCTCGGCGGGAACTGCTGGTCTCTCACAGGCTTCAGCTGCATTCGCCAGTCCCGACCATGTGAGCTGCTTGCTCTTGGATCACGACCACACAGAACTCTATAATCCCAACAGTAGTCCTTTCTGTTCTTTGGCCCTCATGCCTTAACCTTTTCTTCTTCCTGCAGGGTCGCCGAGAGTTCCGATCAAGAAACAGAAAGAAACGAACCGTCGGGAGGTTTCGAGTTCGACTCGCCTTCCAGATCGCCTTTGCTTTAAGCTTTCGTCAGTGCTCCTGCCCACCGGGACCTGATATGAACTATTAGCCACCCTCCTCCCACCTCCATCCATTTCTCAGATTACCGATCTTGGCATCTTCTCTTTTACTGCATTAGAGTCATCAACCTGCATATTCGCTCGATCCCATTCTCGTCGGCGCGCGCTCATAGTTCCCTTGGCATCGTTCGCCAAAGCTGCTGTTGCTGCTATATTCGAAGAAGACTCGCATGCCATCGCCGCACGTCAGCCAGTCAAACTTGATTCAGCACATTGCGATTTCGTCAAACGACCACTGTACATACACACAATGATTGCGAACTTTCATAACCCGAGGCGACTTCGGACGCCCTTCATCGCCATCATCGTTTTCATCCTCATTACAGGATTTTTCTTGCTCTTCCACCAACCCCTAGTCCAATATTTCGTAATTCCATGGACAGCAGAACGTAAGTTTAGTCAATGGCCCTTTTGCTACCCTGGTGTGCTAATTTGGGTTCAGAATATGGCGGCAGCTGGATGAACGACTCTTCACCAAACTGGGTCCAACCAGCTCTCTACGAAGGCCGGCCAGACAAGTTTGGCGAAGCAAGTCAGTACGTGCAGGCAATCCTAGACCCTAAGAACGGAGGCTTTCCCATTGTCAACTGCCCAGCGACAAATCTCACTCGCTACGAAGTCCTGCGGCCTACCATGAATATGAACAAGAGGCACTACTTCTTTGCTCTCGACTTGCGACAGGTTAGAGATCTCCTGCCTCAGTTGATAGGAGCTGTTCTGGAAGCGATGAACGTCATTGGGCCGGAGAACTGCGCCCTTTCCATTGTTGAGGGTATCTCCACCGATGGTACATATGAGACGCTCTACCGCCTGAAATCACACCTCGACCAGATGGGAGTTTCCTATCACCTACAGACGAGCAGCATTGATTCCCACAGTGGCGACCGCATCGGCAAGCTCGCCAAGCTGAGGAATCTGGCCTTGGAACCTATGATGGCAGACGCGGATGCCTACGACCCGAAGGCGACGATTATTTTCCTCAACGACGTTGCTGCATGCACCGAGGATATTTTAGAGTTGGCATACCAGAAGCAAACGCAGGGAGCCGATATGACTTGCGCGATGGACTACCACTTCCTCCGATTTGCGCCGCACAATGGAGAACCCTCGTTCTACGATTCGTGGATCTCTCGCGCCATCAACGGCGACACCTTTTTGCCGATCCCCGACAGAACACCCAAGGGAGAACAATGGAGCGACGTGGCGAACATGTTTTGGAACCACCCGTACTCCCAGGATCGATACCTCAGCCGTAAGCCGCTGCAGGTGTTTGCGTGCTGGAACGGAGGCGTTGCGGTGACTGGAGAGCCCTTCCTGAAGAAGCAGATTGACTTCCGGAGGTCATATCAAGGGGAGTGCCATACCGGCGAGCCAACACTGCTGTGCAAGGATTTGTGGAAGTTGGGTCACGGCAAAATCGCCGTCGTGCCGAGCGTCAGCTTGGCATATAATGTGAAAGACGGACGACAAATCAAAGAAGAGAGGGGGTTTGCGTCGGCCTGGACCATTAACGAGAACAATGGAGAGCCACCAAAGATCAATTGGCAAGAGGAGCCGCCAGCGATGGTCAAGTGTATGCCGACGTTCAGGAACCAATTCTGGCGGCCGTGGAATGAAGGTCTGTGAAGAGGCCCAGCTCGAGGCGCTATAGGAAGGGGGTGGTGGAAGAGGTGGAATTTTTCATTGTAGAGAGCATCAACCATGATACCCGGTCGCATAGTGTTTTGGGATAGCAGGCGCTACTATCAACTATCTTTGAACTTTGCATCTCCGTATCCGACGACATCTCTGAATATTGATGTGATAGGTTTCTAAGCATTTTTTTTTTCTATGGTATCTAGAACACGGATGCTCATTTGCGTAGGGTCTAGTCCGAAGTCGTCAAAAGACGGCGGCCCTTTGATCGGAAAGCCACATCGATGGTAGATGTCCCATCGGGTACCCCCTGCGTTGGAACGCCGTTGCATGCTGCATGCGTACCGTCTCTTAGGGTCCCAAAGGCCGAACACAGGCGCCGACCACTCGACGGATCCGGGGGAATGGGGGCGGAGGCGTCTTTGTAAGGTAAGGTAAGGTAGTAGGGAGGGACATATAAGCCGGCACTCCACATTCCCCCGTCATTTCAATTTCCGGGGCCCGGCCGGGTGAAGAATTCAGTCACCACCTTCCGGCTCCGGTACCGAAACTTCGGCCCCGGTCCCTACCAACCCGGCCAGCCGGCGGCGGCGTTACCTCAATCTTCGACCGGCCTCGCTATCAGGGAGCGGCACACCCGGGCTCTGTTTTGCGACGTACCCGATGGTACCGGAACGGGAGATCGAGCGAATACCTCAAACAGCGCCGCAGCCGCAGCCGTCCCCGGCAACGATTCCTACGACCTGAGTCGTCGGCCGGGTCTCTTCCTTCCAACACAGCGCGGTTTGAAAAGGGGGGTTTGGTCATCGAGTTTTGCTCCGTAACCAACGGGCTTTTGGTTACATAGGGCACGGCGTAAATACTCTACGCAGCCACTCTTCAAACTACTACTTATAAGCAAGTCAAGAGATAGAAAGCCAAGCCCGTTGCGTGCAATGTTGTGATGTTATTGTCTTGTCCCAGAAGGATATTAAGGTTTATGATACTTTTTTGGGTCTTTCATCGAGCTCGGGATATTATATGAGGTCTCCCAAGCTCGCCCAAAATGAAAAAAAAGGGGGAATCGTAAGTACAGGGTAAACAGCGCAAAGTAAGGTACGCTGTTCACAAAACACAAAAACAGGATATAAAGCGCTGATCGAATACAAATCTCCAAACCATCCATCTTTTTCTTTCGTCTCTCCAGAAACACCATCGCAAAAAAAACACATCAAAGGTTCATCAAGCCGCTCCGTACATTTCGAGTAGATCAGGGGAATCGTAAGCATCAGCAAAAAGTTCCGGCCAACATTAAACATCCCAACAGAGCACGTGGATCGACTTCCTTCCGCCAGCTGCTTTCGTTTTCATTATACTCGTGACACATGGCACACTGACGCTGGTATTGACAGATGAGATTGCTTGAGGCAGCATATTAGAGTCAATGCCAGGTCAACGCTTCCAAATGGGCCAGTCGTAAAGAATTAGAGCAGCGCAGCGACGAAGGCGGCACCGAGGAGGACCGCCATGCCGGCGGGCCCGTTGCTGCTTCCGGCGTTCTGATTGGGGGCGGATGCCGAGGTGGTCGCCGCCGAGGGGAGGACGGTACTCCTCGCGCTGGAGCGAGTCGATGTCGTGGCCAGGGTGGTGCCGTTGCTGGAGGCGAAGGCTGTGCTGGTACCGGCGCTGGGAACAAAAGTAGATGAGACCTCGGTGGTCACCTCGGTAGTGCTGGGCACTGCAGACGTGGAGGGGGCGAGGGTGGACGAAGGGGCGGGAGTGCTGGAAGTGGTGACGACGACGGAAGACGTGGTGGTAGGCGGCGCCGGCGTTGAGCTGGTGGTCGGGGGAGGGGTGGTCTTGCTGGTGGTGGGAGGAACGGAAGTGCTCGCGACGACGGGTGGGTCAGAGGTGAGGCCGCTAACGCCGTGCTTTGCGGCGCAGTCGGCGAGGTTCATGCCGTTGGGGCAGCAGGTCGTGTCGCTGTTGCTGCCGTGGGTGCAGTAGAAAGATGACAAGCAGGAGTCTGTTGGGACGTGTTAGTATTCATGATGCAGTCTGCAGGTAGTATACGGGACATTAACTCACTTCCGGTGGTGGTTGAGCAGCAAGTCTCGCCGGCGGCCGGGTTGAAGCAGTGGACGGCCTGGTCGGTGGACTTGCACTGCTCATAGCCGGTTCCGCAAGCCTCAGCGCAGGTGTTACCACCCTTGTTGCAGACTTCGTCGGCAGGCTGGTAACCGTCGTCGGCACGGCGCATGAGACCCAAATCTCTTCCGGCGGTGATGCTGCGCTTGAAGATCTTGGTCTGCTGTTGCGCGAAAGCCTGGGCGGCGAAGGCCACGAAGGCCACAGAGGCGAGTGAGCGGATATGCATTGCGATAGCGGATTTGCCGGGGGGTTCAGTGGTGATTGAAAATGATTCGATCGGGTAGTCGGTCGATTGGAGTCTTTTCTCGAAATTTCCGAAGGACAATAGACTCAATGGTGGTTGTGGGTTGGGAGTGAGCGCAAAGTCGACGCGGAACGAGTGAATCGACGACGAACAACGAGAGTATCGACGGAGCGAGAGAGAGAGAGAGAGAGACGAGTACTCTGGACGTGTGATCGTGACGAGGAGGTGTAAAAGAGTGACTGGGCTGGAGGAGCCTGACCTAAAAAGCGAGCGACGATGCAAAGAGCGTTGCGGGAGAAAGACAGAGGCAGAGCGAGGGACGGCGAAAAGACTGGAGATGAAGTGGAGAGAAAGAGTGGGAGAGACTGGGAGTTGAGTCGCGAGACGGGGGGCAGCAAGACATGGGGATGAGTCGGCGACAGGCGAAGGGTGGCACGGGGCAGCCCTGGCCTGGGATTAGGATTGGGAAAGCGTTACTAACACCAACACCAACACTACGGGTGACACTAACAGGTCTGTCAGTCCAACAGATGGACACCTGGACTGGGCGAGAGACAGAGAGAGACGGAGACAGAGATGATGGCTGATGGTTGTTCCCAAGTGCGCTCAGCACCGATTCGGAAGGATCCTCCTTTTAATTTCATTTGCCTGGACAGCAACCACTTGGAGTCGCTTGGCCGACAGGGCCAGCCACGATGACCCCGGCTTGGAGGGGAGCGCGCTTCCATTCGGATCAGAGGCTTTCCAGAGCAGCCAGTGGTCGGCGGTCGCTTGCTTGGTCGGTGAACAGACCGTTGCCTGGGGGTGTCGATGCTAGCCAGCATCGGCAGCCCCCAATGGATCATGTTGGGCGAAGAGTGGACGAGGTTATGGTGGACTGGTGGTGTAGCGGCTTGCCATTGTTCGTTCCCACCAGGTTGACTCCTGCTCCTGTTTGGAAGTGTTTGGAGAGGGTGGCACTGGCCCTCGTGCGGCGTCTCAAGTGGACGGCAATGAGAAGAAAAAGGGGATGAGCTGGTGGTCGTTTATGCGCCCAAAGTATTTCGTACTTTTAGTTTCTTCTCTCTCTCAGCGCAAACTTGGTGACACGGCAATATTCTCACGACCTCAGCCCAGCCTCGCTGACCGCCACTGTCAAGTGTCAACAGCAACAACAACAACAACAAGTCCGTCCACTCGTACGAATACAGACTCCAGTTGCAGCGGTCCCTCTCCGATGCCTCCACGATTCCACCGAGCGAGGGTGCCGGGGGCCCTGGAAAGTGGGAGAGGAGGCCCTGGAGCCTTTGAGAAAGAAACGGGCAAACGTGACCGCCCCCAGAAGTAGAGAAGCAGCAGGGAGGCTTGTCGCGTCGACGGGGGGCATTTAGAGGGGCAAGGTCAGACACTGGCAGGGAGAGACAATCCAGTTCCAGTACCCAGAAAAAGAGAGAGAGAAACGACAAAAGTCGCGATGAGACCAGAAGGGGAAAGACCAACGGCTGGAAATCTGCGCCTGGGAAATGAGACAGGTGGCGCGCGCCAGCCAATCTTTCTTTTCAGGAGATTTCCAACGTGCGCCTTCCTCACCTTAGAGTCGCACAGGTTTTTTCTTCCTGCCAATTGCGTTGACCCATTCCTTTTTAGGTGGATCCCCACGGCTGCCCCTGTTCGTCCAGTCCCGAAAAAGCTAGTGCCACCATCGGGTACCTTGCAGCGGCCAACCCAGACGTGCATCATCCGCCAATCGTCTGGATGAGATTCTCTTAGTCACCCCAGCCATTGTCCCACTCACGTGCACTATCCCACTCTCCAGTACAATCGGCTGCGAACCTCTCTGTCTCTGTCTCTGTCTCTGTCGTATCTCTGTGCCTCTAAGAAGGGCGACAAGGCCCTCCTTCCTTTTTCTCGTCTTTCTCGGCCCCCCACCAGCTCGGCCATCTGACGAACCATCGGACGCCGTTTCAGGTGGCGTCCCGGTGCTGATTCGCCCGTTCGCCTAGGTCAACTCTTTTTCTCAACAAGCATCACTTTTAAACATACTTGTAGGTACTTCCTTAGCCGCGGCAAAGAGCGTAATCGAGAATGTACATCGTGTACGGATACAATGGGCAATGGGCAAATGAGAAGATGGCTCTATGCACCTAGGGATCTGGAAATTGCAACATGACGTTGCCTTTGCCAGGTTTCCCCATCCTTGGATCCCCCCCAAAGTCCAACCCAATCCCTTTTTTGCAATTCACTCTCCCTTAAGGGAAAGCGCCGCCGATTATCATCACGTCCAATTTCGTCGTCGTCCAGAAACGGTCATTCTAATGTGCCAATGGACCACGAGTTCACGATCCGTGGCACATTATCCCAAGAGTCCAGAGCACCAACGATCACGGAAGCAATACCCCGTACACCACCACAACCAGGATTTAGCACGGTCGATAGCCGCCGGATGGCCTCGAGTCCGGCTCAAACCCAAAACTGTGGCCGGCCTTTTTCGATTCTGTTGCTGGCCTACTAAGGTAACGCGACGTGAGATGCCTGACGACGCTAAGCTCCAGCGTCTCGTCGTGTTTCCAAATTATCGGATTATCTCGGTATTTCTGGGCTGCGTATCCGCCCATATCTAAGGTAGAGCGCGGAAACAAAAAAGGCGAGAAACATGTTGTAGCAGATGGTCCTTTTCCAGACACATTTTCCTTGCTATCCTATCTGTTTGGTCAACCACCTTGTCACGCTCAAGACTCACCTGAATCCCAAGGACGAAGCGTTTCTCGAGAAAAAGGGTCCAGAAAGGGTTCAGCGCGAATTTGACTCGAACTCAATCGAACTTTGGACGATGGTGCTATCGGATTTGTTCGAACAGACGTACGCCGTAGCCTATCTTTGGTAGGTCGGAAAAGCTTTGACTGTGTCATTGGCTGTGCGCATTATTGGCATATCGCTGTTGATGCTGCTGCAACGAGACATGCTGAAGCTTGGGTGGCTGCTTTCGATGCGAGAACTCTTGGCGCTGTCGGCTGTATTCGGGCAAACGAACGGGAAAGGATAGGGGTTTATATCCGTAGCCGAGGCGATCCTGAGCCGTCGATCGGCCTGATATCTTTCGAGAGGCGAGTGCTTCATTGCAAACTTTGGTCGCTGAAGCTCCGCAGAACCTTGATATCGCCGGTGTATTATGACTGTGTCTTTGCGTCGTTTTTCTTTTCTCTTTTTTGCCATTGTGATCCAAATTCCCGAGCTCGCATGGCCTAAAGATATTCTTGCCATTGAAGCTATTCGCGACTAGCATGACTACGCTTCCAGCGCCAAGATACTTCTTGTGAGGTACTCAAGTCTGAGGCTCTGCTAGCAGCCAGCTCACTTACACCACACGAAGGAAGCATCTCAAGTTGATACTTCACAGGTACCTATCCTGTTCTATTCTGATGCTTTCGGTGGCGGACTTAATGTGTTCCGTAGCATCGGCATACTCTTGACCTCACATATCAAGGCCGGTCTGGAATTGAAGGCTGGAGGCAATAAGTCGTGTGAGGAGGGACTCACATGGCATGTAAAGTGTCACACAGAGAAGAGCAACCGAAGTACATACAGGTGACTTGATCGCTTGAACGGCAAGGGATTAATCCTTCGCTTTGGTCAACAAAACAGTCATCTAACCACAATGAACCAAGCAACGGAAGGAGCAGGACCTCGGGCTACTTCACGATGCTAGAATACTCACTCTACCTATCATCCGACCCACACAAAGTATGGCATATGGTGGCATATCATACGTAGGTGATGCAACTTCTACTATCGTGGCTTGTACTATCGCGGGGGGGAAAAGAGAAAAACCAAAAATCAAAAGAGTTCACCCCGGTGCTGAACTGGGGGCTACATCTCTGGTGCTCAAGCTGGGACTCGAACCTCGAACCCGGTGTAGGCTAAGCCAGTTGAACAGGCTCGCCCTTAACCATCCCGCCAAACGGCAGTTTTGACCTGACCTCGCAAGCCTGCTGAGGCGCCTGCTGCCGTTGGTGACGGGAATGGACTTGAGGGGGGGTATATAGGCTTCCTTCCTCAGGGTTTGCCATTCATCTGAAGGTTGAGGCCCATCAAGGTACTCAGCCTACAGTGCCCTTAGGGCGACGAGGAATCCGTGATGAATATCGACCAGATTCTCACCGGTATACTTTGGGAAGCAGGGGGCCGAGGAGACACTGCCATAGTAGACTGCCTACTTTACTTCCAAACCATGATTCATGGCGTGGACACATGGTTAAGCTGAGTTTTCTCATGTATCTTGGGAATATTTTTGAGAAGACTATCCGTGTCTACTGAGCTTCAGACTGATATCTGGTTAACTGATCCCGATTCCCCACATCCTCATTTAAAAAAACATGTCGCAAAGCAGAAAAGCGCGGTATTCACCGATATCGAAAGAGACAGCAAAGTGAAAGTAGGAGAAACTTTAATTAAAGGTACGGGTATATACAAGTTCTCTTCTATCCGTCGTGACCGATGTGTTTGTTTATTATCTACACCAAATTCGTTTCATTCATTTCATCCCAGGTGGTAATGATTTAGAGGATGGGGTGGGTATCGAGAGGAGAGGAGAAGAAGGCCTTTATGACTCCAAGTGCTTGGAGGCGGCCTTGTCGCCGAAGGCGTCGTCTCTGGCCGGGTCGCCAATGACGCCGTGCTCGTCCGTGTTTCCAATCTTTGAGGCGCTGAAGCTGTCGAGGTCCTTCTTCCAGACGGTGTTGAGGAAGATGGGGTAGGCGAGGGAGACGACGAAGCCGGCGAGGGGCACGACCATGGAGATGTGGTATCCCTTGGTGTCGGCGACGAGACCAGTGAGACTGGGGAAGAGGGCACCACCCTATGAAAGGAATTAGCAACAATGTCTCGGGAGGAGTACAGAAACTTGTGGGTGATGAGAGAAAACTTACACAAACGGACGCGACGATCCAGGAGCTACCGCGCTTGGTGTGTCTGCCGAGACCGCGGATGGCGGTGGTGAAGATGGTGGGGAAGATGCACGACTCGAAGAAGAGCACGAGGGAGAGCATGGCGATGCCGCCCTCGCCCTTGATGCCGATGGCCAAGGCGATGAAGATCATGATACCGGTCATGAAGACCATGAGGACGAGACGGGGCTTGATGACCATCATGAGTCCGGCGGCGGCGAAACGACCGATAGCAAACAGGCCCTGGCCGATGGCGTAGCGGTCGCTGGCCTCGGAGTGGGTCAGGCCGGCGGACTCGACGGCGTAGGAGATGAACTGGGAGGCGACGGCGACCTGGGCGCCGACGTAGCAGAACTGGGCGGCGACGCCGAAGAAGAGGCGGTACTGCTTGCGGAGGGGCTTGTCGTCGTGGCCCTCCTCGCCGGCGACCATCTCGGCCTGGAGGGCCATGTCGCTGTCGGTGATCTCGGGGAGCGGGACGACGAAGAAGACGACGGCGAGGAGGAAGACGAAGGCGGCGATGCCGAGGTAGGTCCACTGCACCTTGGACAGGTCGTTGGGCTCGGTGTGGGAGAAGAAGACGCGGGCGGCGAGGAGCGGGGCGATGACGGAGCCGACGGCCTGGAAGGACTGGGAGAGCTCGAGGCGGAACTCGGAGAGGCGGGGCGGGCCGCAGGTGGCGATGAAGGGGTTGGCCGAGGTCTCGAGGGTGGAGAGGCCGGAGCCGACGATGAAGAGGGAGCCGCAGAAGCCGGGGAAGGAGCGGTAGACGGCGGAGGGCCAGAACATGAGGGCGCCGACGCCGTAGATGCAGAGGCCGGTGATGAAGGTCCAGCGGTAGCCGAACTTGCGGACGATCCAGCCGGAGTAGGTCAGGGGGCCGATGAAGTAGGCGCCGAAGTAGGCGCCCTGGAGACCGCCGGCCTTTGCGGCGGTGATGTTGAGGGCGATTTGGAACTTTGAGTTGAGGACGTCGAGGAGGCCGTACTGGACATGGGATTGTCAGTATGTTGGATATTTGACGTCAGAGGACTATGACTTACAGCGAAACCCCAGAGGAAGAAGAGGACGGTGACCAAGGTAATGGGCACGATGGACTGCTTGACGGTCAGGGCCGACGCGCCGGTCAAGCCCTTGTTGGAGACGTTCTTGCGGTGCTGTTGCGCCGTCGCCTCGGCCGTGCTGGGCCGGCGCTGCTCGAGGACCTCATTGACGTCTGGCTCCTGTCTCTTGCCGAACATTGTGGAGGATGTGGTGAGCGGAGTCGGGAAGTGTTGGACGGTTGTTGGTAGAGTGGGAGGAGGAAGAAAGAAAGAAAGAAGAGGGAGATGAGATGATATATAGATGAGACGAGATTGCACTCAGAAAACCCCCGCTAGAATCGCGAGTGTATATGTTTGAGAGTGAGAAGAGTCAGATGCTTTACTGCTCAGGAAGTTCCCTGTCGCCTGATGGAGAAATTCTTCTTCCTTCATCTCGGTGCGGCTTGTCGCATTCATATATACTCATGAAATCCCCGGCCGGGGGTGTGTGAGTGTGAGAGTGAGCCCCTCCCCCCAGACCCAAGGGCCCATGGGGTTACGACGCGACCACGATGATGCGGAGAACTAGCCGAAGCTAGAGAGAATATGGGAAACCTCCAACTCGGCGAAACCGTCGTGCCCATCATCCACGCCACTTGGCCGGGGGGACACCATAGGCCGTAGACTGAGCGACTAGGCCTGGCTGGATCCGACGTCGTGGTTAAGGTGGAGTTTTTCCTGGTCCGAACTAGTCGCATACCACTCTGACCTCGACTCTCTTTTCGCCCTTGGGGCCTACTACGGAATGTTCCCAACGTTGGCACGTTTTCCCATGCGCACTACTGAACAACCCAAGTCTACGTACTGTACTCTGTATATTGCAGACAACCTTCGCGGCATGCGAGAAGGGGGGTGAGATCCACACCACCCCGACGGCAGAGATCTCGCTCAAACACCAGAACAAGCTTCATCGATCAACTCGGTAGTCTCTGTGCTTAGCAGAAAGCCACTGCCATCGAATGTGTGGCCGGGGCTAGGTAGCTAAAGCAAGTGATGCGCTGATCAACACAGCTAACCTTCGGAGCGCACGAACCCTCGAGTGCTCCAGCCTTCCTTGGAGACAAACTGACAACCTGCAAGCTCTTTAGTCGTCTTCTTGACGGCCTTCTAGATGCGAGACCACGATGTTGATCACCCGGGGCAGGCACACGGTAGCGGTAGCGGTAGTGGAAGTGGTAGCGAACTGAGGCAAAAGAGGAAAGAGCCCGCAACTCTCTCTCAGGCCCAAGCAGTCCCAGCTTCGCGCTTCTTTCCGGGCTTCGTACCCACGGCTTTGTGGTACCCCGGCACTTGAGGCATAGCTTTTTCTGTTCAAGCTGCAAATGTATTTCCAATAGCAACGCGGCAAGACAGCCGCCAACATGCCTTATCTCAGCCTGGGCAGCAGCAGCAGCCAAGCACGCGAAAGAATGGGAAACCGGCCAGGGGGGGGTGGCAGGGAGCTAAAGATAAAAAGGCCGAGAGACGCCGCAGAAGCTTGACAGAAGAAGCGTCGCGGGAGGTGGGCGGGCACGGCGGCCCACGCCGCTAGTTCGAATCCCCATGGGCCAAGAGGTCGAGAGGTTGAAAGGTTCCAGCTTTTTTGCCCGCAGAGGGAAGATGTCCACAGCAAGTTTGGGGTTTGGGGTAAAAGAGTGGGCGCTGCGTGCGGGGGAAGCACCCAAAAAACATAAGCTCGCGTGGAGACGAGACATTCTCCGCGCGCGGTCAGAGAGTTACCCAGTGGAGGGGCGGGTACTCTGTACCGCAAATTCAGCGAGTATATCGACGGTTCCAACTGTTGACGCGGGGACTGGGGGAGGGTTGGGGGACGCGCGGGGGGGACGATTGGCTCGCCCTGTCCGGATCTAGCATGGCGCTACGGGTACTATCTCGCAAAAAAAGAAGAAGAGACGGTCTAGTCTACTTCACAGTAGTCTCTGGAATTATTGGGTTGCTCTGTGAGTGGGTTTTCGGTTCGGTGGTTGTAGGTTAACGGGCATGTATCATGTATCATGTATGACTGTTGAGGCTTTTTTCCCTTTGGTGTTTTTATTTCGCTTGCGGTGTGATGATGGCGTTATTGATGAAAAACTTATTGAGGGTAATACGGTTACACACGAAATGTTTATGAAAGCGTTGGGAATGAGCAGCAGAGACTCGGCCGAATCCTATACGCCGCACCTCTACTGTGAAGGCAATGAGGCTTTAACAGGGCTCCCACCGGACATCTCTCCGAAGGATCGTGCCATGTTGTGTGCGTATCACATCAGACAGCCTGCAATATGTCTGTATTTCTCTCTGTAACACCGAGTTGTGAGGATTCTCTATCAAACAACCTCTCTTGGCAGATGGGGACCGCTCCACCAAACAGTCCTCCCATGTGAGAATACCAAGAAACAACGAGAAAAAAAAACCTCAATGGTGCCATTGCATCATGTGATAAGATCATGGCCCTCGAAATTGGCCCTCCCCGCTGAAGAGACATTTGGGTCATGCGGGGGATGATGGGACTCTTCTTGCTTCACGTCTGTCGATCCTGGGGTTTTAGGAGCTCCAGTATTCCCAATTCTCCAGACTCCTCCTCCAGACTGCAGAAGGCGACGACGCAGAAACCTGGAGTCTGGAGTCTGGAGAACACAAAAAAAAGGGGACAAAAAAAAAGTGGCGAGGTGGGAACTGGGGTAAAACCGTAGACCGCAATCAAATGGCCTAGACTCTGCAGTCCCTCACTAAAACCTGAAGAGCCCCATCAAAAAAACCCCAACCCAAATAAATGATTTGGATTCCTTGACTCGACTCGCGCACACCTACCTACCCAACCCACCAGACTACCTTTCCACAAACTCACAGAAGAAACAGAGACCGAGACTAGCTGCCACCTGACGTAGAGGTAACGCCGAGACTAACGTCCCCTTCCCCACGCGAATCCAGGTGCCGGCGCCGTGGATATTCGGTCCGATGCATCAGGCGGGCTAAGACGTACTTAAAGGGTACAAAATAGTAGTAGCAGCTGAGGCAGCTAATGCGAGGTCTGGTTCGCCCGCTGCCCTGCCCAGCCCAGCCTGCCGGTAATGGTATGCAACAATAGCGTACGATGTTTCTCTCGCAAGAGCCTCAGCCGCGCCGGCGGGAGGGAGAGACGCCAGACGCCTCCTTTTTTTTAATCTTCGGGGGAACTACAAAAAATACCTCATGGATGGATGGGACCAGAAAGTGTATTGAATCAACGATTCGGATGGAATGAGTAATGGACTCTGGGACTGCCACTATTGCAAGCCCAAACGTTTTGTTGGGATCTAAATCAGAATAATTCCCTCGATTATCAGTGCCCAACTTTCATGACACCATCAGGGACACACCATATGGGAGAACGATATACCTTTTTTCGTTACAGACTACTTTGACAAGTGGACAAAGTGGACAGATCTGGCCAAACGACACGAACCGCGACATGGGCGGCTGGCGATGAAAATAAAGTGGCAGCAAGGTTCACCTCGCAATCGACAGAGTGTAGTGGAGACGTGAACATTGCTGCCACGTTGGCACGTGGACACATGAGATTGAACAGGGCGGCAAGCTTCCAGCTTTGCATCAGTCATGTCGCTAGTGTGTCTTTCTACCTCAGGTTGCGTACGAATACATGTGATATGGCATAGCTAGGTCTGTCTGTCTTGCGCTGCTCGAGGCCGGTCTGGGTATTATCCTCCTCGAAACCAATTCCACTCCTCCTCCCCAATTCCTTGCACCTTGCTCCTAACGATACACACTATATAGCACGTTCTTATCGCGCTCCCCCATTAAAATTAACCTCAGCAGCGCGTTCCAAGAAAACCACCGTCCGTCTTCTCGTGAAATATTATACACGCAAACCCCCAATCCATATCATAAAAAGTACCACCGGCTGGAGAATCATGTTGACGAGAACAGTCTAGTCGACCGGCTCGCGCAGCATTTTGGAGATGTTCTTGTGCATTTGGGCATACTTGTCCTCAAATGTTCGCTGGAACTTCTCACATGCCGCCCACATGGGATCGCCCTTTTTCCAGTACGTGTAGCAGTTTTCGAAAATCTGGCGCACGTCGGCCGCAAACTCGTCTTCTGTCTGGTACTGGTGTTGCGACATCTTGAGCTTGACTGTGTTTAGGTCCATTGGTTTCTTCACCTTCTCAAAGTAATCGGGTACACCATCCTCGGCAGGATCGACAGGTTCCTTGAATGGCCCAACCAGTCTCGTCCAAAAACCTGTAAGAGGTCAGCTTGTGTGACTACATGTAAGGGTTCGCCAAGACATGACATACCAGGTCCCGATAGCATTCTATCAAGAAGATCGGAACAGAACTCGACCTTTTGAGAGGTCGTGATTTCGCCACTTGGCCCCGTAACAATGCTGCGTCGTTTTTGGACGACGGGCTTTTGACGAGGTGCCGATGCTGCCGCCGCTACAGCCGCCGCCTTGCGGACCGGGGGAGGTGGCGCGCGGGAAAACGCCTTGTCTCTATTCTGGGACGCCGGTAACGGCGCAGAGGCCCGCCTGTTCTTCTTGGACATGTGTTCTTGTTCCTCTTCACTGTCCTCCTCCAGATAGTGCACACTTTTTCTAGGGGTGGGCTCGGCGGACGCAGTGTCGGCTGCTGCAGGGGGCGTAGGCAGGTTCTCGAGTGAACTCATGGTCACGACCAGCTCGCTCAGAACCTCCTGAGGGAGAGACTTGGCAAACTCGGCCTTCTTGTCGGATGAGCGCATATACTCTGCCGCCCACGAGAGGAGGAGCTTCCGAATAGTTGAGCCCTCAGGGGTGTCCTTCCAAACCTGGACAAGAAGGGGAGTGGCGGGGATATTCTGAGTGAGACGTCTGCACTCTTTCATTGCGTCAAGACTCGTATCGCAGAGACCATCGATACCCAGTTCGTGACCCAACTTCCACACACCAACAAGTGCCTCATAGGACGGGAACGACCCTGCATCCTCTGAGACTACTCCAGTGAAGAGAAACAGCTGAGCCAAGCCGAAGACCTCCGGTGTGTACTGTGGGAGCTTCACCACATTCTCGATGGCCTCGGAGGCCGCGTTCTGTTCTTTGAAGTAATCATGGTAGTATTTTGATTTGGCACACAAGAAGTCTCTCTGAAGGCCAAACGGCTTCTGTTCGGTTCCGACGAGGACGATGGCGAACGTTGAGTGCGGCTGACTAGGAGTTGTTAGATCAATGTGCTTGTGACACCAATGCCATTACCTACAGCCATGAGAACGGCATCTCCTGCTCCTCCGTGGGCTCTTGCTTGGCCTCCGGAGTGGCAACCTCGGGGATGCCATTCGAAGCGGCGACCGGCGCATCGGTTGACATCCTGGCCTGTACGGTGATGTGGATCGACCTAGATGGTGTTAGTCGAGCTGAAGAAAAAACTCCGATTCGTGACAGCCACTCAAGAATGTCATCAAGCAAGGGTGCATTAAAGGAAACGGGGAGATGAGTGACCAGGTGATGAGAGGGAGACTGTTTATAACGATGTCGTCGTTCACAGAAGTGAATCGTCGGCATGAGAGTGAGGTCGTGTGAGTGAATCACAGCATGAGCCAAGCTGTGGTGCCTGTCTGATGCCAATCGGGGTGTATTCAGACGCAGACACGCGGGATAGAAAGTTTCTCGTTTACAGGAACGTGAGGGATAAAGATAACTTACAATGGTGTTCAGCTGTCGGCGGATATGATGAGATACAATGCGGAGCTTAATGAACGAGGTAGCTGACGAGGAACAGGTGGTCGAATCGTGGTCTTACAATCGCGGGCAATGGCGACGGAAAAGTGAGTTGAATACAACGCAGACAATGGGAGAAGATGTGCGACAATGAGATGGTGTGTTTGATGGCATCCAGAGGATGAAGAGGAAGCGTGTAGTTGAAAATTTGCTCCCTGGGACGTTATTGCCAGACAGACTCAACCTTGAGAATGAAGCGGGAAGGTGTGAAACGACAGCACCTGCTGTGGCTCCCCGTGACTGTGGGTGGCCTGTGCGGGAGCTTCCTCAGGCCCATTGTGCACGTGTTCCCCGGCGCCCTGGTCCTGCCAAAATTGAGGACCTGGAAAGACCAGCTTACGCCACAGTTGCCGTCACGGTGCACCGCCACTTACCGCGAAGACAAGACTCAGGCAACACAGGGTAAGGTAGGGATGTTTCCATCTCAAGGTTTCTGTAAAGCCAAGAAGGTTCTTCATCACCTCCTGCTAGTTGCTGTCATCGAATCATCAAGGATCTTCACAGCCCTCCGCTCTTGCCCCGGCCCCATAGCCATGGCTAAGCGAGGTCGACCGTCCGTCAGGACCTGAAGGGAAAGTGCGAGTGCATCCCGTCACGTCCCAGGAACTCGGCTTCGCAGTTCAAGGTTGACGGGCAGGAAGCAGACAGGCATGTGTTGGACTTTATCAATCTCCTTATCCTCGGAGCTCGCCGTAGTCAACGGCCACACTTCCCAAAAAAGTTGCCATCGCGGACGATTCCCCTTGCTAAACAGACAGACACACCGCGACAGTCAACACACGCCTTGTCGAATCGCATTGGCGCTACTGCAAACCACTCTCCCGATTATCGCCCCGCGCTCCAATTGACCTCTCACGTCCCGTATCTCGAGCAGGTGGGAGTGCTACCCCCCACAAATGGGCCCCAGTCCGTCGACGGCAACGACGGCTGACAAGACCTGACAAGCACTTTTAACTGTTGGCCAGCTTCCTTTTCAAGTCAAGAGCATTGCCAACATCGCTTCCCGTGTGGAGATTGGAACCTTTTTTTTTTCCCACCATGCTGCCCCAGCTGGAAAGATAGATAGAGAGGAGACTGTAAATATAAAGTGTCGCGAAGCTGCGCAAGTTGGTCACAACCATTGTTTGTGTCGTTGTCCCTCCCTGTTTCCGGTCTTCGCCAATTTTTGTGAGAGAGAATTGTAATCTACAAACTCGAAAACATGTCTCGAACAATTGGACTCCTTGCGGTCGCTGGCCTGTTGCGCACGGCCGCTGCCGGCCTTTACCCGGGACTGACCACCGCCAACCACACCTGCGCTCTCGGTAAGACCTCGGTGAGCCATTGAGGACCTTAGGACATCAACTGACGCCTCACGCCTCACAGTCGAACCCATTCTGTCTTGCTCTTGCGGCGCAAACCCCGACAAGGTCGACACTTGCTGCGTTGAGACGTACGGAGGCTTGGTGGTATGAATGAATTCTGTCTATCTTAAATATATTGGTGAATTAACTGAGAAATTTTGTGGTGGACAATAGCTCGCGACGCAGTTTTGGAACACCCACACCGGTCTTGAAGCCGAGGGCCAAAAGCTGCCCGCCGACGCGTGGGGCATCCACGGCCTGTGGCCCGACTTCTGCAACGGCTCGTACACCCAGTACTGCGATCTCAGCCGTCAGTACGACCCGGCCCCTTCGCCCAACACCACCACCGGAAAGGCGGACGGCACCCCGGTCCCCGCCTGGACCGGCGTCTCCCTGGATGAGTTTGTCAAGCCCTTTGAGAGGTTTGATCTTCTCGAGTACATGAAGAAGTAGGTGCCCTCGTTCACGAACAAAACCCTCGCCCATTCAGAGAGAAACGTAATCTTAAAAAACTCACCGTATTTTAGGTTCTGGATCGCCCAGTACACCCCCAACTGGGTCCTCTGGGCCCACGAGTTCTCCAAGCACGCAACCTGCTTCAGCACCTTTGACGTGGAATGCTACGGCCCCAAGTACCAAGAACACGAAGAGGTCGTCGACTTCCTCGAGACCGCCGTCCACTACTACCAAGAAACCCCGACCTGGAAGTGGCTCGCCGCCAAGGACATCCGCCCCTCCAACAGCACCGCCTACTCCCTCTCGGACCTCCAGGCCGCCCTCAAGGAGGGCCACGGCGCCGTCCCTTACCTGGGCTGCTACGGACCCCGGTACAACGCCACCGAGGCCGGCAAGGGCTCGCTCGACAACGGGTACACACAGCTCACCGAGGCCTGGTACTACTTCCACGTCCACGGCAAGCCCCAGCGCGGGGACGCCGTGCCCGTCGCGGCTGACGCTAATGGCGGGCGCGTGACGAACTGCGCGACCACGCCTGGTGCTGTTTGGTACTACGAGCGCTCTGAGGGTTCGGTCCAGTAGGAGGATCGCGTGGTGTTGAGCATGTAAAAAGCATATAAGCATACAAGTATACTAGTAATCAGTAATTCCTGCTGCGCTATGATTGTTCAGCTTTAATGCGTGATGATACTAGACGAAAATGTCTCGTGATACGACTGTGGAGGGCCGATTTAGCTTTTAATCATTCATTGAGTTAACTTAGGAGAGCCAAAGTGACCAAAATGCTATGTACCGAGATCGTCTCTGTCCTTCCCAAACCCACGCGTCAGCTAGTTTGGACGATGGGTATTCTACTCGTACAGTCCTTCTTTCAGCTAATAAAAATCCCCAACGCCTGTTTGATGCGAAACTGTCCACCTCGAAAATGCATCTACTCCTCATCATCACCGAGCTCCTCCACAGCCGGCGCGACGTAGCCGGGGCGTTGCGCGGGCTGGGATGCAATCTGCGTCTCCGTAGCTGTTGTGGTCGCGGAAGCCGGGAGGGGCTGGCCAGTGGATGCGGCGAAGGTACCGCCGGCGCTCGAGGCGCCGGTGGATGAGGCCTTCTTCTTCTTGCCCTTCTTGGGAGCAGTCTATTGTTTGTTAGTTATTGTTCAGTGACGTTGATCACACGGGGGAAGTGTCACTTACGTCGTGCCAAGCCCAGACGGGCTTGAAGCTGTCCATGAACGAGACGTCCTCCCACAGGTTGGGGAACAGCCAAAGGCCGGGTGATGCGACAAAGTAGGTGATGCAGAAGAGAATGACACGGAAGATGGCCATGAGGAAGAACAGGCCGAGCAAGCCCAAGAATCCCCAACTGAGGTAGTAGACGCCGAGACGAAGCTTGAGGGGCCATAGGGGGTAGCAGACAACGATGAAGATGAGCACGAGGGCGAGGATGGAGTACAGCTTGCGCTTAACCTGGCTGCCCTCCCAGAACCACGCGTAGTACATCTCTTCCTTGGCCTCTTGTTGAGGCTCGATGCGGACGGTCCAGAGACCCTTGATGCGCTTCGTCTTCTTCGGGCCGTGGTCGTGGCCTTCGTGAGGGTCGGTCTTGGTGACGCGCAGGGCAAGCATCGACATGGGAAGAAGCTTAAAGGTGTTCTCGAGAGACGCGCGATCGGTGATCTCGGGCAACTCGGGGTTCTTCTTGCGCGCCTTCTCGTAGGCGGGGGACTGGAGAGCGCGGAGCGCACGCTTGACTGTAAGTCGAACGTTAGAATCAGCTCGAATGTGACGGATTACGATTACTCAGTACTTACCCTTGAACATGTCCTTGCGCTCGCCATTGAGAATACAGGTACGGGGCTTCAGATCCTGCGCGCGCAGGAAGCTGGCCAGCGCAAGCGCAACAGGATTGGGCGGGCCAGGCCTAATAGGCTGCGGCTGGCCCTGCTGCGGCTGCTGCTGCTGGTGCTGATGAGAGTGAGGGTGCTGATGACCCTCGTGGTCATGATCGTGATCGTGAGCGTGATCATGGCCACCCTCTCCACCTTCGCCGCCCTGTTGCTGCTGCTGCTGTTGTTGCTGCTGCTGACGCATGGCCATCTGCTGCTGCTGCATGGCCTGCTGTCGGAGGTGGTTGAGGAAATCCGGGACACTCATGCCGGCCTTTTGGGCATCAGCCTCTATTTGTCTGCGCATGGCCGCGATCTGCTCAGGCGAAGGCATGGGCTGGCCGTTGGGGCCCATCTGCATAGGGCCCATGGGGCCGGGCATTGGCATCGACATCTTTGAATGTGGGCTAGTGCTCGAAGGCAACCAGTGTTTTGGAAAGACGCGAGGAAGAACTCTGAATGTTCTCTGCCAAGGTTGTCGGCGGGATTGGAGGAGTCCGGCGACAATTGGGAAGGAAGTCTGACTGCTCGATCAGTTTTTGTTGGATGAGCGGGAGTTTGACCGTGAGAGCGGCGGTCGTGGGCTGGGTCTTTGAACAAAAAGTGACCAGCAAGCAAGCCAGGTGTTCACTTCTGGTCCAAAAATCCGTGCAGGGGTTAAGGTCCGTCCCCTCCACCCATTAGGCCCAATTCCCGTCCATTGATAGAAATTCGGTAATCTCTTTCTCCGACACCCGTTATCGATAAGCCCGTCAGCCCAGGTGGAAGGCGCTTTGACCACACCCAAACTCAAAGCTGCTCTGCATCACAGGCAGGAACGCAGGTTCAAACGGTCGAGCTGCCTTAGTCACCCGCCATATCACGTGCAGCCTTTTGACTCCACACCTCAGTCTGATGCCATCCATCTTATGTCAGCTATCTTACATCAGCAAGACACTTACCGAATCTCCTCTTTTCCTCTTTCCACTGTGGCGGCTCGCCCGAGACATTCTGTTTGCGCTAGAGTAACACGAGCAACTCTGCCAAAGTCTCTCGTCCACCAGTTTTCTTCAGACCAAACGATGACGAGGGACTCCGCCACAGTTCCCAGCAACGGCTTCCCGACACTATTTTGCTAGTCTCGAGTCATCACCCGCCGGAGACTTCTTTTCTCACGATCCGGCTGGGTCCTGCAACCACCACAGTCATAATCATCGCGACAGTCGTCAAGCGATGCTGATTGCCCGAGAGGCTTTTATTAGATCCAGAGAAAATCGAGAGGGGTAACTCGCAAGGACTGGGGCAAATGCAAAGCGGAGCGGGACAGAACCAGAAGTCAACACCCTCTCTTGTTTACCTTACCTGCATATTGTCCACAGTCGCCATCCGTCGGCCAGCCCATCGGCTTCGCCCTCCCCGTACAACCATCCAACGGCGATGGCGTCCTGCAGTATTAAACCGGAGACATGCTGAGCGACGATGGGAACTGTGACGGCACAGCACATCCCCAAATCCGCACATAGGCTTCCCGCGTTACCCTCCGTGCCACCCGCGGTGCCTTGCATGCAACAATGATTTCTCATTGCTTCCCGTTCGCTCAGGTTGGAACATGTCACTGAGCGACTAGGCTAGGTTTATTGGTTTCTGTTTGGATAGACAGTCAGCCATCGTCCAGTGATTGGTCGCAGGGCCTTATTAATTGCCCGACTGGAAACACGCACACACGGCGTCGAATTACCCTTCACTTCCCAGGCTTCAGCCCGTTGCCCTGTTTGTCAATAATATTCGACAAAGGTGTTCGTGGGCCCGGCGCCCCAAGAGATGACAAGGGGCGGTGACGGGTAAGGTATGATGTATCGCAGCATGACAGTTCATGACTGGCACGAGACCCTCGTTGCCTCCGTCCCCTCCACCCCCTCTGGTTAGCCCTCTGGAGCCCTCACTTGTGGCAAGCAACTGCTGGTCAAGCTGGGCAGTCCAGCAACCCAGAGCAAGGCAGAGGTGAGACATCGACTCGCTGAGCCATCGTCTTCATCTTACACGAGTGGTGGAGCCCTGCAATCTGGTGCAGGATGGTGGTGTGCCGCCAGCCATCCGAATCCGACAAGACCCCAGCTTCCTAAGCGCCGGTTGGCCGGCCGTGTCTGGCCCGTTCTGCAACCCCGGCCTATCAGAACGGTCCGTCTGCATCTTGACTGCACACCTCGCCGACAACTGCTAGGCCCATGTCCCCTCCATGTCCCTCCATCTTCTTCTCAGCTGGGCCTATGAAGCAAAGCACTTGTTCAAATCTCTTGCCCAAAGTGGGAATTGGGATTCAAAATGCCTCGACTGCGTGACAAAAAAGACATCAAGTCGGCCACACCCCAAGTGGGTTTTCCTTTGAAATTGCCTACTACCTGTTCGGAACTGTTCGCCTTCCACGACCAAGGTACTTACCTTACCTTACCTTACCTTGCCTCAAGGTCATCCGTACCCATTCCATTATAACTCAATCGGATCGCTCGCTCTCTTCACTCTTGTACTTTGCCGCCCTCTTTGCATCTTCCCTTCTTTCGTTCTGTCAAATCGCTGGCCGTCTCTCGTTTTTTTTTGTCTTTTTACCCCCCCCGTCCCCAGCAAATGTCCGGCATGAAGCTATCTGTAAACCAGGTATTATGAAGGGTCTGAGTGGCATACTTGCAGACGCCTATGTGACATGGCTTTCGCCCCTCACAAACTGCTGCGCTCCGTTTTCTGACTCCGTAGAAGAGCAGCCGCGTCAAAGTAAGTTGTGCTCTTTGGGTTCCCGGTAGCAATACACACACAAAAAATATCCAACTGCCGGTGGGACTAACACGCACACTCCGCTTAGACACCTTTGACATTTCTGAGAAACTGTCACCACCACACACCGTAACCCGCAACCAGCCCGTGCCCATGCCGCCGCCTTTTGCAGGGACAACAATGCAAAGGTCAGCCGGACCTCGTCCGCAGCCGCAGGGGAAGTCGAAAGGAGTGAAGAGAAGTTTCGCGTCGCTCCGGGAGCGGTTCTCTGTGAGAAAGCGATCTCGCTCAGACTCTTCGTCCTCCTCATCGCGCCGACTACAAATATCGGCCCCCAGCAACTTCCGCCATCTGCATTCAGAGTCCTTTCAGTTCCCCCAGTATTCGAACCTCCAGCACGTCGGCCGGACACCGCCACCGCGTCCCATGCCGCGACCTCGCCCTTCTTCCTTTAGACCGCTGGAGCTCAGCATATACGTGCACAAGAGGGAGCTCTCGCCGATTCTGCCGCACTTTGACATGCTTACGCCGCCGCCGCGGCCTGCTGCTCAGGTCCATGTCCGGCCGAATCCCGACGACGATGTATTCGGACCCTCGCATGAGCCCAACTATTCCCCCATGTCGTTCCATCTGCCCCGGAAGATGTCTGCGTCGCCATCCACCCTCGCTACCATGGCCAGCGATACGCCGCCCAAGATTCCGCCAAAGTCGAGGGCCCGGTCTCAGACGTCATCCAGCGCGAGCGCAGAGAGGATGAAGGAACGGATTGCCGGAGCCATGCTCGAGGTCGACAAGCTCCAGCGCGAAATCGAGCTAGTCATGGAGCGTCAGAGCATCTACGCCAGCAGCCGGCCTTCGACTGCCCATTCGATGGCACTGACAGCGCACGGTAAGCTTAGACGATACCAAATTTAGCACTTTTTTCTCACGTGTGCATTGTGACTAACAAAAAGAATTCTAGACCTGGAACCCATCCCCACGGTCCCCGCCCTCCCGCCATCTGCACCCTCTTTCGCCGAGCGCCTCAACCCCGGGGCCGAGCGCCCTCACACGGCACCACCCCGGCCGCCAGTGCACATTCCCCACCGCGGCATGGCCTTCGCCGACGCCTCGGCCGCCTTCATCACCCCACCCCCGAGCCGCGGCAGGGAAAGCAACCGGCCGCCGCCGCCGCCCCCACTACCCCTCGTCCTGAGACCCCCGCTCCGCAAGAAGAAATCATTCTCCCGGGTATCCAGCTGGCTTTTCCCCGGCGGAGGCAACGCAGCAGAGCAGCATAATAACCACCACGGACGGAGCATCAGCCACGATTCCATCACTAATTTTCCCCGCCCCGTCAAGGGCCGCGAGGGCTTCTACCAGTGTGTTCACGCGCCGCGGGACAGGCGCACGAGCGTGGACACGGCGTCGACTGTGTCGACGTGGGAGGAGTCGGACGACGACACGGGAGGAGGCCAGACGGTCCCGACGACGACGTGGTCGCCAGGCAGCACTCTCGCCGCTAGAGCGGAGGAGCAGCAGCCGCCTCTGGAGCGCGTCACCACGTTTGGGAAGGAAAAAGATGCCGGTGGTCCTAGAAGGACCGGCTTCGCGGCGGTGTTTTGAAATCTTGGCATGATGGAGCGGTGGTGTTTTTTCTTTGGTTTCCACCTATTTTCTTTCATCTGCATGATACCAACGGTTTTTATTGGGAGAGAACAAGATACCATGTTGTAAATATTATGGACTAGACGGGGTTGGAGGCGGACTTTGTTTGTTTTTGGATATCTAATGATGCTAGTGGCGCCTACGGTACGGCAGCATAGGATCGGGCAGGGCTCGGGGAATGATTGGAATGTTGAGACGTTTTTCTGATGGTGTCAAAGTTGTCTCCCTCATGACTATGTGAGAGGCTACTCTGGAAGTCACTGCGGTGGTTCAAGAAGTAGTCAACCTGCTTATACGTACGATCGCACGCAATTGTAGTTGAGACACATGGTGGATTTCAAGTGCCCTTTTGAGGAGCCCCAGCCGAGGCGATCAAACAACTTGTAGGCGACCAGAAGCTCTGGCTGCAAACAATTGAACTCAGAGTAATTAATCCATTCAACCTCATTTTCTGAGAGTGGCATATTAGAGCTCCGTGCACATGGCTTTCTCCCACGCCTTTCTTCTTTCTCGAATGCTCCGACGAAGCGTCATCTGAAGTCTCATCTTGCATCAGCACCATATTCTGTCTAACGTCCGTCCATCGTAACTCGTCCGGTCTTCAGCCGAAAATAAAACCGTCAGCCAGATTCTTTTCAGTCGAAATGCAATGATTCATGCTACTGCGCTGCTTGAGGTGGGTATTACTGATGGCCATCTCAAAAGACGTGTTCCCGAGCTTGGCACGTTCATCACGTAATGATCACATATTCGGGACACTCAGAAACGGCAAAAGTCAGCAAAAAGTAACCAAGCAGGAAATGGACGAATGATGTTTGCGATGGTATCTTCCGACATGGGGTCGTTCGATCCGGGAATGCCCACTGCCGAAGTCACCACGCCTTCCTCTTGCATGTAACCCCGGTAAAACCCCAGCTGCGTTGGAGCTCTCCCGTTTTGGACGTCTAACAGGACACTTTTTCGAGGCAGCACATCACTCTTCTCCCAAACATCTTCAACGTTCTTCTCACTCTCCTCACATGACCCTCCACCTCATTAACAGACTTATTGATTGAATCAGCCTTATTTGAACACGATGGGTGCGGGATGCTGCTCCGACGAGCCTACCAAGGACCATGGATGCGCGGGTCCTGCAAGTGGTAGTGACCATGGTCACGAACATGACGATAGTCCCAGGCTTGACGACTGCTGTGCTGGCGATGGAGCATGCGACGATGCTCTGGATGTGAACTGCCTGGATGAGAACTGCGATGCCGAAACCTTTTGCGATTCCGAGGATGACTCAACCTGCCGTTCAGTCAAGCTCGAGTGCTGCACCTCCAAGGAAGAGCACTGTGACGGTACGAGAAATTCCCCGTGATGTCATGTGTACTTTGTCTGACACCGTACGACAGAGAAGTGCATCATTGCTGCTGCCGCCGTCGAGTGCGAGAAATCCTGCGAAGATGACACAGCTCACGATGGTATATTATGAAACCCTGGTCATCGTCAAGTGTGCTTATAACTCACGAAACTAGGTGCCCACGAGCATTCCCATGACAAAGACGGTCGCCATCCAGCCTCTGCTTGCAGCACCCATCTCTCCAAGGCTTTCGAGCAGTACAGCGCCTATCTCGAATCGGCCCGTTGCATTTGCCGTAGCATTCTTGATCGCGGTCTTCCAACCGCCTGCTGCAGCGAGCAAAAGCCCGTCGTCACAGCCGCAGCCGCTCCTGTAAAGTCTTCCGCCGGGAAGAAGCGCCGCGAACCTGCCGAGGCGCACACGACCGCGCATGCCCATGGCCAACACAAGCATCATCACCATCACGGAATTAAGCGACGTGGCAATAAATCGCAAGCCGTGCACGACCATGACATGGCCATCAAGCCTATTCGCGATGATCAGTCCGACTGCTGCAGCGGCCACGATGTTGAAGCTCCTGGATCCGCTTACAAGAAAGGAAACCTTGCAATTGATGGCAGCGTGGACAAGGATATCGAGAAGGATGCTGGATCCGAGCACGTTGCCCTCGTTGTCGACGGCATGACCTGTTCTGGATGCGGGAACAAACTTGAACGAACCCTCAAAGGGATACCTGGAGTGTCTGGTGTACGAGTCAACTTTGTCATGGGCAACGCCGAGTTCACTCTTGACGGTTCTGCAGGAAAGGCCGAAGACATCATCCGCAACACCGAACGGGCGACGGGCTTTCATTGCACTCGAATGTCGAGCGATGATCAGACGTTGGACATTCTCGCCTCAGGCCCGTCTGCTAAGGCGCTGACTGACCTGGCGATCATTGGTATAAGCGAAGTGAGCTTGATTGATAAAAGAACCGCGAGAGTCACCTATGACCCAGCTGTTATTGGAGCTCGAACGCTTTTCAACAAAATAGGACCGCACTCGACTGGACTGGCTCCCCCTCGCGATGACCCGTCCATCGCAAGTGGAAGAAAGAGGATGTATGATCAACTGATAAAGACGGCCGCCGCCGCAACTTTCACCATTCCCGTCGTTGTTCTCGCCTGGGGTGAGAAGCTCGAACCCAAGACCCGCTCGATTATTTCGAGTGTTTTGGCGACTTTCGTTCAGCTCATAGCTGTGCCCGACTTTTACAAACCGGCCATATCATCTCTTGTGCACAGCGGCGCTATTGAGATGGACATGCTGGTTGTCATCAGCATCACCGCTGCCTATGTCTACTCGGTTGTAGGATTTGGATTTCATATGGCTGATCGGCCACTCGATCCCCGCGAGTTCTTCGAAACGAGCACCCTCCTGATTACACTTGTGCTTCTTGGCCGCTTGACTGCTGCCTACGCACGCATTCGTGCCGTTGCTGCCGTGTCCCTGCGTTCGCTACAGACGTCTACTGCAGTTGTCATTGAAGATGGGAAGGATGTTCAAATCGACGCCCGCCTTCTCCAATACGGCGATAAGTTCAAAGTTCTTCCTCACTCGGTTGTCCCTACAGACGGCCTTGTGGTCACTGGATCTAGTGAGGTCGACGAGTCCATGCTGACTGGTGAGAGCGTCCCGGTCTTCAAAAAATCGCGTGACACTGTGATCGCAGGCACCATCAACGGATCCGGCACTCTGGTCGCCCAACTTACTCGTCTCCCTGGAAAGAACACCGTTACCGACATTGCCGAACTGGTCGAGGAAGCAGCGAATTCCAAACCAAGGATTCAGGACATTGCAGATCGTGTCGCAGGGTGGTTCGTGCCTGTCGTCACGGCCGTTGCCATCATTGTCCTGGTTGTCTGGACCGTCATCGGTGTCAAAGTTCATGGCGAACCGACTGGGAAGTCGATCTCCACTGCCATCACCTACGCTATTGCTGTCCTAGCTGTCTCTTGTCCTTGCGCACTCGGCCTTGCGGTGCCTATGGTCTTGGTTGTGGCCGGTGGCATAGCCGCCAGGGGAGGTGTCATCATCAAATCAGCCGAGTGCACCGAGAGGGCTCGAAAGGTTAGCGATGTCGTATTCGACAAGACTGGGACTATTACTGAGGGCGATCTTGACGTTCTCGAGGAAGAAATCCTGCTTGCCGGCCGCGACGAGGCTCGTGCCATCACCAAAGCCCTCGTGGCAGGCAACAACCACCCCGTGTCTACGGCCCTGGCGAAATACCTTGCCTCACGGGCAACCCGCGAGGTCAAGGTTACTGACCCTCGAGTTATACCTGGCGCAGGTGTTGAAGCAAGCTACAATGGCCACAAAGTCTGTGCCGGAAACCCCTCGTGGACTGACGCCAATGCTCTGCCTTCCGTCATCCGTTTCCAGGAGTCGAACATGACGATCCTCGTCATCACTAGTGACTCTACCCCTATCGCCATATTTGGATTGCGCACACGTCTTCGTTCGGAAGCAAAAAAAGTTGTCGCTCAGCTCACGCGTCGAAACATTGCCGTTCACTTGGTTTCTGGTGACCAAACTCAGGCCGTTGAATCTGTCGCCGCCCAAGTTGGCATCCACAATGTGGCGTCTCGGCGCACCCCGTCGCAGAAGCGTGACTATGTTGCCTCGTTAATGTCACAGGGTAAGATTGTCATGTTTGTCGGCGATGGGACCAACGACGCGGTGGCCGTCACCCAGGCTGATGTAGGCGTTCAACTTGGCAGTGCAGCTTCAGCCAGCGATGTCACTCGTGGAGCTGCAGATGTAGTTCTCCTTGCAGGCCTCGAGGGTATCCCCTTCGTGCTTGAGGTCAGCCGCGCCAGCTTCCACCGCATGGTGTTCAACTTTGTCTGGTCGGCCGTGTACAATGTGCTCGCGATCTTGCTTGCCGGAGGCGCGTTCGAGCCTGTCCACTTCAAGATTCCTCCTGCATATGCGGGCTTGGGCGAGATGGTCAGCGTGATCCCGGTCATCGTAGCTGCCCTGACAATGTTGGGGAAGAAGATCCGAACCGAGGCCTAAGTGGCAGGTGTTGAACACGTGTGATGAGGCCTAGCTGGCACGTTCAACACCTGCGGGCTGAGGCATAAGTCGATTTTTTCTTTCTCGTCATTGCTGGTTGATGACGGCTGTGCTGGGTGACGCGGATTCAACACCAGCGACAAACGCAAAGGGGTCGAAGTTTGGTCTGGGATTCTGCTTACTCTGCTCACTTTGCTTCGTTTACGAGTGCGATGAAGTCACCAGAGCAACCACGGCTTGGTTGCTTCACTGGGCTTCTCACTTCCGCTCACTACAAGAAGAAGTTTAACGTGCCGAGGTCTGCCACTCTAGTGCATGGCTAGAAGAGGTGACCAATCGGTTACGGGAATATGAATACAAGAGACTGCAATTGCTTGTCCAAACCTTTTTTCATTCGTATCTATATTCGTCGTGAAGTGACAACCATCGATGTTATGATAACCTCATTGTCATTCATGCGTTGGAGAATGCACCCATAAGAAATACAAAACGAGTTCTATCACGGATTCTCTTAGACTTGACCTCTTTTTATTTCTTTCACTATCGCTTAAACCTCCTGCTATCGAGATGTAGGCACCGTAGCTAAAACACAGCTCTTGAGACGAGAAACCTAGGTCAATATCTTACGCAGGGCTCGCTTCCTGTCCAACATGGCGGCTCGACTTGTGGGAGGGAAATGCAAGAACATCTTTCTTCAAAACCATTAAGCTACAAGTACAACCCTCTTCCAGGCATCATCAAATACGTCGGACGTAAGATCTACCGTGCGCTACCGAAGAGACATCGACACATTTGAGTCCACAAATCATTTTTGCCTGATGAGCGTCGTGTGGATTTCAGGATGTGAGGTCTGCTGAGAGTGTTTCATTCTCTTCAAGGGAGAATTATATCAAATTTGATTCGCCAAACGTACCTTGCCAGTGTCGTGTACAGACATGTTGGATTCAACAGCGAATCACGATTCACATATTCTGCAACCTCACTCATTGGCCATTATTGGAATACATAGACCTACCGACAGCCGATGACGTCTTGCAACAATTCGCACTTTGATATTTGCATTGCCCAATCCAGAGACGTGCATTACCAAACAAAAAATCTTACCGCCCCGCCGAAAAGACGGGACTTGCTCCGGATCCATCGTGAAGTGCTGTCAACGGTGAACGGCCCCGCAGGAGCCCAGCCACCAAAGCTCGGAGGGCAACGATGTGAACCAGCCACATAGAGCCCGGAGGACCAGCTTGTGATCTCGAACTCTCGGGTTGACCACGATCCACGAGGAGACAGGGTGTACGGATACAATAAAGTTATTGCGTCCTGCCATGAGAGTAAGCGTATCAAAGCACACAAGAACGTCAGCATCCTTGCACAGCTGCCATGGGGGTCGATGCTAGGGTGCAAATGTCGTGCAGGCGATGACAGCATATGTCATGTGCTGAGCGGTGAGAGAAAGGATGAGGCGTCGTGATGCGAGAAGTGAGGCTGGGTGGCGACAAAAGTGTGGCATCGTCGCTATAGACCGTACTAACTCAGACCAACAACATGCAAAAGACTGGCACATCGAGTTGACCACGTGAGCGGTCAAGGTGCGGATGTGACATGGAGCCGGGAGGATGGATTGCATTCATCGGGGATCGTGATTCTGGTCTCGATGTACCACGGAGGCTGACTTGCGTGGTTGGGTCCACGATGGAGGTGGTTTGAGACCACCGACCAGTCACCGCCGGGCCGGATCGGTGTGTAAGCCGGTAAGGGTAGGGTTGCTGTTGGTCCGGCCGACATCTGTGGGCGGCGAGGAAGAGAGAAAAAAAAAGCAAAGAAACAAACGCGAGAGGAAGTGCGGGCAGGGTTCAAGGTTTGAGTTGTCGGCATTGCGATGACAGATTTGGCCAACAGATTGGATACCCGCTCTAAGCGCATGCGCGACTTGCAAGTGATGGGCGTGTTTATTTCGAGTGACACTCTCTGCCTTGGAAGTTAACAAACAACGGATTTGCACGGGGACAGGGCAGTGACTTTGAATGCCAACAAGAGCCACGATGTGGAAGAGGCTGAGAATGGCAGGCTATCTCATCCATGGTCGAGGGAGAGAAATAACTCGGGGTTGCGAAATAGGGTTTATGCGTGCAGCAAGTGGCATCGTCATGCGCAGTGGGGACGGATCTCGTTCTTGTGCACATGTTGTGGTTTGGCGGCGGACGTGTGACCACCGGCCAAGCCCGCAGCGTTTTTGGCGTCCGGTTCCTTGGGTTATAGGCGGATCGTCAAGTGCGTTGGCGCTTGTTGGCTTCAGGCTCCCATGCAGTTGAGTAGGGATGGTTGTTAGTACATGGACTGGATGTAAGGATGACCGTCTAATGCGGGTTGCTCGTTGGGCAACTGATCCGTCGTCAGTCGGTCTAGTGGTAGGTCCTTTTGATAGACAACACGGTACAGAGAGTTGAGGCGATGGATGTTGACCGAGAGTTTGCGAACACACCCGACTGTGAAAGTCTGAAGTTTCGAGGTCGGCGAGTGGAACTTTCTGGTTCCGTATATCGGCGCTTCACTCAGGTCAGGGCAGGCAGGCAGGCACGGCCACCATACAGGAAGATGGCAGGTTCGGGATGGTAACATAACTGGCAACTGCAGCTCGGTCGATCTGATGTCGTGCCTGCCGGTGCCTTGCACTGAAGCAACATGAGCAGCAGATTGAGCAGCAAAAGGAAGGCATGGAGGGGTCTTGGCACGGCTCTTGCTGTTTGTGTTTGATCTGCCCACCCAATGGAAGGCGCGGACCGGCACGAGAATGCGACTGCCAAACACTCACCTTCCTCACCTCGCCTTGTGGTACCTACCTACCTTTTCTCAACTTAGGTACCTTAGGTAATACAGTACGCAGCAAGGGACTAGACGCTTATCTAATCTGATCTCGCCATTCTGAGCTCCGTAACCATCCGGACTTCTCTTTTGCCTTTGTCTTTTTTTATCCTTCGGGAAGCGTTGCACATTTTTTGTTCGGGCTCAAACGGGCGGCGCCTCATCTTGCCCTTTTCCAGCAGCCGGTCGCCGCAGACGGGAAGCTCAGCCTCCTCCCGTTTGTCCAATATTTGTCCGTCACTACTTCGTACATACACAGTAAGGTAGTGTGTCAACTCCAACTTGTGCTTATGGTTTATTACCCGCTGCTGACGCCGCAGTCCCCTTGTTGCGCACGGCCTTTGGGGGTTCCATCATTTGACAGGGCTGCCCGGAACGACTACTTTGCATCGGCTTATTAGCCAAACGCCAATAGGCCCAAATGCTCTGTACCATGCTCTGTTCTGAATAGGCCATGCGGCATGCCATGGCAGATGCGAATCGGCTCGTTAGAGTGGTGTCATCCCGCCATGTCCGCCTGATGCCCCCCCCCATTCTACCCGCCAGAGACCCACGAGCTACTAATTGGTAATGGGAGAGGCGTATCCGTACCGATCCTGATAGACCAAGGGACCAAGGACATGGGCTTCGCTTCCCGCCCGAGCCGTCGATAGCTTCGACAATCCCAACTCTGATCGGGTCTTGGCTCGACCCTCACAGATACTGCCCATTCAGCTTACGTGCCGTGTCTGCGACGCCTGCACCTCGTCCTGCGGCCTCCGAATCTCTCCTCTGGGGCTGCCCAGTCTGCCTACATGCCGTGTCGTTGGATCGTCGTCCTGCAGCCTGCAGTGCGAGGGAAGCTGCAAGTCGCGGCAGCCTGGGATCGCCGCAAATCGACATTTCCCCCTTGGAAAGCCCATCTTACCCATCGCTAAGGCGGCAGCAGCACACCCTTACCGTCACAGCTCTTCCAATAAGACCAGGGTCTGGAGGAACTTCTGCTGTGCCTTGCTCTAGTTGCACACAAGCCCGGCTCTCAAGGGGCCACTCACCGTCTTTGCATTTGTAATGGCCATCATTTCTCACAATCCGCTGTGCTGAACACACCGCAAGGTTGTTGATATTGTACATGACATTGACAGCCGGCGGGCGGCATACGCAGTATGAAGCTGGAATGAGATGAGGTAGGCTGGCCGCAGACTTGGCCGTGGAGAAAGAGATTGCATGCCTCCTGCTCTACCAAGCTTCCTGCTATGCTTCCTTTGCCCTCCAAAAGCACCTTGGATCATAGTTTGTTCACGGTCAAAACACCGCTGACTGCGGAGTCGAGTCAGGAATGTTGCTCCATTTCGTACGGCACGGTCCCAGAAGGGCACAAACAGAGAGGAGAGTGACGGGAATCCCTCCGCAAACACACAGACGCACAAGAATCGGATACAGGGCACAGGCGGTACCCTTGATCCCTCGTCCCTCATCCTAGGCCCCTTGAGTCCTTGACAAGCATCGCATCCGAGCACTGACTGACATCCTCACCTCCAGGCTCCAGGCCTCCCAAGCATGGACCGAACAGCCAGGATTAGGGCCATGGGTTGGAGGAACTTGGAGCTGCGCCCGGGTCACTGGCCTTTCTGGGCAAGGCTAAACCCCCACGGACAACTGTCATTCGTCCACCAATCCGTAACTCGTTTTTTCTCTCGCTTTCAACCTGCGCCAGCGAAATCCCATCTGCACCTCTTACGTTGCATCATCTTTTCAGCCCATTCACACAACGTCCGTCATCCCTAGACATCCGCGAAACCGCCGCCGGTCAACAATTCGACACCGGTGTGGTTCCCTGCCTGTGCAGTAGTTGCAACTTGCCGCTCCAGCTTCTTGGGGTTCCCACCGATCTGATTCCACTCTAAACCCGCTAGTGTTCCTTTCTTGGCCACCAAGCGGCTTTCCCCCGTCTACCGACCGAGACAAGCGGCCCAATACTGCCAAACAAACGCGGTGCCACGCCTCAGCTCACGAAAGGGAAAGAGAGCAGCATCAAGGCAAGGCAGGGTAGGCCAGTTCACAGGAATAGGATCTCTCATTGCTGTCAACGTCTAGGCTTCCATTCAACCGTCCGAGTTGTGTCAACTTTGGCCAGTCAAGGTTCCGTGCCGTTCCGTTAACGCAGCTGGGCCACATCACACATTGAATCAGCACACAAACAGACTATCCGTACACTTCTCAGTCTCTCTGTTTCTCAGTCTCTCTCTCTCTATCGTCCACACCCCCGACGATAGCCACCCCCACCAAGCTACCATTCCCACGCCCACGCCCACTCCCTCCAGACCAGTCCGCCGTGGTGCCCCCCTCCATCCCTCCATCCAGAGCCCACGGTCAAGGTCCATGGTCCACAGTCCACTCACACTACTCGCGCTTCCCTGTCGTCTCTGTTTCTGACCCGTCACTCGTTGCTTCTTCTTGCCTGTCCGGGCTACTGCCACTGGCACTCGACTGGTGAGGAGCCATGAGCCAAAGAAGGGCATCCGGCCACAAAAGCAAGCCAAAGGCACCCTTTCCTCCCGACCCCGACGCCGATACGGTTGCTTTGGCTCTAGAACCTCTGCCTCTTCTTGCACCTGCAGACGGTCCCACGAACGACAGCACTGCCGCTGCTGAAGCTGATGTTGCGAATCCTTCGACTACCTCGTCATCCGTACAAACCGCCTCTGACCCATATAACACGGCACGCCACCATCGATCTCGCCCTTCCACTCTGCGAAGCCGACCCTCTACCGTTTCCCACGTTTCCAGCGCCGGCGAATATGGTGACGATACGATCGAACCGAACCCTCAGTCTCCCGTCCCGCATCTAGACGACGGCACAATGCCTTCGAAACCTTCTCTCTTGCGCTCTTCGCGCGACGACGCCCCTTCATACGGCGCCGTATCCCAAGATCCCAGCCGCAATGTATCACCTACCGGGAGTGATTCAAGGACGGGGAACGCACATCCAATGCGATATGTATCCGACACCACAAGGTCAGCTTCTTCGAGGTTCTCCACTGCCTCAAGAAGGGAGAGCTCTCGTCTGTCCGAGGAGTTGGATGCTGCCGCCCTTACAACCGGGCTGGAGGGGCGCTTTGGTGTGACCCAAGCTCCAGTGACGACAAACATGCTCGAGGATGCGAAATCAGACGCGGCCGAGGACGAAGTGGACTACGATGACTACACAGGCAGCGAACCCGACGAGGATCCGGCTGATAATTCGCCTCATGAAGTCGTCCGCGCCTCGGTGCCACCAACGGACAATATCACCCTGTCCATCAACACTCCGAGGATGTGGACGCTATCGTTTTTGTTTTCAGTTCTCGGTTCATCTACCAACTTGTTCTTCTCGCTACGATACCCCAGTGTTGCTATTACGCCCGTCATTGCCTTGTTGCTCGTCCACCCACTTGGTCTCATGTGGGACTACCTTCTCAAATATCACAGCGACCCTGCGGAGGAATTTCTGGATGGTGTTCTCCAGACTGATGCCGTGAACCGGCCGCCGGCGAAACGATCCGTGACCCGATTCCGCAGATGGCTTGCGCAAGGGCGGTGGAACGAAAAGGAGCATACTTGCGTATACGTGAGCAGCAACGTCTCGTTCGGCTTCGCTTTCGCTACCGACGTTATTGTCGAGCAATCCAGGTTTTACCACCAGGAAGCTACAATAACCTACCAAATCCTTCTGATTCTGTCGACTCAAATCCTCGGCTACGCCTTTGCCGGCCTTACGCGTCGATTCCTGGTTCGACCCAGCGGTATGATTTGGCCCGGAACTTTGATGTCTGCGGCCATGTTTGGGACGCTCCACAAGGAGGAGAATAGGATTGCGGACGGCTGGAGGATATCGAGGTGGAAGTTTTTCTACCTCGTTTGGTTCGGAGGGTTCGTTTTTTACTTCCTTCCCGGCCTCCTGATGCCATGTCTCAGCTACTTCAACGTCATTACGTGGTTTGCGCCGAAAAATGTGGTGGTTGCCAACCTATTTGGCACTGTTTCTGGTCTGGGACTGTTCCCCCTGACCTTCGACTGGGCTCAGGTCACGTACATCGGATCTCCCCTTTTGGTCCCATTCTGGGCTGCGATGAACGTCATTGGCGGTCTCGTCATCGTCATGTGGCTCATTGCGCCCATCGCCTACTATGCCAATGTGTTCTATTCATCGTATATGCCAATCTTGTCTTCTGCAGTATTCGACAACAAGGGCAAGGTCTACGATGTGAGCAAGATCCTGACATCTGAGTTCCTTTTCGACAGAGACGCATACAGCAAGTACAGCCGAGTATTCCTGCCCATCACCTATGTGCTTAGCTACGGCGTTCAGTTCGCTGCCCTGGCGGCGCTGTTGACGCACACGGTTTGTTGGCATGGCAAGGATATGTGGAATACGTGGAAAACGGCCATGGCGGAAGCTCGCAATGAAGGCCAGGCGGTTTACCAGCCTGTCTCGGGCAGCTCTGAGCACATCAGACCCCAGCGATCATTCAGCAGTCACGGAGGCCTCTCAAGATCTTCATCCAACCTCGAGGGCATGATGTTCCGAGAAGATGTTCACTGCCGGCTGATGAAGCGGTACAAGGATGCTCCCCTTTCCTGGTATCTAGCAACGTTTGTCTCGATGCTGGCAGTGGGCATTTTTGTCGTTGAATAGTAAGACTCCCTTTACCAATTGAAACGATTATAGGCTAACCGTATAGTTACCCCATCCACCTCCCGTGGTACGGCTTGCTCATGTCACTGGGGATCTGCGCCATATTCTTCATCCCCAATGGCATCATCATGGCAGTGACCAATCAGCACAGCAGCATCTACCTGATCTGCCAGCTCATCTGCGGCGCCGTGTTCCCTGGTCGCCCAATTGCAAACATGGTGTTTGTCACCTATGGCTACATCTCGTCAGCTCAAGGCATCAAGTTTGCCTCTGATCTCAAGCTCGGCCACTACATGAAGATTCCGCCCCGCATCATGTTTTCGGTGCAAATGGTGGCCACGATCGTGTCGTCCCTGACCCAGATTGGGGTTCTCAATTGGATGTTTGCCAACGTCAAGGGTATTTGTACGCCAGAGGCTGTCAATGGCTTCACATGCCCGATCGCGCGTGTGCACTTCAACGGCTCCATTCTCTGGGGTGTGGTTGGACCGGGCGAGTTCTTCGGACCGAACGCAACGTACCGCGGACTCGTGTGGTGCTTCCTGATTGGCGCCATCGCGCCGATTCCCCTGTGGCTCTACGCGCGCAAGAACAGGCACAGCATTCTCCGAAAGATCAACCTACCGGTCGTCTTCGGGTCCATGGCGTGGATCCCACCAGCGACGGGGCTCAACTTCTCGGTATGGGCGGTGGTATGCTATGTTTTCAACTACCTGGTCAAGAGGAGAAAGAGCGCGTGGTGGGCAAAGTACACCATGACCATGAGCGCGGCGTTGGACTCGAGTCTGGCGTTCGGCATTGTCGTGGTGTTCTTTGGCTTCGTCTACCCTGGGCACATGAAGGGCTTTAAATGGTGGGGCACAGAAGTGTACAAGCAAGGCTGCGACTGGCAAGCGTGCTCGTATAATACGGTGCCTGAGGGAGGGCATTTCGGCCCCGATAAGTGGTGATCCATTCTGACGACACGAAACGAAACGACTTTATGGAAATTCTTTGATACAGTTTTCGGCATGGCAAGCAGGCATAGGAATGGTATAGTTTTTGGATTAAAATGCAAGAGATGGAGTTTTGCCATTGGCCGGGGTTGATTCAAGCCCTTGGGGTAATTATTCACGCATTTAGAAGCACATCATAGAGAGATGCTGCATTGCGAAATTTGATGCAAAGACCACTTTGGGTCTCGGTTCACGCCTGCCTCGATTCGTGCTGATGAATACAATCTGAAATGAACAGTGAGTCACAGGGTCCAAATAGAGAAACCAATGACTCTTATCTCCCGGCCGTCAATTCTCGTACGGAGACCAGGTCCGTCAGCGTGGCTCCAGACCGTGTAGTGACCCTCGCCGATAATCATCTTCCGTGCCGGGTTATCACCGACCTTCTCGAAACGGATTGGGGCGGCCGGGCCGGCATCTGAATCCTTCCGTTCTGGAGGTAAGAACTGTACGTGAGATTGCCAGGAGAGGATGACTCAAAACCGTGTTACTGCAAATGGTGGGATCAGCTAGGCAATTTTGGGGTTGTAAGAAAAAGTGAGGCCAAATTCAGGTGGATTGATCTTTGCGGCTGACGCTACTCTCGTATTGGCTGATGGGTGCTGTTGGAGCCGCTGCCGATTGCGACGTTCCATGGGAGCGGGTGAGAGCTGGTGGGGTTGGCTGGCTCTGTAAACGTCGTAAGCACAGGGGAGGGGGGGATTTAGTGTAGTGTAGAGGATTTGTGATGTGCAGGGGGACCACGGATGGCATTGTTTGGGAATGTCCATGTCGCGATGGGGTTGGAGATTCGCGGGGTGAGGGGCATTGAAGCTGAGGATTTAAGAGGGCTCTGTAGGACGGCGATTCGAGAGTTGAAAAGACGCTGATAACTTTTCATCCCATTCGTCTTGTTTGTCCTGCTTGAAGTCACGTTCTTGACGCAATACAATTAGACCTCATACATCTCAACTCCAGAAACTCAATCCGCTCCAACTTGAACATTAGTTCATCTCAAGACATCGAACCAAAGTAAACACCACAACCACCATCAACTCCATCTCAAATAAAGCAAGGCAATCCATCTACCCACCAAAAAACCTCTTACATAAATCTCTCCCAAAAAAAAAAAAACTTCGTCAACCATGGCACCGACACAAGCATCCCACCTCCCGACGACCCTCCGCTCGCCAACCCACCCACTCCTCCTCCGCACCCTGGAAGACTCCGACTTCGCCGCCGTCTCGGCCGTGCTCTCGGACCCGGAGAATACGAAATACGACCCGCACGCCTCGGCTATCTCGCCCGAGGTGGCCAAGATTGTGATTGCGCGGATGAGGGAGAGCGCTTCCGTGCCGAGTGTTGTTGATGAAGAAGGAAAAGTCGTGAGCGGGCCGGGGAGAGTGAATTTACTAGTTGTTTATGTTGGTGATGGGACGGATGATGGCAAGACTTCGTCAGAGAAGGAGGGAACGGTCATCGGATTCGGCGGGTACGGCGGCATCAACGAGCACGAAGAGGACGGGCGGAAGATCAGAGTCGGCGACGTGGGCGTCATGATCAATCCGGATTTTCGGGGCCGGGGGTTCGCGGCCGAGGCGGTGCGGTTGGCCGTCGAGTGGGGGTTTAGGAAGGTCGCCGAGGGCGGGCTGCAGCTGGAGAGGGTGAGTGCCACCATGAGCGAGAGGAATGTGCCGATGAGGCGGTTGGTTGAGAAGAGGTTTAGGTGGGCTGGGGTTGTGAAGCCTGGGAAGGAGGAGGGGGATGGGGAGGTGTTTTTTGAGGTTACGGGGGAGACGTGGAGGAAGTGAATGGAGTTTTGGAATGGGAAGGGTTATCTTGGATTATTTGAGAGCGGTTGGAGATCCGGGTTTGATTCCATTTTGTCTTTGTTGTTTTCCGTCTTGATTGAGAGGCGGCTCACGTTGAACGTCTTGCTCGGGGTACTGAAGGATTGAAAAGGTGATATTGTGTCTAGGCGAGGAGATATCCAAACAAATAAGAAATAACGGTAGCCCGAAATGAATTCTCAGTCGTCATAGGCTTTGATGCCCACCCGACCAAGAGTCTTGTGTCTTGTTCTGCGGAGCGGGCTTCAAGGTCAGATCAATGATATCTTACAGTGCACCAGACTGCAACGCGTGTATGGTGTCTTGGTTGTGAGGTTCTCTAGAGCCTCGGACTTACAAGCTTATGTTTGTCAATATGTAGGTGAGGTCTGGGAGGATATGAGATTATTCACGGAAAGAGCATGATCACAAACAGCCAAATCACATCCAGTACACATCACTGAAGTGAAGTCAAACATCAGTCGTTTACTTGTGCCCTCCTAAAACCTCAAGACTCCCAAATAAGCACAACAACAGAATCCAGATGGTCGCCATCACCATCCTCGCCCTCCTCCTCTCCATCCATGAAGCCCGAGCCGCCTCGTCGCTTCACGTACGCCTGCCATACCTCGCCCTTCTCCCCAACAACAGAATCCAGCAACAGCCATACGTTCCTCGTGCCCCTCCACGTAACAACTTCTTTATCTTCCGTAGAATCGTGCAGCACGATACCCTCTCCCAGCGGCATCTCAGCCTCCTGACCATATTGCATAGCCCCCTGGAGATCCGCGTCAGCTTCCATGGGCACGACCTCGGACCCGGCGCAGTAGTGCGTGAGCGAGTACCCGTTCACTAGCACCCAGTCGTCGGCGAAACGGAAGCGCTGCAGGAAGCAGGCCTCGCCGCAGACGGACGTCACCGCGTGGCCCTGGCTGGGGTCGAAGCGGTGGCGGGACTTGTAGTGGCGGAGGGTTAGCGGGGAGACGCCCAGGTCGTAGGTCGCTGCTTGGATGTTGTAGAGGGCATCCGTGGGGGAGTAGAAGCTCGGGAGGATATGGAAGGAGAGGTCGGTGTGGGTCGTCACGCAGTCGTGGAGGATGTTGTCCCATTTGGTGTGGTTTCCGGTAAACCCTTCTTCGGGCCTACACGGGAGGTGCGAGACGAGGAGAGCAGCGGGCGGGGTGAGGAAGATGGCACCGCCGCCGTGCGTAACTGCCGTGTCGTTCTCGACGGACCAGTCTGGCCGCTCGCTGGGGAGCCCGATGTAGTAAGGGCTCGAGGCGTCAAACTTGGAAAGCTTTTGGGTGAGCTGTCCTGGGGTGGGGAGGAAGATATCGTCGTCCAGGAGGCCAAAGTACTTCTTGCCGTGTTCCTGCTCGGTCAAGGCCTCGTTTACATCCATGAGAATGGTGACCAAGTCAAGATATCTCGAAGGCTTGTCACGTTTCTTTTCCAAAGGTACCACTGTAGCGTCTATGCCGAACGCTTGCAGCTTCTCGTATATTTCCCACGCCTCTCCACTGGTAGCTCGGTAAAGCGTCACGACGACAGTCGCCCCGTTCGATTTGCCATGGCCGTTCGTGAGCCACCTCTGCCAGTCCATGATGAGAGAGTCATTGGCGTTTGTGAGGCGCTTGTAGGTCGTAGAGATGCCGAACAGCAAATCGGAAGCGTCGACGGCGCCTGGTAGTATGCTTGTGGTTACGGGAAGATCGTTTGCATCGCCCTTGGGGTACATGTCGAAACTCTCGTCATCCCAACGAATGTTTTGAAACTCCTTGCCCGCAAACGCGCGCTTGATGTTTGTCATTGGGAACCTCTGAGGGGCTTCCGGTACGACCCTGATCCTCTGAGAGTACCAAGATATGTTTTGTGTAAGACTGTGCCGCTCCGCGAATTCCCTCAGGTAGTCGCTGCCGTGTACAGAAGTCTCTTTTTGGCCGGGCTTGACCACCGGCACGAGGGGATCGACGTCGATGACTTCGTAAGCATCTTGTCGACTTTTTGCAACCTGAATCAATATGAAAAGAAGGACAAGCAAAAACGTTACCGCGTGTAATGTCCTGGCATGGTTGTGATAAGCGTACATGGGCTGCATTGTGGGTGGAAGGGCGCCCATGTTGTCAATAAATCAAGGCCGCTGTGAGAAGCAACACTTGACGCGAACGAACAAACAAATCCCCCCATTCGGAGGACATTGCCATCTTTTTGAGGGGATTCTGAGGAATGTTGGCCACGATAAAGGGATGATGCGTGGAATTCAGTCCGCCTCTGAGGTAGTGAGAGGTAGTGAGACACACCATACACACATCCGGCGAAACGCGTAGACTATGGCGCCTCCATGCCAAGTGCAGAGACACAACGCTTCTGCACCCAGAATACCTTCACTAAAGTATGCCCGAGCTGTATGACAGTCCTAAAATCATTCGAGTGTCTTGTTCTCAAACGTGTAAGACCAATATGTCGAGTTGCGTTGCTGCCAGTAGAATTGCCACCGCAATGCTTCGTACCACTTCTCCCTGACGATGAGTTTAGCTGGTGATGATGGAATGGCAAGGGCTTTTGCGCACGAATCCCGTTCGAAAAGTGTAGCAGAGCACTGAGAACAGTACTCCGAACCATCATGGCACTCAATGCCCGACGCAGCAACTTTGGTGTTTTAGGTTTAGATGTGGTCGAGGAGGCTCTTTGTGAGGTTCTCGAGTAATGTCTGTCGACGGCCGGTCATGAGGAAAATGGAAAGCCTCTTCGGGAAAAGAGTTAATTAAACTCGGGCCGACGAAACTGGATGAACGGGCCTGTTCATGAGATGGTTCGGGAGATGAGAGAGGGTGTGCAACCAAAAGGTTGGCGTCTTTGGGCCGTTGGGGAAGAAGACGGGCCCGGGTGCTTAGCTAAGAGCGCTCTCCGTCTCCGAGACTTCCAGGGAAGGCGGGCCGCTTATGTCGACGCTTCCTTTTTTGATGAGCCAAGAGAAGATCTCTACTCAAGGCAGTTTAGCATCTACGGCTCCTACTTGCTGATACAGTAATTGTCTGGATGCTATACTTGTGTCCTCGAGCCGTTGTTGTGTGACACAACCCCTCGTTCTACATCAACCTCAACATCAATGCGACCCTTGCCAGCCTCCTTACAGTTCACACTTTCTCGGAGATATTATCAGAGCTCGCACAAGAGTATCTTCCTTCTCCACACATTTATTCTCCTTCCGACGCCGTGCAACGCAGCAGTGGTGCAGCGCCGGCCACGACGAGTTTGCATCGAGGGCGAGCCGTAGAACCACGAGGTATCAGGTCGCACTGTGAGAGGTGACCGCCGTCACCTCCTCAGGCCAGTATCACAGAGACGTTTTCTGTCCTTTGCTACTTGCGAATTAAGCTTGGCGGACTCCTTCATCATCCCGATTGGTTTCAAATGGATTTCGAGGCTTCAACGTGGTTTCTCTACTTGGAAACGTTGAGTACTGCCTTGAACAGAACTGGTTTCCGGTATTCGAGGATGACGGTCATCGACAAGTCCAAGCCCAGAGAACCCGAACACCAAATCTTCACTGCAGGTTCGAAACAGAAGAAGATATTGAAGAAATTAGCACTCCCTAATATTGATTGCTGACTTCATGGCCTGATGGACTACGGATGACCTTACTCTTGGCCGCCGCATAGGTGGACCTGCTCATCCGTCGGTCGAGCTACACAATCACGCTTTTCATCCACGCTGTGTACGACTTACTCCCGAATTCTGCATGGAAAAAGAGCAAAGTATCCCGAAGACGACGCGCACAGCCGTCACCGCTGCTATTCTTAAGTCGCACTACGCATGGCGACGTCGCCACCCCTCTCCTGTCACTCACCGTGGTGTCACCGAGACAGGGAATAACTATCTGAAACCACGATGGAATCTTCACCAGCACTTCCCTCAGGAGCCTCAACAGCGCCGGATTCAGCACTCTATCGGGCCCCTGAACATTTGGACCCAGAGATCACGGTCCAAGGCAGCTCGTCGTCGTCAGGATCTAGCGGGGTTGCCGTCTCTCCTTGCGGCATCGCCTAATGCTGCGAAACATTTGAACAAACGCCTAGATATCAGTTCGTCAGTCTACAACAAGGGCCCGAAAAGCGGCTGTCATCCAAGTCTACTTTTATCCTTGCAACGTAGATGAGCTGTCTTTCAGGGTCCCTGACCCCCACCAGCTCATCATTTGGTCCGTTTGCAAGAATGCCCAGCCTGGGGGCCGCGACCACGCCTGGCTTAATACTTGTCGAAAAGTAGCGGTGCGCGGTAGGCCGCAGAAAGCCAATGCCTTGTCAACATATCAACGAAGTACTAAGCAGGGGGTCTATTGACTCGACTATGGCCAATGCCAATCTCCGTATTCTCGACATGCTGTGGGTTCGTGAGTACTGCCACTCGTAGCATCACTTCAGCAACCCAGCAAGAGGTGTCAAGACAGTCAGATCTGTCCAGGGCTGATCCCACAAGGGTGATCGTGCTTGGCCGACGACCTGTTCGAACAAAGGTCTCCACCGTCTGGTCGATACCACTGTCGCAAGGAAGACTTCAGCCGATGGACCCGCTACGCCATCTTAGGGGTAATGACCCAAGATAGACCGTACTCTTGTGCTTTCCATCGGACATTTTCTTCGTGCTTGTACGCAGACAAGCTTGTGGGGGAACAAGGAGCTTTCTGGTGACAGCTGCAGCCACCCCCTTCAAGAGGAGCCACACAAAAGCATGATACGGATCATGCTTCTCTCGAAGAAACCAGGATTATCTCAGCAAATCACTAGTATGCCTACGGATATGCACATAGCCAGGCCACAAAGAAGATGATCCGGCTTTGGCGGTCTGACGAGAGGCCAACATCCACGCTCGCTCAAAGCATTACGTGTCATTCGAAGAGGAATAGCCCAGTATTCACGATGGACCGCTACCACGAAGGCTTTCAGTCATGGCAAACCACAACTGGACGTCTTCAGCATGTACTCTGGCTCTTCTCTGTTCTTCGGGACCGCACCCGCGCGTGCCGAGTCAGGTTTACGTTGCCCTGAGATCTTCAACGCTGCAGGATGACCAGCCATGTTCCACCATCTCGAACAAGCTGTTAGAGTCAACGGCCAGATGGCACTCTATGCACCTATCCGCAAACCCACTCTGCAAATCCCACCCCAGTGCGCCTCCAGAAAAACGGGACCCATACCTGTTTGGTCTTTGCGGGAGCGTCTGCTGTATTTGCGCTTGCAAACTTGCCCAATGACTCTAGGGTTTTGGCGGATGAGCTCCACGTTCTTCTGTGAAGCCTCTCAACAGACCAAATGTTTGAGCTAGTGATATCTGATGAAACCTGCCTAGCTTCGATCTCTGGTCTCTTCCAAGTAGGCCCTCCCAGTATGGCTCAGTAGCTCAGATACTTCTCATCTTAGCACACGGCAAGCCTATAGCTTGGCTCCTTTTGTGAGATTTCTCCAAGTAGAGCGGACTTGCGGATCCTCCTGCATGGAAGCTTCCCCGGAGCCGTTTGGCCTACCCGGTTCTTCAACATCGAGACGACACATGCAGTATCTTGCGACCACCACGCAAGCATCGGCAGTAACCTCACTTCATTAGACTTGGTCTCGTGAGTTCTCTCCCAAGGGAAACATATTAGACCGCCTTTAGTCTGTACTCTCCGTGTCTCCCACTTCCACCATCTTACCAGTCATCTATCACTTTGTAGCCTCACCTCGATAAGGCAAAAGAAAGAGCGGTGGCCGGTCACAAACGGAGACCTCAATGCTGAGAGGTCGATTCCAAGACACCGCAACAAAGAAATCTGCACCGAGAGTGTCGAAACTCAAGAAGAAGCCCCGAGCCCCGAGCCCCGTACTAGAGTGCAGGATCCATTGCAGAATTGACCGTGTCTCCAAGAAAAAGCGACAATCTCGAACCCCCTTGTCCCGGAAAACTTTGCCAGCGTGCTGCACGCCCGTGGACGCTGCGTCGCCAACCTCCAGAACGAAGACATCAAGTGTTTGCCGACTGCCAAAGACCTAGCAATTACCTCTACACCTGGTCTCGCTATTGCTGCAGGACTTGTCTTAAGTCTTCTATCGTCCCCCCCTCTTTTTAGGAACAGGTTCGCCTGCGCCGGTTCACCAAGGTCCTGTCCGCATCACAGCATAGCACCACCTTCGAGACATCTTCTACCGACAAACAGCCGGCAAGATGCTTTCCGTATCTTCTCTTCTTAACCCGTCGCCTCCAGGGCCGCTTCCTGCCCCTCGGTTCCTCCCAAGTCCTGCAATGTCCTCGCCGGGAACCTGCTACTCAGACAGAGCTCCGTCACCATATCTTGACCGACCCGCCGTTCCGAAGCTCAAGATGTCCAAGGATCCGTCTCCAGTATCCAAATACAAGCCTCGTGGAGTCATCAAATACTACCCCTTTGAGAACTTGGACGACATATCCCGCCGCGAGGTCCATCGCTTTCGTGTCTCGCCATTTGGTCGTATCCAGGAGTCATGTGCTCATATTCCATACAACAGCGGGAAGAAGGACTTCTTCGAGAAGACGGGGCGTGAAAGCTTTGAAGGTTCGTGGTTCCAATGTCGAGGTTCTCTGGCTGCTTTTGCTGATCGAGCTGTCTAGTGTTCAAGTATGAGTTCAAAGTGCCCGGAGAAGACAACGACTTCACTGTCATGTGGGACTACAACGTTGGTCTGGTCCGCATGACTCCCTTTTTCAAGTGTTGCAAATATTCTAAGGTAGGACTTAGTAACTCTGAGAAGGGAACTCTACTGACAGATACAGACTGTTCCTGCAAAGATGTTAAGCCTCAACCCTGGACTCAAGGACATCACGCACAGCATCACGGGAGGCGCAATAGCAGCTCAAGGTTAGTTGGAATGTCTCCAAATATGAATTTTGAGAACTAACTATTTCAGGGTACTGGATGCCGTACGAATGTGCCAAGGCAGTATGTGCCACGTTCTGCTACAACATCGCCGGAGCCCTAATCCCCATCTTTGGCCCGTCATTTCCGTCCATGTGCGTCCCGCCAGGCTCCCCAGAGTACCAACGCATGGTGATAGACCACCGCATCGTCGAAGACGCCATCAAAGATGCCGACAGGTCGCGAAAAGTACAGCATCGCGCTCTCCCGCCCATGACCCTCGGTCACATGCCCAATATTGAACGGCGCCCCATGCGACCTCTTCGTGACGACAGAAGACTCAGACTCGACACGACTCGTCTGATGAGCCCGTACAGCGATACCGACGGGGAGGGCGGCACTCGCTCGTGCCCAAACTCGGCGTCCAGCAACGGCTCAGACGGCATAGGTTACAGCTACGGCTATCACCATACTCCGGCACGACACTCGCAGCCACCCACTTCCGGATGGGTGGCTGCGAATCGTCCAGAGCCGTACCGCTTGGCCGATGAGATCTACCGCACAGCCCATACACCTCATCCGTACCTCAGCGCCGTCCCCCGCTTCACGCCCCTGAACAATAGGCACACGCCGGCCCCTCGTCCGCCGTGGTCACAAAAGCGTCCCGTCAATCACGACGACGGCGATGGTGGCTGTGACAGTAACGCTGGCGAGATTATCCGCGTCAGCAGCCCCGCGCTGAGCTTTCAGTCTGATACTAGGCGGAGGGAAGAAGAGTCTGACGCCGATATTGCCGAACAGAACGCCGCGCTGGGCCTCATGACGCTCAAGACGGCGTCTCGCAAGGAGTCTGGCTACCAGAGCGACTTGGACAGCTCTGACCTACACCGCAGCAAGCGGCGGCGGGCCACGTCAGCGTGAAGTGCTGAGAGTTGCTAAGCGGGATAGATAGGGGGGGGAGGAGGAGGAGGAGGATGGATGACTCGAACGACTTGAACGTATTTAGATTCCTATGTTTTTGCTCGCGCACTCACTTTGTATTTCGGTATTCGAGGCTCTCAGGTAATGTCTACGGATGGAATGGATCAACTTGCCAAGTCTCTTGCCTAGTCTCTTGCCTCTTCTATCCAGAATTGTGTCTAGAAAGTCGGGGGATAAGTCTGGTGTTTGGTGGAATTTCAAAAGCATTTAATAAAGTAGTCAACATGCCCCCGTCGTCAAAGCTTCTCTCTTCGCAGTAATAGCAAAGGTCTTTCTTCTAAACATTCAATCATCATTCAGTCAAGTCCAAATCGAAGCCAAAACTACCTCTTCTCCGCAGCCTTCTTCACCTTAAACTCCTCAACCCACCCCTTGGCTCTCGCCACAGGAACAACATACACCCTCACGATCCCATCCACAACCTCCACGCTCCCGCCGCTCAGAATCTTCAACAGCGAAGCCTTCTTGCCCACTTTCACCAGCCCGCCCGCCGCCGTCTCCATGTAACACTCCACCGCCGCCGGGCTAGCATACTCCCCCTTCTGATCCCACGGCAGCGGGAGGATATACCCCAAGTGATCCCCCACGCACTCCGTCTCGTTCCACGCCTTCACAAAATCGCTCTCCATCTGCAGCGGATACAACAGCACCGCCGGGAAACTCAGACTACTCGCCGGATCCTCCTCATCAGGCACGAGCCTCATCCGCGCGTCCTCCATCTCGGGCGGCTGCTCCGTCGTCCGCGTCTTGATCCCCCGCGCAGCGAGTGCAGCCTTCAACAGCATCTCTCTTCTCCTCTCCCCCGCCTTGCGCTCCTGCTCCCGTTTCGTCTTGGCGTCCGCCCGCTCCGCCGCCTTGACGATATCCCGCGCCACGGCCTGGAGCGGTTTATTCCCCTCGTCCAGCGCCAGGCCCCTCGCGCACGCGTCGTCGGCCTCCGCGATGCGCTCGACTTTCAGTAAAGCGCGCGCGGAGCGGTAGTAGGCTTTCAGATTCTTCGGGTTCAGCCGCAGCGCGAGACCGCAGTCCGTCCAGCAGGACCTGAAATTGCCGAGCTCGAGGTGGCACGCCGCGCGGTTGACGTACAACGACTCCAGGACGGATTTCTGCTTGGCGATTTCCTCCTCGTCGTCTTCGACTTCAATGTCCCTCTCCTCTTCCGCATCATCCCCTGCTGCCGCGCTCTCACCCTCGACCTTGGCCTTCTCCGTATGAAAAGTCTTCTCCCCCTTGGCCCTCCTCTTCTCCTCCACCGCCAAAATCTCAATCCCCTTTCCATAAAACTCCTTAGCGTCAGCATACATCTTGGCCTTGAAACACTCGTTCCCGCGCTCCTTGAACTCTTCTCCGTTCTCCCTCGCCGTCCCCTCGTACGCGAGCGCCTGCAGCGCGGCAACGTCGTCGTTCTCCTCGAGCGAGGTCATGAAGAGCGGGGACTTGTTCAGGTCGGCCAGGACCTCGTCGGCCGTCTTGCCGCTCAGCAGGGCGTGGCCGGGCGGGAGGGCGGCGCCTTTTGCTGCGCCGGGGATGGCGGCGGCAGCTGCTTGTGCTGCCGCCGCTTGCTCTGCGTCGCGGCGCTGGACTTCGGCGATCATGGCGTCGGCCATTTGGTCTGTGATTTCTTCCATTTGGACCATTGTTGCGGATTGCGGATGCGGTCCCCGCTTTTTTTCTGCGGTGTTGGTTGTTGCTGGGTGTTTTCTGTCTCTGGGTTTGTTTGCAATGCTGAAGTCGCAAACTGGCTGACAGGTTGTGTAAAAAATGGTTGGTCTCAGCTGGATGAGTTGCAGGTTGTGATGTGAGTGTGATGAGTCTCACATGAGATTTGTCGCTTGTTGTTTGTGAGCCTGTGATTGAGCGAAAAATTTGGGGGTGAGTTGAGTTTGTGTGTGTGGTTTTTGCGGTGGCGATTTTCATTGGGCAGATCTTTCAAATTCTGGAGTTCATGGAGGAGCTGCGAACCTCGTGGAATTCTGACTCTTCAACCTCACTCGAGAGTAAGACAAATGGCTCTAAACAATTAATCGCAGCTACTGATTCATTTGGGCGATCAAACAACACGATCTCTCTGATTTGGAGTTATAGGCATCACCCACCCAATTCACATTCAAGCGGGAATGCCAAGTTCATCAGAATGACTTCAATTCTATTAGAGCGATTAAGTAGTTGTGGTAAATGACCAAGTGATAGCCGCTCCCAACGCCGAATAAATGCAACAAAACTCCATGCTCGCCAAAAATCAAAAAGCGTCTCTAGTCTATCCGACAACTCATGGATGAGACCAACTCCAAAATTCAAGCCCGTATCCGTGACGCCGTACTGTTTCGACCGAAGAAAAGCAAATAAACTCCCCTTCTATAGCCCTTTCTCATGCTTTGGTTGGGTCATGAAATCTTTTTTGAACTCCGTTTCGTGAAATCTCCCCGCTCGAACCATATTCGTCACATTCATCTGACAACACATTCATTCCTCGTCCGAGAACACCTCCCTGATGCTGACTCGGGACTCCTTCTTCTGCAAGCAAGGCTGGGCATCCTCCTCGCTCACATCCAACTTACGCTCACGCTTCACGGAGAAGCACTGGATAGCACCAATGACTGCAACGACAGCACTGCCATACCATGCCAGAGCCGTGCAATCGACCTTGCTTCCGAAAGTGTACAGCCATCCGGCAACGGGCGGAGCGATCATGCGGAAGCCAGCGGCGGCGCTAGCGGCGAGACCGTTGACCTTGCCCAATGCCTTGGGAGTGGGAGTGACCTCCTTGATCAAGATGAGAAGCAGAGGGTACAAGATGATGGAAAGGACGTTGCGGACAGCCAAGCAGAAGTAGATGCCGGCGTACACAAGCGACTCGGGAAGGAACAGCAGGCTCGGGACCATGACGTAGGCGATCGGGTGGAGGACGGTGACGATGAGGAAGAGTCGATAGACACCAAACTTCTCGGCAGCGAATGGGAAGATGACTGCCTGTACGAAGAGCGCGATGACACCGTTCACTGCCATGATCATGCCCACTGCGCGGAGCGAAAGACCCAAGCCGCCAGGGGTGTAGAAGGGGCTCGAAGCATCGGTAAGAACGGTGATCGGGGAAGTGGCGCGGTCGTCTTCGAAGAAGATGGGCAAGAGATGGTCGTAGGTCATTGAGTGGTAGGTGAAGATGCAGAGCGCAAGAATCAGCGACATGATGGGCTTGGTGTAGATGTTGTAGGACTGGTCGGCCTTCTTCGCGGGAGTCTGCGCGCTGCGACCGCGGACGGTACCGTAGTTGTCATCTCTCAGGTCGACGGCAGGTCTCTTCATGGCGTCCGAAGTCTCCAGCAGGGGAGTCTCCTCGGAAGCATATGTGTCGTCGGGCATGAAGACACGAGGCTGCATGTCGGGGTGAGTCTCCTCGAGAAGGAAGTAACCCAGGATGATGCTGACGAGCAGGAGACCGGCGCAGACGAGGTTGGGCAGAAGGTACGGGTAGCGGTAGAACATGCCGTCGACGGGGAAGATGCTGGGAAAGGCGTCGTGGGGGTCGGCAAAGGTACCGCCAATAAAGGGACCGATGATTGTGCCAATAGACCACACGAAGGGCATAACCGAGAAAGCGCGGGCTGCAAGATTAGCACAATGCGAGGCTTGGTGGTCAGAGGAGAGGATTCTTACGCTCATGCTCAGGCTTGGTGACCAATTCACCAACCATGGTCTGGATGACGCCGATGTTGCCGTTAAGAAGACCGCCGATAGCTCTGCCAGCCAGAGCAATCCAGATGTTGGAGGCGAAGCCGACCATGACCATGCTAAACATTGTGCCGACGCATCCCAGGAGAAGCACGGGTTTTCTTCCGATACGGTCAGAGAGACCGCCCCAGTACATGCCCATCAGGGCCTCCGCGAGGGAGAAGGAGGAGATGAGGAGGCCGGCGTAGAAGGATGCATCTTCAGCGTTGCCGATTTCGAATCTCTTGACGAGGGCCCAGGCGTAGGGGAAGATGGAGGTGAGTGCGATGGGCTCGGCGAGACGAACAATCGCTGAAAATGTGGCGTTAGTATGCGTGGCTGGAGAGAAGAGATGGTGTCGGGTGTGTATGCGGGTGTGTATGTGTATGGTTGGAACGCGGCAAGACAGGGAATGCCAGGTGAAGGAATGTGGTTGTGGTAGGAGGGAATGCAGTGGTGAATGGACGTACCAAGGAGGAAGAGCTGAATGGTGGGAAAGTCGTCTGGGTTGCGAGGGCTTTTCTGCATGGTTAGGGCCATTGTCTCTCGACTTGGTTCAAGTCTTACGATGCGACAGAACACTCGACGAAGAATCTACTGGAACGTAGGAAACTTGAAGAATGAAATGTCGGGATGCGTGTACGCTTATACACGTTTCCTCCTGTCCTGGCCGGCGGCGGTGACGTCCTGTAGGATGCGACTACACAAGAAGAAGTTTCGTCCGTCTTCAGAAGAGATGTTGTCGAGGGAGAGAGAAGAGGAATGTTGCGAAAGAGCGGAAGCAGGAGAGGGGGGGAGGTAAATATTGGTTCTTGGACGTGGATCCGTGTACGATAACGGCCTTCTCCCGAGTCTCGCAGGGTGGGAGGGTGGAAACAAGCGCTTGCAGCAACCCGGAGTGCCAGATGGAGCTAGAAGAAAAGAAGACTGGCGGATGCAAGCGGGAGAGGAAGCCGGCGGATGCAGTAGAGTTGCACGGTGGGATGGGAGAGAGTTGCGGGAGTGTTAGGTTGGGTTTGGTCACTGGTGGGAGGAATGCATATGACGGGCGGCGTGAGCGAGATGTTTTTTTTTTTTCGTCGTCCCGTCTCGCTCTCTTTCCTCGTCTGATACGACCGACTTACACCGTCCCGTCCTTCAGCACACAGTGACACAGTGTGGCGGGGCTCTCTGCTCAAGTGGGATGGATGGAGTGCATTCTGTGTGCTCCGAGTTGCAAGGATCGCAAGACTGCAAGAGACAGCAAGGTGGAGAGAACAGGGGAATTGCGGTTTCCAGACCGACGGCATCCGAGGAAAGCAGCAAGTCTGGCCGCGCGACGACAGGGAAGGAGCCATGGAGGGGAAGCTTCGACTGATGGACTGCGCCTGCACGGACTGAACGCTGCACCTCACGCAGCTCACGCAGCTCATGCGCCAGGACACCGCAGTTTAGGGTATGTAAATATGCGGGAAGAGAGCGGATTTCGGCCTGGAATAGTTGCATAAGTGGCGCTGCCGCTGCCGTTACCGCTGAGGACTACGGATACTCCATGCAGGTGACGGGGGAGGGATCTTGCGCTAGTTTAGCGTTCTTTTTTGTTTTTTTTCTCTCTCTTTCTGTGCTCCCGTCACTTTCTCGTCGCAAGTTCCCAAGTTATCATCTTCTCTCCACCACACTGCTCCAGAGTCCAGGATGCTGAGTGCACGGGCTCTAGAGGAATATCCGCTTACAAGTTGCACTACGATTCCTTGTCGATGCAGTAGCTCGTCCGTCGATTGTCGTGTCGTGTGAGAGACTCAGACGGGAGTGTGTCGTGTGTGGTGGGTTTTCCTGCTCGTTCTGACTTGACGGCGGCTGATCAAGGTGAAGTGCGATGCATCAAGGTGGAGGAAAGAAGGCCGGCTGTCGGTCTTCGGCTCCTCGGATGGAAGTAGCGCGAACTAGACACTTGCGACGGCTTCCTTTCCATTGCTTTCTTGTCTCCAACCCAACTGACCACCATCAGCAGCAGCAGCAGCAGCAGCAGCAGCAGCACCACCACCACCACCACCACATCACACGCACGCTTGTCCAAGGATCTTCCAAACCTACTGCCGCCTGCAACTAAGAAAGCAATCTGCGCCTACCTTATTGACACTCCGCATACTATTGCCGGCCGCCAGTCATTGACATTGCACCCCTCCCTCCATCCAAACATTGGATGATGAGTTGTTAGTTCTCGAAACCACGATAGCCTCACTCAAAAAGGAAATTCATCTTCACCGAAAAACAAGCCGGTTCGTCCTCCAAAACCAGCCCCAACGCACACCCCGCCTCCTCTCTTCATGTCAGTCCGCGGCGGTCACCATTCGTAGTCAAAAGATTTTGGTCAACGTCACCGAAACCCGTCACCAGCGGATGACTACCGATTGTCCCACGCGAGTGCCGGGTCTGGTTTCCGGTCCCCCTGGCTGAATGTAACGATTTCACCGCAAGGATTGCAACAAGCACACAAGATACTGCATGACACGACCAGCATCGACCGACAAAAGCCTTGAGAGCTCCACGGATCATCAGTTTTGGGCCGGTCCAGAGTGTCTATTGAAGCACCAAGGGCGGCTTCGTCTGCACAGCGAAATTACATACCCTGCCGATGCCTGCCCGTTGTCGCCCACTTTCTCACGACTTTCCATGCTCCTTGCTCCTTGCTCCAATTCATGGCCCAATTCTGCCATGGGTGCTGGTGCTATTGGCTGGCGGCTCCGACGCACTTGGGACGGCTGATTGGGACCAGTTTCTCTGCACTGTGTAAAGCCCCAGCTATTCTCATCGTCTAGCGTGCGCCGCATCCTTGTATGCGAGTTCGTTAGTCATTGGACCTTTTCATTGGACCAAAGGCTCGCCGCACCAGCACTTCCCGACTCCCGTTGACTCTCAAAGTTCCCACCTTTGGTCGTCTTTCGCAGTCTTTTCCCTCCTCCTTCGCCGCCACCATGGACTGCATCGTCTAAATTTCCTGGGCAGCAACCTCGACAACCACTTTTGGAGTATGTTATGCGCTACTGCGACTCAGCATGTGCGCACTTCAGACGACACCGGACCATTGTTGCGAACCCACATGGAGCGTCCACGAAGACCACGTCGCCTGACAACCACCAATTCCACTTTTGTCATTTTCTACGAGTCTAAAGCGCTATGCCGCCCACCACTTATTACCTCTCGCCTGCTGCCTGACTTGATGGCTGGGGACGAGCAGAGCCACCCCTTCAGACTCTACCAATTTCCCGTTCCAAGGACTGTGATTCTGAGTAGCCCTCCTACAGCCGTTTTCTGACAAGATGCGGTGTGCGAGGGCCATAGCTATGACGATGTTGTGGAACCTTTCAAGGTTCAGGTCGCCCGAGGCCAAGGGCTCACAAGTGAAGCGATCGGTTCAAAACGTAGCAGATCTTGAAAAGAAGCCATCCCTAGTCAAACCTGGCCCCAGCTTCATAACAATCGCACACTACGGATACATACTCCGTACGGATAGAGCAAATAGCAACAGAGAAAGTGGACGAGCGGCAGTCGAACCAGGGCCAGCACAAGGTCGCAACTCGCAAGCCCGTTCATCCACCTTGCATGCCCTCTTAGCGCAATCAACCCCAGCGCCGACCTCGGTGGTCCCCAGTCCCCCGTCGATGCATTTGTTGACAGGCAAGGAAGCACCACGCAGCTGCCCTGCCTTTGCCCTGCCTTGTTCTGCTCTCCGCATCAACGTTCCCTTTTATCCGTACACTACGGCAGGTCGGGTTTGACAACTGCTCGCTGCACACTGTTTCGAGGCCGATGCGACGCGACGCTCGTCAAATTCTCCCAAGCTGCACCTCTTTCATCAACAACGGCTGCAGTGCACCCTGCGTGCCTGCATGCCTGAGTGCCTGAGTGCCTGCATGCGTCCTGCCCGGTGGCAGAGACAGAGAGGTCAATCCAATGCTGTTATGGCCTCCCCTCAGGTCGCAGGTGGTATATCGTCCTTTTACCCGGCTGCGAGATAACGCTCCTCATCCTCGCGCCCTAATGGCATTGCCTGCCTGCAAGCTTATCTCACATCTGAGCTAAGGTATCTCATTCTCACGCCAGCATGAAATTATGCTTTTCGCAACTCACCTCGAGTGACACGCACCACCACGATCGTTAGCGCCGCCCGCAAGCCCGTACCCACCGCTACGCTCCGTGTTTAGTTCTCCACCGCCCACATGCAACGCCGCTAGAGAATCCCGGAATACGGCTTAAATGCATTTACCGCTTATCCTTCTTCGTACGGACAGTCCTCGGTAACAAGCTCGCCGAACCTCCATCCTCTTCCCAAGTCCCAACACGAGTGCTGGGCCGCCATCCAACTCCACCGACTTTTTCGACCAACCTGTCCTCCCACCAAGTGCGTCGCTCCCACCTCGATTGCTGCTTCATCACAGCTCCCTCCTCCTTCTCCTTCTCTTAAACCGACGCTTCAGCCCAAGATATCATCAAATAACCCCCTTTTCAGCGACGTTGAATCTGTTCTTCGCCGCCCCGCATCCCCATCTGCAGGCATCGTCCTCCGGCTGGCCCCACGACAGGGTTCCTCATGGGAACTTGCGCTAGTTCCCGTTTGGAATCCTTGGAGGGGTGTGAAGCCGTGGGGAGTGGGGTGGGTGGCACTCGGTCGCTAAACGACGCTCTTTGACTATCGTTGCCTTTTCACACGTGTAGAGATCAACAGTCTTGAGTCACAAGCTGGCTGGCTTACCTGGAGGGAAACGCTTGTGGCGAACACTAGGAGAGTTAGCCACCCTGTTGTGTCTGTTTTGTTGTGTGTTTCCTCCCCAGGTTCCAGGAGTTTTCCGCTCTGGGAAAACGTCCAACGGCGCTGATCTCCGCCTATCACATCACGAGGTGGCAACCACACACCGCCCATGATTGCCTACCTATCAAACGTGATACTTTGCGCTGTCCAACAAGGTGGCCACCTCGACATTTGCCACTCGAAACTTGATGGGATTGTGAATTAGCCACATGCTACATTGGTATTCTTCGATATCAAATGTTTAATTCCCAAAATGAGACTCTTCAACGGCCAGGAGACAAGGGTGTGCCATGGTCCCTGGCGGCGCGCCCCACCCACCCCGCGCACGCCATCCTATAGGGCGCTGACGTTCTCGTCAACCCCCACGCCCGTTCGACGTCGTGGACAGAGCCGCCTTTGACGACGTCTCTTGTTTTCGCTGTGAATGATACGGCTGATGCTATTTGATGGTTTCCTGTATGGAAGGGTGATATTCGTTGGTCTTGTGTGATGTGACGTGCGATGGTGAGTGTGCGGCTTCCTGTTGCTTGACGGTATGTGACTTGAGTATCGATTTTGGTCTTAGTCCGCTGGCAGATTGGCTCCAGGTTGGAAATTCACGCCCTTGAGTGGAATTTTGATTTCTTTCGGTCAATGAAAGCATTTGAATGGGTGGTACGGATCGTCTCTGGGTGTTTTCGTGTTACGGTGTTACTTTATGTTGTCTCACAAGCGCCACCGTCAGGCTGCGCCGGAGGTACCTACTGGTGGTACTATGCTGCCTGATGTCGTGTTGAGATCGATGTCGGCCAAGTTTCCTTCTTGAGAAATCATTCATTGAAAGAAGAAAGGGGAGGTAACATATACTTTGCCGTACGGGATGTGGTCAGTGGCTCTATGCTGATTGAATTCTCGAGAGGCTCGCGGCACTGGATGTGATTGCAATGTCTGCGCTATCATCCACTATCACAATTTTGCGGAATCAATCGATCCTTTCATTTCTTATTGGCTTCAAGTCCACATCGTTGAACGTGTATTGCCTCGCCAAAATGCTCTCGAAGTCCAGTGTCGTGGTGGAAAGTACAGTTGTACCAATCTTCCTGTCCTGCTTATCCATATAAGTGCTGGCTGACTGATAACCGGCGTCATTTTGCCCCGATGGTCTACTCTATAGTCCGGCGGAATCAGAAGTAATCGACGCCCATCTAGCACGAGCCAGTCAAGCTCGATACTAAAACCATACCCGCAAAAGTCTCGCCATGAACTTTCTCTTGGACCTTCTGCATATGGTGCTTTTTCATGACCCTGGGCCACTGCTCCAGCATCTCCATAGATGTTTGCATCCAAGCAGCTTGGGCCCAGGCAGCCTGGCCCTGGATCCTCGATGGTCAGGAAGCCAAATTGAGTGTTCAGGCGTCTTCTGATGCCTGCTCCAAAAGATGCCGTAAGGAGAAACCCGTACGTTCTCAACTGACGTATACAGTGACCAGTTGTCACATCCCAAAGACGTATACTGCTCCGCGAACTCGAAGCAAGCAGCTGGCCATCCATGGAAAAGCTCAGTGATACGACGGTTCTATACATCGGTTCCGAATCGGATGCTGTGAGACATCTTTCAGTCGCCATGTTCCAAATTCTGAGGCTATCAACAGGACTGTGGTGATCATTAGACCTGTAAGCGATCCATTGGCCATCCGTCGAGACTTCCATGAGATCAACATATCTGTCAGCTTCGTGGTGTGTTTGCGCGGTAGTACCATCAGATGTGTTCAAGATTCTGATTGTCTCCCAACTGCCACAGGCAAGCTGAAGGCTGTTTCGAAAGGCTAAGGACGTAATATTCCACATAAAGACACCGCTTTCGTCATCGTCATCTATGTTGTCGCCTCTGTTATCTCCTTTAGCATCAACTGAATCTGCGTCAAATATGTGTGTACGGGCACCGGTTTTCGTCTCCCATATAGTAACCTGACCGCTAGAAGAAGCTGACGCAATCTGTCGATGGTCCTTGGACATGGTGATAATAGAGACATTGTCCGAATGAAACTTCTGTACTTCCATTTCATTTCCGGCTGACCTTCCCCACGTTGCGATCTCCTGGCAGTCGGGGTAGTAGGCTGCGAAGTGATGTTCATCAGAGTAGTAAAGACTCTGCGTGGAGCCAGTACTAGCCATGCTCTTGCTGCTTTTTGCTAGGTCCCATATTTTGACGGTCCCATCAGAAAATGCCGTCACAAGTCTCTCGTTGTCCGGCGAGAATGCTAAGGAAGTGTTACCATTCCCACAACGTGAGGTCTTCCACGTAAGAGCTCCCGTTGCCATGTTCCATACGCAGATGCAATCAGAGAATGAGGCTGCTAAAAGAATGCCATCATTTGAGAAATCTAAAGACCGGAAATGTGTGAAATGTCTCGAGTCGCCGTGTTCGAATCGCGTTCGAAATTATGAATCAGTCGACCAGATTTCATTCCCCAAACGCGAACATCACGATAAAGATTCCCTACCGCGATCCATTGTCCGTCACCCGAAATCTTCACTTTCCAACCACCCTGACATCTGATCTCTTTCTTGCATTCCCCTGTCGAAGAATTCCATATTCTGATGACATCATGTTCACCTACTGAGGCAAGCCATCGACCGTCTGTCGTGAAGCTCAGCGATTGTACACCCGTGATGCTTGCCATGGATATGCGCGTAGAGGTTTTCTTGTCCATGTTCCAAATATGGATCACTCTATTCTCCAGGCCGTATGCAAAAGTGCGACCGTCTGGCGAGATAGCCATCGTCGTGGCCATCGTCACCTCTTCATGGCCTCTGAAAATCTCGACCTGATTGGTCTTTAGATTCCAGACCTTAATGACTCCGTTCCAGGACGCGGCGGTAAACGTGTGACTGTCTTCTGAGAAGACCGCCGAGCCCACACCGGCTTTTTTTATTGTTTTGGACCATGGGTGAAGAAGTCCTTCGCCGAAACCACCGTATCTGAGTTCAAAATTTACACTGTCTGCTTGCCAGAGCTTCACAGTGCCAGCTTCAGAGGTAGAAAGAATCCATTGGCCGTCTGGTGAATATACCGCAGTATTGATGGAAGATTCATGCCCGGGAAGCGACTGCAGGTGCGCATCCCACGTCATGTCTAAGCCTGGCATTATCGAGATCCATTCGGGTGCGTGATCCTCGAAGAATAGCTTTCTAACAACACTCTCTTCAGGACTGAATAGTAAGGCTGTTTCATAGATCTGTAGGGGAAACTCGGCAATCATTTCATTGTGATATAGTAGAAATCGATCTGCGTCATGGACTAGGTCTGCTAGGCTTTTGTTGTTCAAGCTTGACTTTCCTCCCTCAGCCGCGGTTAGCTTGTAAACTTATGTCATCAAAATTGCAAACCGACTTACGATCACATGTTGAAGTTTCTGTATGCCTCGTACTGCATGCGTAAGCTCACCGAGGAGAGCGAGGGCCTCGAGCCAGTAAAGAAACTTGCTTTGGAGAAACTCATCGACAACCCCATCGTCTTTGATGTATGTCGCAGGATTTGATTCTTCCAAATGTTTCATCCAGTATGCGCATGAATATGCGACAGAAGCTAAGGGATCCGGATTCAGCACGGTAGTATCATTTCGAGCCACGCCGACATCTTGTAGCTCATAAATTTCGCGGCGTACGATCTTGGAGATGGCATCCATCGATCTCAGACATACCGCCCAATGTATGTCCTCGACTCCGTCCGGGAATATCGAGTCAAAAGCGTCCCCCTCCTTGTTGAGTAGAAAGTCTTGGGCTGACTGGTGCACGAAATAAATAGTTCCACCCCGAAGACTCAAGAAAGAACCACAACATCGCACAGCATCCTGCAAAGTCTCAACTTTACCGTCGAAATGTTGCGATAGCCCCATGATGGAGCAAAGTTCAAGCGACGTGACAGAGCGTTCCAGTATCGCAATAACGGCCAATACATCTTTGCATAGATCTGCATCCATCGCACCAGAAATGTACTGGAACATGCGCTTGTATAGCTTGTCGAGCCCTTTAGGAAAAGTTTGCAGAACCCCTTTCGGTCCGATGACGTGGGCTCGTCTTAGGATGTTGTCTTGGCGAAGCGCATCGCAGACCAACGCCACCCATAAGAATGTGTCGCTCGAGTTTTTGTTGAGGTACTCTTCGACGTGGCTGCGGAGTTCGAGGTCGCCATGGTAAGGTTGTTTCTCAGCAAGTTTGTCTACCCTTCTTCGAATGTACGTGCGAACAGCATGGGCAACGAGATCGCTGTTCAGCTCCAGGGACAGTGCTGACGTGCGTTCCGTAATCCTCTCGAGGTTTGTCTCGATTTCCGGCCAATTGCGGCTTGACACTATCCACTTGGCACGAGAATTGTTTGATCTCTCGCAAATGAAATCCAAAAGCTTCTGGCGACCTTCCACGCATTCGTCGAGAGCATCCACGATCAACAGCACACCGTTCATTATTGGATCACCCAGTATAGCGTTGAGAATACCGCACATCACTCCCCACGCGCTGTCTCCTTCGAATGCCGCCTTTCCGCCACCATCTTTGTATTTGTCATAGATATACCGATCGACCTGCGGATATCTCTTCGCAAGTCCATAGATAAGCCCTCGTAGCACAGCAGTGGCACTGTTGAGTGTCGTCTCGGTGGCTTGGCAGAAGAAATATGATAGGGTGTGAGTAGGGTCCATCTCTAGTTCGTCAATGATGCCGCATAAGAGCATCGTTTCCCCCTTACCCGGATCGCCCTTGATCCAGAGTATGTTGTGACGAGTTTCCTTATGCCATCTCCGGTAGTTATCGTGATCCAGAACCCAGGAATAGGCATCTCGAAGAAGCCCCCCTTTCTCGATCTGTATACGATCCTTTTCATGATGGGGGTCAACTTTCTGACGAAAATCAATCAGACAGTTTTCTCTATCCTGTTGCTTTTCTCTGTCTTGTTGTGCTTGATTCTGCTTCTGAATCAAAGATGACAGGTCTTGGATTTGGTTGGTTTGATGCTGCATGGCACCAGCCAGGGTTTTGAGCGAGTCACAAATCGACGAGTTTTGATACTGGCCGAGCCTGGCCCGCACCTGATCCTCGGCTTCCTTAACACCAGTGAGTTCTCCCGTCCAGTCATCAATCTTGAAGACATCTCCAAGTAAGACTAGAATTTGAGACCTGTAGTAACGATAGACGCTCTTCATTTGGTACAGGAGAAGCCTTTTGTACAGCTCGACAATTTGTTTCTTGAGTTCATCTTTGAGCTTCTTCGACCGATCCTCGCCGTCGATAAGAAGCTTAAAAAGATTGCAGTACCAATCCATTGTCGACAAAACGTATGTGATGCCTTCGCGGTTGATACTGGACTCCGTGAGAGGGTTTGCAAGGATCTGGTGAGGTTAGTGATCATGAATCAAAGCCCAAATAGCCAGATCGACCAACCTGGAGCGAGAAAGAGACGCAAGACCATGGGATAGCGGCCTGCGGAGCCGCCAGAACGACAACGCTCATCACTTCTTTTACTGGCAAAAAGATTTGATTGAATTTTTCAATGTTCTTCTTGACGGCTGCAATCTTCTCTGACTCTTCGAGCCCGGCGTCGACAAATCTCTTCAACTGGTCAGGCGTTTTCAGTGTTTCAGGAGTGATTTCGGGGCTTCCCAAGGAACCGGAATCGCCGCTGATATTCTTAAGCCTGTGGACAAGGAGTTCTTCGTATGCTTCCACTATACTTTTTTCCTCGGCCTCAAGGGCATGATACGCTTCAATCCACAGGCGCTCCTGTAGGCTGTCTGCCGACACAGAATCGGGTGCCGACAGAGAATTGGACGGCTGAGCCGACTGAGTTGAGGAGGCATCTTCTTTTTTGTCCTTGTGTCAGAACTTTAAACGAGCGAAACGCATGACGACTGGCGATTTCTGTTGGCCATAATATGGCGTCAACCAACATTAAAGACCTTGATACTCGTTGATGGATGTTGCAGTGTGGGAGGGAAAGTCGAAGAATATCAAGCTGCCTGCGGGGAAGTGTAAAGTCCCCCGAAAATTCCAATCTTGGTCGCTGTTCTATAAATAATTGCATTGCAGTACACTACAACAAATCGCCGAGCAGTCTTATTGCAGCACGAATTGGGGCTCATCCCCGTCATTCTTGCCGTTCACGGAAGCTATTGCATAAGGTATGCATATACGCGCCGAAAGCAACATAATCCGATTGGATATTTGCAAGGTCTCCGGCTTTTCCAACTCCTAATGCATGGTACCTCTCGTTCGTGTCTAATTCGCCAAACAGATGGCCCAGACGGTCCCGACTGCGGTGAACTGCCTACCGAGACCAATTTCAGCACTATTTCATACTATGATTTGATATTGCTGAAGGGGAAAAGTGGCCGGATGGGTAATATGGCTGACTTAGTGATGAACTGCGTTAAGATGTACTTTGTTTCTTGAATTATTGTGCAATCTCAATTTTTCTAAAGCTTAGTAAGTTCTTGTATCATGAGACTCCTCTGACGGATCTTATAGCCAAAAAAGTAGAAGGCTACCGGAATCGAGACGCATAACATCTCAATAAGACCCAGCAATGTCCCAGCCCAATTCAATCCCAGCGTCTTATACATTGATGGCCCAGCAAGTGGCAGACACGCGCCCATTATGCTTCTGACCACCATGTTCCCTGCTAACGCTGATGCTGCGTAGACGCCGTAAGACTGAGCCATGTAGTTGTTTGCGTAGATGAACGTGCAAGCGTTTCCGGCACCGTATGGAACACCAGCAATAATGGGAACGATCCAGTGTGTTCCGGGTCGGCACGTCCAGGCGAACCACAACTGGCCAACTGCTAACAGGACGGCACCTATGCAGACGACGCTGACTCTGGCTTCAGGCTTGACATTGCCCGTGGCCGGGTCTTTTTGATGAAGGTTGACGATGCGGCGAAGAAGAGGCTCTGCCGCGATAGGAATGAGAGTACCACATCCGATCCCCAGAAACGCCAGCCCGCCGATCCCTGGCGCCCAACCCCGTTCCTGCTGAAATGCAATCGGATACGCGACGAAGCAGAGATAAAGAGTCGCGTAAACGATGCCGATGTATGTGTTCCAAAACATGCTATTGACAGTAAGTCACTCAAGACGTAAAACAAATTTCCCAATCGCTGAGAAGTCGGGATGGGTCGACCTACCAGATCGGCTCGGTGCACATCATCTTGAGTGGCCGGTATAGATTGATCTTCAGCAATGGCCAGAACCCTTGGCCATGATCGTAGCGCGTCCACCATCTATCGTCTCCGGTTATCCTGCACTTTTCAGTGGCTTGTCTCCTCAGCAGCACGGGAGCGTATGTTTCTTTCACAGAGGCTAACAAGACAAAGACCACGCCTCCAACGATCAAGACGATCCAATTCGTCCATCTCCATCCCATGTATTGATAGACGAAGCCACCGATCAACGGCCCGTAGACGGGCCCGTTCGCCGGGCCTATGGACCAAAATCCCAAAGCAAGTGCGCGGTGCTTGTCTGAAATGATGTCGTTGACGGTGGCGGGCGAGTTCGACATCATGGTGCTGCCAAAGAACCCTCCGAAAAAACGAGTGGCGATGATGGTCGTAATGCTCTCAGCCAGGGCGCTCGGCAAGACTAGCACCAGAAACGCCGCCATGCATGCGATGTAGAGAGGCCGTCGGCCGAGTGATTCGCTCATGGGCGCGACGATCAGGCTGCCTGCGGCCATTCCGAACAGGTATGTGGTGAGACCCAGGAGCGCGACGAGCTTGGAGACGTGAAACTCTGCTTGCAGCCCGGGGATCCCAGAGGTGTAAAGAGTGCTGAACAGACTGACTACGGTAGCACCGAGGCTGACCGTAGTGACGGTGAATGCCTTGTACCATGTAGGCCATGAGCGAGGGTCCTGCGCATCTCCACTCTCCCATTTCACTTCAAATTCGGGAGCTCGATCGAGATTGGGCACACACTGGTTGAACGGCGGTGTCGTGTTGGTGTTGGTGGCATAGGGAGTAACCCCCAAGGCAAGATCCGTGGTTGTCTCGTGTAGGTTGAGTTCGCGCACTGGACTTTGTCGACCTGATTCGTGGATGCGATTTATTGGGTCCATGGTCCTGTAGTACTCAATGACCAACACGGTTTTCCCAAGATTGTGCGAAAGACCGGGACGGAAGGGTAGGGACGATACTCAGTGCTGCCTAATGAAAGTTTTGACAATAAGTAAAAGACGGGTTACATTATGTTCCACGTAATGATCAGTAGGATCAGGGAAGCTCTATGTACAAGCTAGGATTGAAGCCCAAATACGAATTGACTCGATTGAGGACGACTTGCAGATCAATGTTCACTGTGATTTCTAAGACTGCTAACGTTGCCAAATCGTACCGAGATATCCACAAGCTGAACAACGAAATCAAGACCCACAAGCTGATAAATACGATACCCTCAACTTTTGAGATTTGACTGACGGAGTATGCTTCCCTTTCAGGTAAGTGGCAGCAAATCTTGCTAAGGAGGCGGATCATGGGCGTCCATGCAGACCTGATGGGGTTCATGTAAAGTTATGACTCGTTCTTTAGAAGACCGGGCCAAGTCCGTCAGTGGGGTGATGAGCGGTCATGGGTCGGTGAATTGTAGGGTTGGCGGGGGTTTTTCAAGGGAGCAAAAGAAGTGATATTAGAGGAAAGCAAAACCTTGAACTAGTTGCTTTTCTCGTTTGGCTAGTGACGACAAAAGGACTATACTAGTCATCTCTTTTTGCATACAAGTTAGAAACGATCATTCTTGACAACGCCATGGACATGGAGTCACAGGTGACTTCGACGGGCTATGCAAGTGGACGTGAGTAGAAAAATGATGCTTTCTCGATGCTAAGAAGGATGGTACGTATCGCAAATGTTCTTTCTGATTGCTAATAATTACTACATTGAAACCAAACGTTATCCCCTTGGCAATTATGCGACCTTTATAAGCTCTTGATGAATCATACGAAGCCGTACATTTCTTGCTAAAGATAGAAATCGTCTAGAGAGTTTTTGAACTTGAATAAATCACTCATCTTAGGCCGAAATGGTTCAAAAATAGGTTCATGTTATCCTGGAAGCCCTATCTAGTATGCTCGGATGAACATGTCGGCGGGTGAAAGATACGGTGACAGATTCAACTTGATCACTAAAGTCGGTCTTTTTCTTTCCTAAATTACTAGTGTTTTTGCCTCATGATGTATATCGGCGTTTCGAACTCACAACATCGTCAACATTTATCGAGACCGAGTGATGATCAAATTCTTGTTGCAGATTCTGTCCAATCATTTCCATTGATCGAAATTCGTTGAATTATCCAGATTCTGTCCAATCATTTCCATTGATCGAAATTCGTTGAATTATCCAGACTATGCTACTACATCAAGGGACTCGTTGCTACTTAGATGATTTCAACTGCAACTCCTGGCTTCAACCACCTGACCTTGTCATCAACACCCTCATCTTTGAAATCCTTCGCCAGTCCCTTCTCAAACTGAGTGAAATGACCCCACGACTTGTCGTAATGCATGGGCACCAAATGGTCTGCCTTGATCCCTCGGAATAGACGAGCCGCCTGCTTGCCGTCCATGGTGATTTGCAGCGGTGCGTCCCTGTCCGGAAACTGCACATGCGCGGAACCAAGATTCATCATGGCAATGGGAACGTAAAATTTGTCGGCAATCGTAGTCAACTCGTCCATGTAGACCGTGTCGCCCGTGAAGTAGATCGCGTTCGGCAGCTTATTCGGTCCAACCCCGAAGTCGTCCGACGACAGCAAGAATCCAATGCATTCACCGCCAGGTAGGTGCTGGCACGGGGTGGCCGTGATGCGGAAGACCTTTCCGCCGATGCGTCTCTCCACGGTTGTCCATGGCTCCATGCCAACGACCGCCGGGCGAGGAGCGAGGTTCTTGGCTCCGTCCACGGTCGTGAAGACGTGCCGGCCGTCGAGGAGCCGGCGGCCCAGCTCGTCGAGATTGTCGGGGTGGTCTTCGTGGCTCAATAGCACTGCGTCGATGGGAGGAAGCTGATCGAGTTTGAGGGCAGGATCTTCGGTGTTCTGGAGGATAGTGATACCCACGTCCCAAGTGGTGCCTGCTGGGGAAAAGAAAGGGTCGGTCAGGAAGCGCACGCCATCGATGTCAAGGATGGCTGTCGCGGTTCCAATGTGAGTGATGCTCACTTTAGGCTTGAAGTTGTTGGAAGACATTGTCGAAGGTTTGATGGGGATCTCGGTCGTTGTACCGCCTTGAGAGGGAATGTTGGTAGATGATGCGACTGGAGGTAGAAGCTATCGCGTAGTGTCGTTGTCATTCATCTTCGTTGGAACAAGTGCTTCATAGTCTTCCTTATATGTGGAAGGGTATACGCTGTATAAGTTCCGATGCCTTTCGGGGATTGGGAAGAAGGCTTTCTCACGTCTGACCAACCCAAGACTTACAACTGGCAAACACGATTCAGCAATGGACATTTTGACAAATCCATATAAGACGCCGATTACCAACCTAAATGCATACAATAATTGGTAAAGTAGTCCTTTCAGAGGTACATGTAGACAGCACTGTTAACATGGTTTGGCCTGTGGGCTTGACAACAATAACGCTACAGTCAATTGCCCTTCATTGGAATGAGGTCATCTTGAGATGCGTAGGGAGAAACTTCACAAAGGCAAAATACCTGAATTTGATGCCGAACTATTTGGAATGTCTGTTCGTTGTAGCATCAACTGGGAATCATGGTCACATTCCATCACTAATCAGCAGGAAGGATTTGTCAGTTGTAGAAGCCTGGAGATTATCAAGCTTAGAAACAACAATCATTCATTGCGGATGGGCCGACATCGAGTCATGAGCTTGACTGCCATCGTAATTGCAGGACGAGTAGCGGTAAACGAGGCGTTCCTTCATAACACCTCTGCGCTTGACCAGAATAGGATTCATAATTCGCCAAGACATCTCTAATTCGGCGTCATTGCAGACTTTGGTGGCTTCCGATTGGTCATTCCTCATCCGTTCGGGGCCCCTCGATCGTTCTCCATCATCTGGGGATCTCTTGTCTTGGCGGATTATGATACCACACTTGGCCTAGCGCCGTCCACTACTGGGGAATCCTTGTACACCATCACACACTGAAAGCCTGGAACGTTTCTGTACGAATATATGACCCAGGACCCAGCGACAGTACCAGCCCTCAGACGATTACCAGTATATCCGCTCACATCATCACTCGTACACACACCTTCTTCAAATCTCTTTTCAGAGCTTTTGCGGCGAACAAGAAATCACCATGGCGTCCGCAGCAGCATCAATGCGTTCCATGCTCGGCGTGCCAGCATCGACACCCTCCACGAGCGACAGCACTCTGGTCATCATCGACGCTCAAAACGAGTACGCAACCGGCAAGCTAGCAGTCTCAAACGTCGAAGCATCCCGAGCAAAAATCGCCTCTCTGCTCGAGAGATATCGCGCCGCAAAGGCTCCAATCATCCACGTCGTCCACGAAGTGCCGGCCGGTGCCCCCCTCTTCACTCCCGGCACCGAGCTCGCTGAGGAATTCTCAGAGCTGAAGCCGCTCGAGGGGGAAAGTGTGGTCACCAAGAATTTTCCGGGCTCCTTCACGGGTACGAACCTGGAAGAGTTGCTAAAGGCTACTGGAAGGAACAAGGTGGTTTTGACTGGATACATGGTATGATTGATGATTCTTTTGACGAGAAAGGCGCATTATGGAAGAAGGTGTTACTAGAGACTAACTTTTTTTCCTCGGCAGGCGCACGTTTGTATCTCGACGACTGCTCGACAGGCGAGTGAAAAGGGGTGGGACGTGATCGTTGTGGAAGACGCCGTCGGTGACCGCGATATCCCTGGAGCAAATGCTGAGGAGTTGACGAAGGTCGCATTGGCTGAAATTGCGGATGCATTCGGTACTGTGGTGAAGAGCAAAGATATTGCATAACGCTTTGACATAGGGCTAGATAGTTTTGGTAGAGCGGGCAGCACGTTGTTCATTTGTGTCATTTAATATCATTTCTACCGTTACTATCATCATCATCATCGTCGTCGTCGGCGTTGTCGTCGCCCGTGCTGCCAATGTCGTCCTTACTGTGCAACCACAATTGCATCTGCTCCAACATAAGCTGACGAGGCCTATTGTATACTAAATGTCAACTAAGAAGTTTTGTCCGTCTATGCAATACTACATCCTCATATCCTTGCTGGCGTATAACCTCGGCGTTCCTTGCCAACTGCTCACTGATGGCCTCATCACCGCCTCCAAACATTTCCAGCGCACCCCTCGCGATGTGCAGAGGAAAGAACGCAGATGCTGTGCCATAGAGTTTCATGTCCTCCCGCATCAAATAGCCTGTACTTCCAAGGATAAAAGTTGCGAGCTGGAGAACCTTTTGCGTCGTTGCTTTGCTTGCGGGATGTTCGCCGTCTATCAGAACACAATCTTGTGGCATATTTGGGTGGTGTGCTGTTAACCGCTGTATCTGGGTGGCGCAGACAATCCAGAACGCCCAATAGTGACTCAATGAATTAGCCACGGTGATATTTGGGAATTCGAGGCCGGTGGTATCGGCTGGTGATCCCTTTCGTAGACGTGTAAAGTTCCCCATAGTCATGTTTGCTGACTTGTGCCAAAAGTCAAGGCGGTTGATAGCTTCCATGAACTGACCCACGGCTTTGCGGGTGAAAGATTCACTATTGTCGTTACTGTGATCAAGCATTTCGAAAATAGCGGGTATGGCGCAGGCCTCACTCAAGAGGGACTGGAGGGGATCTTGGACTACACGCCGAAACGGCTCTTCTTTCCACTCAGGCGCCCCGAGAAAGGTCGATTTCCGAGTGTCAAACGCATGGAGAATCTGAGATATCAGCATAGGTAACCTGAGGTGATGATGAATACAGGCTATCGTACTAGAATTGGTCTGAACCCAACGAAAAGTTTGTGGGGTGTTCCAGATGCGTAGAAGTGCGGCGGGCGGAGTTGAATTAGCTCACCGATGCCCCTTGCGTGAACAGTCGCTGCATAGCTCGATGTGGGAAAGAATTTCTGGTACAGTCTCATGTGAGTAAGGTGCCTACAAGAGGCCAAATAAGAGCCCAAGAATCCCTTACCTCTGACAGGAACAAGCACATGATGGCTGCAGATATCTCGTTATAGTTGTTCGGATCATCATTGGCGTGTGGAATAAGGCACCCTACAGCCTTGAGCGCCGAGGAGTGCGCCGCGATGGCTTCATGAACAGGGGCTCGCCCCTTGGGGCCTCTGGCCATCAGTGAGATCCCCAGAGCTTTGATGGCGGAGGATAAAGGTCCGTCGTGCCTCCCATCTGTCCCGACGATTCCCGGCAGAACTTCCACCCACGCTCCGCATATTCGAGACTGCGAAGGCTTTGCAGTACCGGACATGGACCCTAACTCATTGGCAGGGACGAAATTTTGTATGCACAGCGAGAGTACGTCACTAAGTGGCCAAGCCAAGGCCCGAGCCGGAGGTTTCGGTCTCTGGCTTGCGGGATTGGGTGCCCTGCTTTGACGTGTCCGCTTCTTCCGCTGACTTGAAGCGACCGAGCCAGGTGATGAGGGTTGACGGAATACAATGTGTTTCTTGTACCCTGGACAACTGAGGCCAGACAAGACGCACTGAGAGCAGCATGGCTGCTTTCCGTCACACTGCCAAAACGCCGCGTTAGTCAGGTCTTTCTCATACTTTACGGGACTCTTACGCCAAGCTTTCGTCTCCTGCACTCGTCGCAGACTGTATGCTGTTTGGTTTTCATGTCTCGTCAGTAGCCAGAACTGAGTGGAGACCAAATGCCGCAGTCCGAATATGCCGACCTCTGCCCGGGCACGATAATGGAGGGCATAGTCTTCAGCGCGGTAATGGGGGTTAATGGGCCTTTTGTGTTTCGGGTGTTCACATCCAGCATTGACCACTAACGGCGTCCGGTTACGGCCCCCACGCGGCGCTAAGGAGCTATTGGGTTGCCGGCTTTGCCCCGGGTTCATATAGGACTTCTTAGTAAAGAGAAATGGTTCGTCTTACAGTACCTAGGTACCTTACATAGGTTCAATCGTCTGAGGATGAAAACAATGCCACATCATTGAAATCGTTCATGCGGCAACACTTCCTGGCTAACGTGTTGCGTGGGATGCAGGGAGCCTTAGGACGAACACACACCAAGTTTGCCAAGTGGACATAGGAGAATGGTGCGGACTTCATCCACTTCACACCGCAACCACCAACCCTCATCGTCGGATTATTTTCTCATCCAGATGTGAGTCAGGCAAGGTCAATTAGATGCACACGAATATCATAAGGCCAGGCGAACCAAGTGTGTGTCACCAGTCGTGCTTTCCACACATTCATGGCCCGCCTACCTTACACCTTCCTCGCCTAAGGTAGGGCGTGGCCGTACCTTCCCTCATTTTCAACCGTACCTTCCCCCCCCGTCATCATCAACCACAAGGTGTCTTCCACACGTGACACACGACCTCACCGCCCGCCACGAGGCTGAAAGGGTATATACCCCCCCTCAAACCCATTCCCGTCACCAGCCAGCAGGCGCCCGTCTAAATCGACGGGTCAGGTCAAACTGGCTGGGTGGTGGAGTGGTTCATGGTCAACAATCTTAAACGCCAACCAGCCTACTCGACGACAGGCCTAGCGATCGAGTTCGAGTCCCGGAATGAGCACCAAGAGATGTAGCCCCCAATCGCCACCGGGGGGGTGAACTCTTTTTGCTAGGTGTGGCTGATGAAATTACTTTGCCTTGGTGCTAGCATGGCTATACGGTATCTTGTATTGAAACTATACCCAAGTGGTGTAAGGGGATTAAGGTTTGGTATTTGAGACTCCAAGACATGGTCTATATTGCAGATCTACATGTCAAATCTATGACCTGTTTCCTCATCTAGGTGCCTTATCCAAACCTCATCTACATTCATTCATTGCTTCATCCATGATCAAGCTCCCCTCCCATCTCCCACCTCTCAAACAGAGTAATCCAACTTCTTATCCCCCATCACCCCCCAAAACTCCTCCACAAGCTCCTTCTGCCCGCCCGGAGCGCCCCTCACAGCAAGATACACCCTCTCATCAACAGCAGGCTCCCACACCCCCGGATTCCCGCCCGCCATGATCCCGCCCGCCTCGGTCAGGATACACCAACCCGCGCACACATCCCACGCCCAGCACCCGCCCTCCCAATACGCATCCAGCTGCCCCGCCGCCACGGCAGCGAGGTTCAGCGCCGCGGAGCCGAGCGCGCGCATGCTATGCACCATCGCGCCGCCCGTCTCCTTGGTCGCCGCCAACTTCTTGAACGTCTCGGCCTTGAGGTCGAAGTTGGGTCCGTCGCGGGTAGATCCCCACTCGCACGCCAGCAGCGCGGAGTCCAGGCCCTTCAGGGGGATAGGGTTCTTGGCGAGGGGCAGTTTCTGTGCTGGACCGCCGGCGCGGCGCATGTAGCTTCCCTTTCCCTTGATGCCCGTGAAGAGGAGGTCCTGGAAGGGGTTGTAGATTACGCCGACGACGGGGACGTGGTTTACGGCTAGACCTAGCGAGATGCAGGCGTCGGGAAAGGAGTGGACAAAGTTTGTGGTGCCATCGATGGGGTCGACGACGAAGGTCGGTTCGGGGCCGAGGCGGGTTCCCTTTGTGTAGGTTTCTTCGCCCATGAAGGCGATGGTGGGGTAGCGTTCGGAGAGGCGGGTGGAGACCATTTTCTCGACGGCTTGATCTGTTTCGGTTACGATGTCGACGGCTGTTTTGAGGAGGGAGTGGGAGAAGTTAGCCAAGGTGTTGCAGCTTGGTTGAGAGCGTTGAGGGTAGGGGGAGGATGCGCTTCAATGGGTGGAGGGGTAGGGGGAGGGCATGCGTACAGTTGAGCTTGGTGTCCTGGTCAATCGAGGCCGGGTTCGCGGACATGATCATCTTGCCTGCCTCGGTCGCGATCTCGAGGAGGGTGTCGTGTATTTCTTGGAGGTTGAGGTCCGCCATGGTGATGTGTCGTTGGCGGTGTGTGTTCGACCAAGTAGCTAGCTTAATCGTCTAATAAATGGCACTCGCAATGCGTAAAGAATCCAATTGAGATACAATGATCAATTGGAGAGCTTGTAGACGTCTTGTATGCTTGGAAAAAGAATGCTTTACAAGATGGAGGTTGTCGATCAATGTTTTAGCAAGCTCCAAATGGGGAGATCTTTTTTTGGAGGGGCAGAAGATGGGAGGAGGGGGGAAATCGGGATGAATGGCGGGGTGGTTTGGAGGGGAAAGAGAGGGAATGAGGTCACAAAAAGTTGGCCCGAGTTCCAACGGTTCACTGTGGGGAGAGCGGGCGGATCTCACCCTCTGCCCACTTTGGCACTCCCATGTGTTCTTCAGCTCGGCGCGATTGGAGCGCACCCAGGTACTCCGTACGGTACCAAAATACCTTACATCACCTCACCTGAGCTGAGGAGTGGTCACCGACATTCCCCACCCACTCCGGCTCCCATACATAGAGCTCGGGAGGCGGTCTCCCACCGAGCGGGCTTTCTCGGCGGGACAACGCGCCGGTAGCGAGGAGCGGGTGTGCCGCAGGGCGGGGCCAATGGCGCTTCGTCGACAGAGCATGCGACCGGGAGTCTTCCATTAGGTGAAAGACCGGTACAAAACCCGCAGGCCATCCATACCTTGCCTTACTCTACCTTATACGAGGGGATTTTCAGTATCACTTATGTCTCGTAAAGTCGTCACCTAATCAACTGGTGGAGACCCGGTCGACTCATCATTTCCTCCGGAGGTTTCTTTTATCAGAGTTCTTGGCCGACGGGTCCGGCGGGATACCGGGAAACGGCATGGCATGCTAACTTTTCTCTCCTCCCCAAGACTGTCATTGGGAAGCTTATTTGGCGGTTCAACCTGTTCATATATTCTACCGCGCAAAATTGGAATCAGGCGAGAAAACATGGAGAATAGTGGTAATAAAGCAGAGCCCAAACGCCTTTGAATTCTCACAAGACAACCATATCTTGCACGTTCCCAAGTCGTGACATGTCCCGGAGACCCAGTTTCTCCCACTTTCCCGGCCCGCTTTCCGTACTCGTTACGCATTGCCCTCCCGAAGGAAACAGACAATTTGCCCTCTTCATCTTCATCTTCAACTTACCTCCGCTACTTCCTTAGAAAACTCTTGTCTAGTTTCTCATCTTTGTGCTTTGCGGTCTCATTGACGGGAAATTTCACAACCGGGTTTTCGAGCCTGCGCTACCGTATCATACGTTCTCCCGGAAGATTGACCTCCGTTCTGTCGGGCTCTCGCCACTATCCTTTTTCTGTTGTTGCTGCTGCTGTTGCGGCGCACCCGTATCGACAATCGGCCGGGGGCTGACGCCGCGCAAGCTGATGTTGCTCGGCTCGGCGTCGTCCTCGAACGGATTCCTGCCGCCAGCCTTGTGGACACCTAGACCGCCGTCGTCATCCCGGCTGAGACTGCGGCCCCGCGCCGGCTCATCGTGGGGGTTGGGAGTCGAGGCAAGGTTCATGCTGTAGCTGTTGTCGTTGTGGCCGCCACCGCGGTACCCCAGCTCCTGCTCCTCGTAGTTTCCGTAAGGGCCGTAGGTCTCGGCTTCGTGGCCCACGCGCGCATCCCACGCCTCATCCGGATCGAGCGGTCCGAAGCCCCGGCGAGGCGCACCAGCACCGCCCGAGGGCTGCTCGTAGGCTCCGGCGGCAGAGCGGTTGTTGCGGTTCTTGAAGGAGGTGATCTTGTCGTTGATCCAGCCGGCGATGCCGCTCGGCGCAGGGCGCGGGGGTCCGTATGACGGCGGCGGATCGGATTTTCGGAAAGGTATGTAGGAGGAGAGGGACGGGGGTGGAAGCTGAGTGTGCAACGCAGGTTAGTCGCAGAACAGAGCATGATGGGAGTAGGATGCTGGGGAATGGGTGAGCCTTGTTACGTACACCTAGTCTCCGGGCGCGCAGTTGGGTGAAGATGACCCAGCCGGCGCCGCCAACAATGGCGAGGACCAGGATGGCGATGACGATACCTCCAGCGGCTGACACCATGGTTGCGATTCAATTGCGACGATGCAAGGAAAGTGCGCTTGGCGTTGCGGGGGAAACTGAAGCGTTTCTCAGCAGCAAGACGTCGATTCAGCAACGACAATGGAGGAGGTGGTGGTGGTGTTGGTTGAAGGCGTGCGACGAATGATGGAGGTCCGGCTCATGGGAAGGCTGACGTGTGAGATGGACCAACCGTTAGCAGTGGTGGTGTTGGTAATTGGTGTTTCGCTGAGCCGCCTGTTCGTTTGGTCGCCGGAAGCTTTGGTTCTGGGCTGTGTGTGCGACACGGACACGGACGCCCGTTGGGAAACAAAGACGTAGATCGGGTACTTTGCTGAGTGAGAGCCCGGTCCGGGAGAGGATGGGTAGAAGACGGACGATACAGGGCGAGTACCTAGAGGAGAGGGGGAAGAAAGTGGAAGAGACGGGAGAGTGGAAAAGTCCCGGTAACCTTCGCAGCAAAAGTATGATGAGATGAGGTGAGGTGAAGGTGGATTGAGAGGAAAGCAGACAGACCAGGCCCGTCGAAACCTTGTTTGATGAGGCAGCGCGCGCAGTGTGGTCCGGCGGTGGTGCAGGTGCAGGTGCAGGCGTCGCGCAAGACCAGGCAGGTGAGGTCAGCAGTAGGTAGCCCCCAAGCTTTCAGCTTTACCTGAAGGTAGCGTACGGATACTCCAAGGTATTCGGTAGCCTGGCAAGAATGACCAACTCCAACAATGGCCGACCTTGCCTGAGCTAATTCGGCAGAGCGGCTTGTTTCCTTGGTGGAGGATTGGGGCAGGACAAATGCAAGGCAGCTACCTACCTACCTTATTTTAGTGTAGGTACTCCGTTTTCTGTACGAAAATGCAACAAAGCTGGCGCAAGAGGATGAAGAAGGTGCACCTAACTTGCTCTTGGTTGCAGCTTCCAATGGCACACCTGCCAATGAAAGCGGCCCTCCGCGGTACCTACGGCCCCCAATCCTCTTTAGCTCCGCGGGCTCCGTCAGCGTCCCGCCCGCACCGCAGTCTCCATTCATCCCTCTCCATCTCCATCTCCAATGATCAGGGCAATCTCCAGCTCATCCTCCACTTTACCTTGCTGCTCGCAAATCCAAGGAAATCCGGCAGCTTGGGGCCCTCTTCAGGTAGATTACCTAAGGCCATTCAACATCTCCTGTTGTTGCCCAATCATCTCTACCTTGATTCCTCCAACTTGGTTACCTCGAGGTCCGGTTTCAAGACAAGGCAACGCAAGGAGAGACTGCGCGCGGGCTCGAGTGCTAGGATGTGCGCGCGCATTCCATTCAACACATTTCGCAGGGACTTTTTTCAACAAAGACAACTTGAGGGCCCCCGAGTCGACGTTTGACCCATGCATACCTTGCACATATAAACAGTAGCAGTAGGAGACCTCAAGTTTAAGGACCTGCTGCTGAACGCAGGAGTTGGAAGTGCTGCATTCCATTCAACCACAGAGGCAAGGATCCAATGACGTCTTTTGGAGAGAGCTGCCGGAAACGAAACCAGCTTTGCGGATACAGAAAACCCCTGCTTTTTCGTCTCCCCTTCCTTGCTGGCGCCAAATTCGAGATCCAAACGTGGCATTCGTGCGACCCCCCCGGCGCTATTCATAGCGCAGACTGTATCCGTACGTGACCTTTACCCCCTTGCATCCAGGTAGCTGAGACAGCAAAATATCTCTCCGGCCGAGTTCTTATCGCAGATGCCACCTGCCTTACTGTAATCTTCCTCTTTATTCAGGCAAAAAGATACTGCCTGGTTCATGAGGCGAGATGCCGCAACGTGGACGGATGTGCCAGGCGAGTAACTTTCCAGCTGTGGCTGCACGAGGCCTTCTCAACAGGAATTCTCCCTCGCCTTGCTTTGGATCCATGCATCCTCAGTCCTCCGTACGGATGAAGATGATGAGACTTTCTACTGCCAAAGGTACTTTACCAGCAATTGGCTTGAGCTCACGCACCCCAAAAAAACACGAACGTTCCCGCCGCACCATCTGTCAGGCCCGGACCCGGACCCGGGGGCCGGGACCCTGAGGCGCCCCTGTCAACTGAAACTTTGGTGCCACCACCCTAAGCCCGACACTTGACTTGACACTGACACTCGGCACGTTTTGATCCCAAGCTTTTTTGACAACCCTTTTCACAACGAAGTTTGTAGGTATCGTGGGCAACAGGTCATGACCTCCAAAGTGAACTCAGAAATGCGTTCCTCGTAGTATTCATCCGCCATCTACTACTCCGTACTGTAATGCAATGCAAAGTCTACCTTCGTCTAAGGCACCTTACACTCCTGGGTATTAAATCAAACAAAATTCACACAAAACACTGGTCCCATTTTCCTCCGCTCTTGGCAAACCCCATGCTATCCACAAACGCCCCGAGCGTACACCGCCCAAGCCCGTCTGCGCCGCACCCGACGAGCGGAACCACCCGGTCATTCACCAGAATCCGGACCAGCTCCTCATCCGAACCGCACTTCATCTTCTCCACGTACATGCGCGCGGCGAACGGCACGGTCCAGCTGGCCGTGAATCCCTTGGCGTCCGCCACCGACGTCCGGTTCGTCTTGGACAGCGCCGCCGTCTCGTTGTACAGGCCCAGCGCGCCGTAGATCGCCATCATGTCGTTGTCGTGGCTGAAGTCCGCGTACAGCTTCTTGTCGAGCGGGAACGTGGCCGGGTCGGCGTCCAGCGTCGCGTTGGTCGACGTGCGGTCCACCACGGCCTGGCCCGTCAGCCGCGCGAGGAGCTCGTTGGTGAAGCCGACGCCCTGGGTGGGGCCGAGGGGGTTGCCCGCGTTGAAGCCGTAGTATTTGCCCAGCGTCTCGTAGTACTCTAGGTCCTTCCACTCCTCCAGCGTAAAGAGATCGCAGAACGGCGATTGCGTGCCGTTGACGACGGTGTTGAAGGGGCACAGCTGCATGAAGGCGATGGTGTCCTCGGCCGTGAGGTTCGCGCCAGGCAGATTCTCGTTGAGACGGGCCGTGATGGCCGGCGTAAAAGCCTCGCGCCAGGGCACCTGCGCCTCGTCGCCGACCTTTGAGAAGGCGCCGTCCTCGAAGGCGGTGCACAGGCCGTGGTCCAGGGTGTTGTTGACGCCCTTCTCCTCGGGGATGATGGTGATGAGGCTGACGATGCCGCCGTCGGGCCCGCTGTGACCGTCGGCGAGCTTGGCGCCGAAGAAGCCCTCGGTCCAGTTCAGCCCGGACTCGACGACGCGGTTCTGGCCCGAGGCGCGGATGAAGATGTCATTGGCGGCCGCGAGGGGCTGGTAGCGCTTGTAGAACGCCTCGCCCGAGTCGACGAGCTCGCGCTGGCCAAAGGGGGTGAGCTCGTCGGCGCCGAGGGTGTACTGGTACGTCTGGATGAACTCGAAGCCCTTGCCGTAGTTTGTGACGTTGGCGTGGATGCGGTCGACGAGCGCCTTGTAGGTGGCCGTCTTGCCGGCGGTGGGGTCCCGGGCGCCGTGGCGGGAGAGGACCTGCGCGAAGGTGACCTCGCAGCCCTGCGGGGTGGCGGTGTCGATGTCGGACGGCACGGGGAAGAAGGGCGAGTACTGGCCCCAGAACTGCGAGATGGACTCGAGCCCGTTGCGCGGTGCCTGGCCGCTGACGAGACTGTTTGTGGTGTCAGTTTCGAAAAGTCTGTTATTTGTGACGGGTTCATGTGAATCATGTAGATCAGATCAAACCTACCTGAAGCCCAAGGCTAATGAGAGGAAAATAGCAAAAGCCATGGCGGCGATTGTGAGGAAGCAAAGTCGACGTTTCGGGTCTGGCGCGTGGCTCTCACGATACTCATCGACTTCATCCCTCTCACCCTCCTCGTCAGGGATGGCGTTGTATTTATATGCCTTGCCCGTCAGCAGGCCCCTCACGGACTCGTAGGCCGACGTAGCGACGTCGGCGAGTCGACCCATCGCGGCAGTTGCGCGGCGGAAGACAGGTAGACCAGCCTAGCCTGGCAGGAGACAAGAGACAGAGGAAAAGGGATCCAAGATCCGCCAAGTGGTTCCGCGGGTCAATGAGTGAGTTTGTGTGCTTGCGTATGTAACGGCGAAAAGGGTCCGCCCGCTGCAGCACTACACACCCTTGTTCCTCCCCCCCCCCTCTTTCCCAGGTTCCAGGGGTCTGGTCTGGGTGAGTGGTATGGGGAATGTGATGTCGATGTGAGGTATCTGCAAGGTACGGGTAAATGAGGAGCTGTCGAAAAGGGATGTGCTTTCGTCTCGTGTGGCCTGGATGACTGGTCCCGTTGTATGCAAGAAGGTAGTTTGGAAACAACGGCAGATGTACGCTCCTGGTTGTTTTTCAGGGGAAATGGTCCGTGGGAACCTTGGTATATCAGACTGGACCTTTGCTTTATGTCTGCGGTATGTCTGCGGGTGCAGTACGGAGTAATACAGCTGGCTGAGCTGGCTGGGCGTTTCTCCTTTGCCCACGTTGTATCCGTGAAAACGTGAGGAATAAGGTACGGGATTGCGTTTGCTGTGCTGGCTTAAGCGAAGAGAGGACGTTTCAACACTGCCCAGTCGGGGCCACGGCGTGCTCCTCTCAGGTGCGGCATGTCGGGCGGACATTAGCTCCAAACGTGGAGCGGACCACAGCGGTGCCACTGCCCTTCTTGGCCCTCCTGTCACTGGCTCGCAGGATCGTAGCGCAGTCACGTGGGTCGTTGCGACGTTGGAATTGGAACAAGCTTCCATAAGCTTTTTTGGATCTCCTCCTCGTCGTGCAACTGTTCCCTGTCGGCTCCACCCCCAAAATACCGCACGGCGGATCCCTTCCCTTTCCTTGAAGGCTTTCAGGTTGTCTTACTCGCCGCATCTTATCGGCAGGGAGAGAGGGGCCACCCCGAGCTGGAGGGGCCGAAAGAGGTGGATGAAATGGTGGTTGAATGAATAATACGTGTTTTGTATTGACTCGATGTTGCGACCTTCCAGGTTGACTTGTCCAGTCCCAGTAAGGTTAACTCACTTAAGATCAGGGACCGAGCCTCTATGAGAACATAAGAGGCACGAATTCGCCGGGAGCCTCGGTCTGGATCAACTGATTGATAATCTGGTCAAGTTGAGTAGCCCGGTTCCGGAGGGGAAAGACCATCCATGGCCGTACAGCTCGGGTTAGAACCCACTTACCGATTATGGGCCTTTTCTGCTTCCCTGACCACGTGGAGTCTGAAAGCTGGGATGATTCGTGCAAGACCCGTCTGCTTCAACTGCCCAAGGTCGGGATGTTTGATTACCTACCTATGCAGCTTGTCCAAACTTCGACATGTTTCAACCGACCTCTCAAGAAACAAGAGCGAACTCGTTGATCGACGCCAGGTATGACGAGTAAGTCGATGACGGATCAGTCCGCCTGATACAGTGACATTCAATCATCCTTACTCATACACTGCATCGATGCTACGATGAAATGCAGCTCATCAGACTGAGGTGGGGTTCACAACGTCGTCTCATGAGCGCCTTCCTTATTTGTTCACCATGTCTGGACAGTGCATGCTAGGACTTATCCTCTTGACTAGGAACATGACCTCGTGTTGAACCCTAGCATCAACTCGTTTGACAGAGACTGGAACGCTTGGCTTCAGATTCGAGCCAATGCTGAAAGTAAAGGGAAAGCAGGAAAGACAAGCCGAAATCGTTTCCGAGGACCTCACGTGCAGACATGCTCACAGCCCATATCCACGCCATATTCTTCACGCCGTATTCTCCAAGCCATCGTCACGCTACAGGGGCATTGTCGGATTGGAAGTCCAGTTCGACCTCGTGGCAGCAGGCCCGCGCAGGGGCCACTGATACACCATACTGGCGATAATCGCGGCTTGCTCAACCTAGGTACGGTCTCAACCTAGGTACGGTTAGAACCTCCCTTTTACACCTCACGCGGAAGATTGTATAGTTTAATTGACCTCTTCGTCAACCCACGTTTTGAACTAACTACCCTGTAGTAAGAATACCAACAGACACGCATCATGAGATCAAAGTAGGCTCAATACATTTCCCCCAAAACTCACTCAGTATTCTCCAGTTTGGCAAGGTCAAAACTACGTGGAATCGGCAATTCCGGAAATCGGGCAGCCCTTTGGGTGAATCCCAATACTATCTGACTCCTTTTTCACTCATCCTTGCATCCCCCTGTCATACCCCAGCTTCGTCAACGTGACACTAAACTTTCAGACACCAAGCTTTCACAGGAACCAGATCTTCCAGTTCTCACTACACCGACCATCCAAACTAAGTGGACCAAGCAGACTCAAATTCGCAAGATCTTCTTGCCCTCCTCAAGAGCTTGGATGTCGTTCATCAGCATCTCACGGGCACTCCGGCTGATCGAGTCCTCTCCCGCCACCATTTCAAGCTCTTCCGCAGACATCTCAAAGATGCGGTTAGCAGACAATACACCCAGCGGGCTCTTCTCGCCGGCACCGAGAAGGAAGTGGTCGACGGCCTGGGTGCAAACCATGTCCACGAACCGAGCGCTCGCGACCTGGTAGTAGCTGTTGAGGAGGTCGTGGATGGCGTTGCAGGTCTCCTTGATACCCGCGGTGTGGTTGCTCATGTTCGTGACATCTCTCCAACGCACAAAGTCCTCCGAATTCGAGTTAGAATTCTTCTTACCATACTGGTAGGCCTCGACCTTAAGGTCGCTGAGCTTCTCTACCGTCCTTTTGGTCTTTATGCTACTGAAAACCGTGTCGAACGCCGGGTTGTACGTCATGGCGCGACCTTCCCGCTCGACGTGCACCAAAAATCGCGCGTGATCCATGGCCTCCTGATACCTCTTCGTCAAGTCTTCCAGTATGAAGGACCAGAGGGCATCTCGAACCTGCTGGTCGATGCAAGATTCCTTGACCACCTCATACACAAAGTGGTGCACCACAAGAATAACATTGCTGACATGGGATAGGGTGAGACCCTCCCACTTCTTGGACTGTTCCTTGAAAGCCGCAGGTAGCATTTGACCTCCGAACTAGGTAGGAGCTATTAGTTTTGCAAAGGCTGAATTTGACCTTGGCTGGTGACTTACTGTTCCTATCTCATAGCCGCGAGAAGTCAGGTACAAGCTCTCAAGATGCTCCATGACGTCGTCAGTCAGAGGTTCGGTACGTCGACAAGGGTCAGATAGGATGTTTTCAAGCTCTTCGTTCTCGTCGGAAGGAATCTGGAAACGTAGTGGGTACAGATCGTCGCTTGTGATCGTGGTATCTCCTGAATCGTCTCGAGACATCAGACTTTCACTCTTTGTCGGTTCCTGAGGTTTACTTCCCCACGGAGAGGAATTCTCCTGTGTGCTAGTCCCAGGCATTGGGATGTCCTCTTCGTCATCGTATTCTTGAAATTTACGGCAGTGGCCCTTCGCGAAGAACATCTCGGAGAAAGCATCGTTCATCTGGCGAACACGGGTTACGAGCTTCAGCTCCGGACGTCGCTCGAACAAGGCATCTCCAGTGTAGTAGCCATCCAGTCCGTAGGCCTTGAGCTCACTAAAGCGACTGGCCAATTTACCTAGGTAGGCTCTCTGTTCGTCGGCAGTGCTCCGGGATTGGCCCATAGCCTCAAGCTGCTTCTTGGCCTCGCAAAGGCGATTGTTGATATCGCGTGTGACCTTGGGGAACTCACTCTTGGTGCGGTCCATTAGTAGCTTACGTAGGCGATCGCGCAGGGCCGGGATTCCCAAGCGCGACTTATCGAGCTTGGTCCATGGGTCGTTGCTGAAGAACACAGTCTCTTGGAGGTCCCGGTCATCCTTGCTGGAAGAGGTGTCATCGGCGCCGCGATTCTTGACGACGTAGTAGCCCAACTGGATGTCTCGCCTCTTACCCCTCACTAGCTCCATGACGGCTTCTACCGTGGCTCTCTCTAGGGCAAGATCTGGCTTGGTAAGAACACCCAGGGTGCGCTTGCCCTCAGGGTCAGCCTCGGCAGCGTACGTCAGGATCGTCTGGGTTGCAACATCAACGTTGCAGGGGATAACAGCAAGAATACTTTCAGATCTGTCAGTGGTGCTCTAGTGGAGTGATAGAAGTAGGACTGGCAAGACGTACATGGTCCTGGAATCCTTGATGTAGTCTTTGACCATAGACTTGACCATAGCTACGTCGGTCGTAGTTGTTATACCTTTGTTGAGAGTAAGTACCGCTTCAATGAGTCTGTGGGGTGATTTGACATACCTTCTTGAGGATTCTCAAAGATACCTATTTGGTAGATGGGCTTAGTGATGATCGTAGCACTCACGGAGCAAATCACCTACCTGGTACATCGATGAAAGTCAAATGCTCCTCATCTGGACCGCAGATCTCGACACGAAGGATGTCCCGGCTGAAGGCAGTGCCACTGGAGGCCTCATCCTCAGCGGACTTGAGGCCCATTACCTCCGAAGCCTATACAAGTCAGTTAGTATGGATGTTCAAACAGGAAGAAGGATCTTTCTCGCCTCCTCCAGGACTTTGGAGAACTCCGAGCCCTTGAGATCGCGAATGACATGGCGAAAGGACTTTGCAGCCTCGATTTTCGCCGGTGTAGCATCGACGGGGTGAATCGTCACAACGATACTAGTGTCCTTCTCGCGGCGACAAACGATTTCGGTGGCATGACGTGTACACAGGCCGACAGATCGAGGGAAGTAGTAGCCAGTGAGACTCTCGAGGACGCTCGACTTGCCGGACGACTGGTCTCCAACAACAACAAGCTTGCAGCGAAGTCATTAGCCATGGTATCAACAACTTTCTGGCCATCTATAGGGGTGATTGAGACGAGGCCTTCCGGTAGGAATGCAGGGAATTCCGGTGAGAGGGAAGCATGCCTGAGACGGAAGGAGGTCTGAGGGGGGGGGATCACGTTGAAATTGGTACCGGAGCCAAGGGTAAGGAAGGTTAGTCACGGATGGCTACCAAGTGCTGCTTACCTGTGGAAGAGGAACTTGCTTGGAGATTCCCAGCTCCCTCAGTTTGTCGATCTTGTCGAGAAGATGGCGACTACCTAGACCAGGACTCTCTACCATGGACTGCACAGGCGCCATGTTCTTGGTTGTTTCGATGCGTTTCTCGTCGATGTAGAGTATGAACCCAGGTGAGCCAAAGGTTTTATCGGAGAAGGTTGCCAGATGATCAGAGGGACCTAGGAGAAGTTTTATGGAATCGTAATCCCACAGCAAGATTGTCGTCTAGAGTGTTCTCCATTCCTTGCGCGGGGGGCGAAGATGACCGTGGAAGGCTTGGCAGAGCTTGAGCAAACAGCGGCGATAAGAGCTGCATTGAATGACTTATCCAGCGAACAAACGAAGAAACGATTTCGAAAAGACCCTTTGCAGAATCATCTCTGCTTGGATAGCTGAAAGAGTTGACACGTCTGCCTCCAAGGTACTTTATCCTGCATGGTCTACATCGCTGACCATCTTGGCTGCAGCCTCAAATGCTTTCCGGCAAGTTGCAGCAACATTTAGGCATCGCCATCACATGTGGGAGCTCCACTCGATGAAAACTGGCGTCTCAGAATCTCGGTTGATTCAATTTTGGCATTCAGAAGGATCGGGCGAAGTTTTCACAAAGCTGAAAGCTCGTTCGACCAGGGGCGCTAGGCTGGTTGACCGCAAAGAGAGGCCGCCTGTTCTTGGTTTGTTGGGAATCTTCTTTGAAAGGAAGCAGCCACTCGCCATCGTGGAAGCGCCAAGTCATTTATGAACTTTATCCAACGAAGGGCTTGGAGAAGCAAATGGCAAGAGTGCGCAAAGGCTATGTCTCACCAACCTCACGTCGCTGATGCTCACAGCTTCCAGACCCATTTCTTCCCCCCTTGAACCCGGTCTGCCGTTGCCTCTAATCTCATCCAAGCCACAAAGATGGCTGCTGCAGCCATCAGAGTGCCCACCATGATACCCATCCCCATGTAGTCACCCGATTCCTTGATCTCACCGTGCCCTCTGACCAGGGCACCAGCCACTGGCGTTCCAATCATGGAAGCAACTCCCATGATCATGTACATGATCCCCGTGATCTGCGGCATCAACTCCATACCGAACAGCTCAACCAGAGCTGGTGGGAACAGGCTGACGTATGCGCTCGCGAAAATGCCGTACAGGACTGTAAAGCTGACGAGCAGCGACCTTGCCACGGACTCGTGACTCAATCCTATGGCAATGCTAGGGACCCATAGCCCGAGAGTGACAGCGGCACAGATAACAGTTGTGAGAAACAGCGCGTTGAGCCTTCCGATGCGGTCTGCCACGAGTCCAATCGCAATCTTTCCTACAGCGTTGCAGGCGTTGTTGACGGCAGTCAGATTGGCACCATCGCTGTCAGAGTATCCCAAGGTCTTGGCGTAGGACGCAAAGAAAAATGCCGGTGTGTAGTAAGCCGCGCTCTGGCAGAACATGCTGAGACTTTGCGCAATGAACTTGCGTTGCTTGACAGTCTTCAATGGAGGCAGCGGGACCTTGAACATCTTCTTGAGTCTAGATGTCGTCGCGTTTTCACTGCGTATCTTGGCCGCCATTGCAGGTTCCCAAGTGAGGACTGCTCCGCCTGCGCATACAACCGCAGCACCGAGGGCACCAGTCATGCGAAGAGTGTTTTTGTAGCCCAGCTTCTCGATACATGCCACGAGCACCGGGGCCCAGACCAGACCGCCGACGCCGCTGCCCGCAGAGACGATACCCATGGCCAGCGCCCTGTGCTTATCGAACCAAGTCGGGACGACGACCATTGACGGAACAAATGAGAGGCAAGATCCCACTCCCATCAGGAACCCCTGCGTAATCTGGTAATGCCACAGCTCACGGCCGAAGCTTGCCAGGACGTTGGCCACCCCGACGAGCAGACCACCGGCGCACATGACCTTCTGGGGCCCAATCGTTTTTGACCATGCCACTACTACAGGTGCGCAGATGGTCATCATTGAGATCGCGAGGGTTCCGATGAGGTCGAGCCGGGCGGCTGTGGCGCCGGTGAATGGTGTGTTGTCTTGTAGAGCCATCGTCTCGTAGTGCGCCTGATAGATGCCGAAGCCGAACTGCAGGCCACCCGTCATGAAACTTATCATGAAGGCAGCAAGAACGACGCTGATGTAGCGGCTACGTGAGGTCAGCCCCTGTCTTTGGATGAAGGTGGGATTGGTGTGGTGATCGCAACGGGGAGCAATGACCTTTAGCCTACCCTTTGCCATGATCATGTTCTGTGTCGTTCTGTTCTGGAGGACCAGCTTCCAAACGGTTGTTTGATATTGACTCGTCCTTATTCGACGCCATTGTTGACTAGCGGGATTTCGGCGGGGGTTGAGTCGATACTTGGAAAGAGTTGACCAACTTGAAGCCCTTTCAGACGGTTATCGCGACTAAAGCACCAAGAGGAGTCCAATTGACAGCAAAAGACAGACACATAATCAATTGTTATCAATGAAGTCAACAATCAACCCGGGTGCTTGAAATATTTCAAGATGCGCCCTTCGCTAGTCTGACGTGTTCGACATCAAAAACGGGTTTAAAGATTGAGACATTGCAGAGCCCCACAACTCTTCGCTTCTATTCACCAAGTGAGTCATGGTCCCCCGGCAAAGGCTTCGGCAACTACTCGGTAGGCAATTTCACTAATGTATCGCTTAATAGTTTGGGTATAGTTCTTTTTTAGCGAACGAATTGAGCTGTCAATCTGGTACGTAATAGGGAGTTGGTTGCTCTCAAGTTTCTAGTTGAAGCTTTTGCTTACGCATTTTGCTACTGCATTGTAGATCCCTTTAGTGGAGCTTCTTAGCCGCATAACCGTTGGGAATCACATATAAGAGAACTTCAAGTCAAAGCACCGACTACGAGGAAGAAAGAAAAGGCGATGGTAGTCGACTGGGTACTCTTGATCGCAATCTAGCATCAAAACACAGACCGGATCGCAGGACCACCATGCAGACAGAGGCATGAGCTTTTTTTTTTTGAATAGCGGAATCCTAAGTCACGATGAAAGCTTGCTAGCAATGTGATTGACTTAGAGCTTTGTCCACTAAGCCATCCAGGCTATATTCTTATTTTTAGGTATTCGGCGTTTTGAACTACTCGACCTCATGATGCATAATTTAGTTCCGTTGACCCAATTCCAATCCCCGTACAACACTTCAAGTTCACAAATTCTACGTGTGGCAGCAAGAACTGGACAGTAGCATGTGCTAAGAAACTACAATGAAGTCATATGTTGCACTAATCTTACTTACTCTTGCTCTTGCCAGACAACTACAAAACTAAAATTGTTTTGGACTTACACAGTTCAGGGCATATGCTACCCAAAGACAGTTCCTGAATGGATCATGCTCGTACCGACTGTAGAATAAAGATTGCGAAATATGCAAGTGCATTCTCTGTATATTGAATTGTCAAGACATGTCGCCTATCTAGTCTAACAACACTCTTTGCTTAACAAGCTGTCTAAGGGATACACAGACAGGAAACCCATATCTAAGAATCAAGGAAGTCTTGTTGTCCAGAAAGTCTAGAAAGTATTGGCCAGAATCAGACGATAAATATGTCCACTTCCAACTCCAAGTCGATTTCGTGCTTTGAACCAGCCGAGAGAATCCATGGTAGTGACTGATAACACTACTGGCAGCCAGGGCAGACGGCCTCGACGTACTCGAGGTACTCCTTGGCGTAGTCGACGTTGCTCTTGGACGCGGAGCAGGCGCGCTTCTCGATCTGGAAAAGGTCCCTGGCGGAACGTCTGCGCGTGCACGAGGCGAACTGCGACCAAGGAGCCTCGCCCCAGGCCTGATGGTTGGGCGGGAAGGCGGCGAGCTTGTACTGCGCGCCGCCGGTGCCCATGTTGCTGTAGATGTTGCCCTGGTAAAAGGGGTTCAGCTCCTCCTTGCCCTTGACGCCGCCGCGGACGGGGGTCCAGCCGATGATCTGGTTGTCCTTGATGCCTCCGAGGGCGGCGAACTCGGCCTCTTCGGGGTACGGGTTGTACTTTTGGAGGGTGGCCTGGCAGTCAATCATGTTGGGGGCCGAGTGGATGCGGTAGATGAAGCCGTTGCCGCCCAGGAATCGGCTGACCCAGCTCTCGGCCAGCTTGGGGTCCGAGGTCGTGGAGACGTAGCCGTCCTCGTCCTTGCTGGCGCCGCTGGGAGCTCCTTTGACGTGGTTCCACAGGCTGGTGTCTGGGGCGGCGACGCCAAAGGTGGATTGGCCCTTTGGCAAGAAGCCCTTGGAGGCCTGGATGGTGGCATAGTTTCTCGAATCTGCTCGGTAGAGGTCGAGACCGTTGCAGAGGAATGCCCAGAAAGCAATGAGCGTCAGCCCAAGCATAAGAGGTTGTTGTCTAGCCATTGTTTAATGATAAGGAGAGACGGTTCAAAAGAATGTGAAATTGTCATTCAAACGATTGTGTTGTAAGAGAGTGTAAGGTCAGAAGACTGGTTGTGTGCTGATTCCAATTTGAACATGACTGCGGATTTTGACTGATTTATATCTTGAGTCTTGATCTTACAAGGCAAACCCGCCTGGAGAGAAATCTAATAGATACAGGCCGCGGAATCCGGTCTTTCCGCAAAGCGCTCGATGAAGTGCTGATTCGCGTGAAACAGCTGACACTTACACGATGGCTTCAACTTTGGAGAGTCATGTCGAGACCAGTCTAGTATGAATCCAGGCGCATGAAAAAACAAATAGATTGGTTGTATACAAAGAGTTCAGAGGCTTTACGGGTATTCGTATTCTTACAATACTCTTTACATTTTTGCCAAGACTATTCTATTTGGCTGTCAGCTTGTACTCTGCTGCGGGCGATAGAATCCGAAACCGACGGAACCGGAGTCGGTTATTAGACGGAATCGGAGTGATTTGAAAAACCGCACTTGTCCATCCCGATAAAGTTGGAGAATGAACAATATAATCTATAATGGCAAGATCCAAGTTGAGGGAGCACACAACTTTAGGTAATGCTGGGAGAACAATGGAACAACTCCCTTCTAGAACAATTACCTCCTAGTGTCATGACAGGCCAACCTTGACAATGTGACGATCATATACTGTTCGTGGTACACTGCCAAGACCCCGATAATTCATCTGATATTGTCCAGGTCTCCGATGAAGCCCGAATGACCCGTACAAAGAGAAAATAGGGTTTAAGGCTACGCATGTCCATCCCAGATGGAGTCTTACAATGCCCAAATAAGAAAATGTCAGGAACCTCCTGAGGCTGATGCTGGGATCGCCAATTTACAAAGACCTCGGCCGAACAGCAGACAAAGACTGGGGCCAATACACGTTCATCTTTATAATATTCCCATTCCAAATAGCTCTGAACTTACACATAAACATCAATACAAAATCAAGTAACTCCATTGCACGATCCCAATCTCCTTCAATCCACCAATTCATCCAGAACGTACTTGGCGCATACAATCTTCCTCTCTCAACTCTACCTCTTTGACAAAACACGCGATAACCATGGGCAACTCCTCAACTTCCGTTTCCTCCCCTCCGCCGCCCAGCGAGTCAACATCCAAACGCGTCACCGGCTCCAACTGGGGCGACCTGCATCCCATCGGCAATCCCGCCACGGCGGCCTGGCACCTCTGCATCTCAGGCGCAGACGCCGCCAAGCTCCTCCACGGCTACCAGCCGACGTCGATGGACGATCGCTGGATGAGTCGTTCGGACGGGCCAGATGCGCAGGGCACGATGGTGGTCCATGTGTACCGGAGTTGGACCGGCCACGAGCAGTTTCAGATCAGGGCATCGACCCGAGCGGTTTCGGATGGGCCCGGGCCCGCGGACGCGGCGGGAGAGGGGGCTGACGTCGGGGCGGAAATTACGGAGATTATGTGGGATCAGGGTGACGGTCCTGTACAGGTCGGCGAGCAGGAGGCTAAAGACCTGGTGACTATGATTTTTCGTCGGGTGATGGGGTGTAAATTAGAGCAGGCGCCTTGAGTCTATTAGATTGGGACACATGAGTACTAGGTATTGAGATCTTGGCACGACATCTTCTCTCGCAACTAGGCTATGAATTAAGGGGGGCTCTCTTACACGTACAACTCTTCTAATCATTTTTTCGCCCCCGATCGTGCACCCTCACTGCCCTACCTATGGATCCGAGCACGTTCCATCACCGCCGAGTATCTAAAAAGTCCGTCTTCCGTCCGTTGTGAAATAGTGGGGTAAAAGCCCGACTCCGCGGCTTGCGTCTGGCGGGTGATTCATTATGCGGAATGTATTTTGCGGGCGTGGGTACCTTACGCTATCCATACTGGTTGTTCAGTAATCCTTCTCAACTCAAATACTATAATCAATTTGACTTTTGCGCCTCTCAAGACTTGCCCAAGCCTTTGCTTGACTCGGTGAACGACGACAGAATATCCAAAACTGTAGTTCACTTTCTTCTTTTTGATTGAGGCAGTGAACAAGTGACTCGGAGGTCGGAGATCTCGGTCCAAGACTCTGAGCTGTAATCTCACTCAACCCAAAACAGAGTGTTATTTTGGGGGCATTGTCGGATTCGCAAATGACTTACACGACGTGATGCCGTGATGCCAAGATGAATATGGTCGAGATGCCTTCATTTCATGAGTATAAGTATTGACAAGATCGCCGCCGTAACTCGATCAAAAACTCCTTCATCAAACAGCTCACACTGCATCTTACAGTCTCTTACTACCACAGTCACTATCTCACCATCACTTTCTTTTACGGTCTCTGACACCCATTCCAATCATTCACATCCCAACTTCTTCAACTCAACACCGCAAAGGTAGGACAACCCCCTCTCGCCCTCGCAACCATCCCCCCTCCCGATCACAAAAGACTGACCATCCCATCTTCCACAGATGCAATTCTCTGCCCTCTTCCCCACCATCCTTCTCGGCGCCTCCTTCGTCGCCGCAGACTACTGCACCCAGGCCCTCGACCCGGAGACCCGCAAGTCCAACACGGGCTTCCGCTTCCAGAGCGTCGACAACGCCAACTGGAAGTGGCAGTCCCGCGACCTCCAGGTCGTCACCACCCTCAACCAGAACTGCCAGATCCACCAGGGCGGCGGCGGCGGCGCCTTCGCCGCCACTATCTGCATCGACTTCGACGGCAACTACGCCTGCTGGGTCACCCCCGCCAAGAACCAGGTCTGCGATCTCGTGTTTGAGCAGAACGAGGCGCCCATTGATGTCTGCAAGAGCATCAAGAACATTTGGGGATGGGTTGCTTAGACGAGATACCGTAAGAGCTCGATTCCCTTTTCCGAGTTGTGGCGACGTAGCTAACGGTTTCTAAGCTTTTCTTGTCAAAAGTTACGAAAACGGCAGTCTTGTGACGAAGTTTCTCTTTTCTCAGGATGGCGGGAAGCGAACTGATCCGACAGTCTGCTAGAGGCTCTGCAGAAGACTTTAGCCTATTAAAAGGATTGACATGTACCTGTAATCTCTGAGAGCAGAGTTGCTGTTTCTGTTACTGTATTCCACAACTTGTTAGAGTGAGAGCGGTAGAAAGCAATGTGAATTCATCAAAACCTACACTCATGATTTATAACTATCTTTCAACTTCATCGTGTGAAAGTCGATTTTTTAGCCATTTGAGAACCACGCTCACAACAATTAGCAAATTCGAGCTCAATGCGACGAGTCCGATGTATACGCGTATCTCGAGAAACGGTCAAAACCTCCTTGTAAAGCTTGTTTCTGTTTTAGGATATTTCCTTGAAGAGGTTTAGCAGATCGGGCTGAACGGTCTGATGCGGGTTTCCGATTAAGCCGGGGACCCCGGCCCGAAGACATGTCGTCGGATTTGAGCCCCGACGCTTTTTTTCCGCCGAAAAAAAAAACTGCCCTCAAATCTCTAATCCACTTTCGGCCCGTGCGTCCGTCCTCCGCAACCTCCTACGGCCAATCCTGACTACAACCGCGTCAGCTCGCTACGCAGACACGCCAAGATGAAGCCGTAGGCCTAGCACCATCTTTACTCACTTTGGGTCTATCTCCATCCGATTTCAGACTGTGATACCGCCCGTTTCGCCTAGGGACCAAGCCAACAATAATGGCGGTAAAAGCTCTCATCGCAACCCTGGAGGATGAAATCCTTGATCCCGAAGAGGGTACGTCCATCCATCCTACTACCTAACAGGCGCCCTGCAGCAACCGACTTACACGGAGATCCTGCGTATGCGCCAAACAGAAACATTCTTCCTCTTCTCCCACAACATCCCCTCCTCGAACCTGGGCTTCATCGACCCGAAAGCCACCGAACTCTCCCTGACGCTGGCGGGCAGAGACTTCACGATCCACCAGTCCCCCACGGTCCTCTCATCGACCCGCGCCGGGGGCACGACCGGGGCCGGTCAGTATTTCTATATTTCTCCCCCTCTCCCCATCCACCCATCCCATGGCTCTGAATCGAGCATCACAGACCTCTTCATTTCGCAACACCATCTCGTTTAACCCCCCTTGTCATTAATGTCTAAAACCTATTCTCGACTTCAACCTCATACACGTTGAATCATCTCTTATGTCACAACTCTTACCTCATAACTCTCTCACCTCATAACTCTCTCACCTCACAAGTCTCTCACCTCACAAGTCTCTCACCTCATAACTCTCTCACCTCACAAGTCTCTCACCTCACAAGTCTCTCACCTCATAACTCTCTCACCTCACAAGTCTCTCACCTCACAAGTCTCTCACCTCACAAGTCTCTCACCTCACAAGTCTCTCACCTCAACACTCTTACCTCATAATCAAACTTTCAAAAATGATATTCTCAACGTCCCCCAAAAGAGACCAACCAGACGGGTGTTAACGCTAAACAGTCCTCTGGAAAATAACCCCCCTCTTCGCAACCTACCTCTCCTCCCCATCCTCCCCCTTCACCCAGCTCTTCACGCCCACCTCGACAATCCTCGAACTAGGCTGCGGCATCTCCCCGCTGACAGCCCTCCTCCTCGCCCCGCGCGTCGCCCGCTACGTCCTCACAGACCAGCCCTACGTGTCGCGCATGATCCACCAGAACCTCGAAGCGAATCCCCTTCCCAAGTCTTCGTCTTCATCCTCCTCATCAACCTCTCGCCGTTCACGAAAAGCAGCAGCAGCAACAAGCTCATCAACAGCAAACTCCGCAACAACAACAACATCATCATCATCACCAGGTACAATCTCCTTCCACCCCCTAGACTGGGAACTCGACACCCCAGACCCCTCCCTCACCGGCGTACCCCCTTCCACCGCAAACAGCTTCGACGTCGTAGTCTGCTGCGACTGCATCTACAACGAGGCCCTCGTCGAGCCTTTGGTCTCCACCACCGCCGACCTCGCTCGGCTGCGCGTACGAGCCCAGCAGGAAGACCAAGACGACAACCCCTCCTCCTCCTCCTCTTCAACGACGGCCCGGTCCGAGCCGTGCGTCTGCATCGTGGCGCAGCAGCTCCGCAGCCCGGACGTCTTTGAGGAATGGATCGGCGCGTTCCATCGCGATTTCCGCACCTGGAGGGTGCCGGATGCGTTGCTCCCCGAGGGGTTGAGGATCGAGGCCGGGTTTGTGGTGCATGTCGGGATCTTGAGGGAGGCTGGGGTGGATTTCTAGACATGTACTGCCTCGTGAGTAGTATTATATCAAACAGCGTGTCAGCATCATCATGATATCCGCCTGAAGCTATACAGAATTGCAGGACGGCTCTCACGAAAGGTTCAAAAGTGAAGAACGATGTGTTGCGAAAGCTCCGTTATTGTGACGAACTGCGCATCTAACTTGAAAACTTTTTCACATGGCTTTTGAATTTGAGAAAACAAAAGCCACGTAATAACCAAATCCCTCCCTTATTCTTTGAATAATTCCCAAATCGCCGCCAGCATGATGAGAAATGTCATCTCTGGACAAGATAAGATTGTCCCTTTGCAAAAAAAAAGCCGTAACCCAGATTCGTATCGTAGACACGTTACATGATTTAAACTCCCTAGTTTCCTAGTTTTGAAAAAGCCAATCCAATTTTTTGTGTTTTCGTTTGCTCTTTTTTTTTTCTTGTTTGGTTCTCCTTGGTGACCTTTACCACTCAAGAGGTTCCTTCTTGGTCTCACCCCGGTTCGTCTTGGGGACGGGGACGGCCTTGGCGAGGAGGCGACCGGTCTTGGGGTCCCTCTTGAGGTAGTTTGTGCCGTCGAGCCAGGGAGTGAGCTGGGACATGCGGCGCTCGTAGTCAGCAATCTTGTCATTCTGCTGCATGGTCAAGCCAATATCGTCGAGGCCGTTGATGAGGCAGTGTTTCCGGAACTCCTCAACGTCGAACGAGGCGAGGGTGTTGCCGTCGGCGTCCTTGACGAGCTGGTTGGGTAGGTCGATCTCGACTTCGCGGCCGGCGCGCGCCTCGGCGGCAATCTTCTCCAGCTTCTCCTTGTCCTCCATGATGATGGGCAGCATGCCGTTCTTGAAGGTGTTGTTGAAGAAGATGTCGGCGTACGACGGCGCGAGGACGCAGCGGATGCCGAAATCGTTGAGGGCCCAGGGGGCGTGCTCTCTCGACGATCCACAGCCAAAGTTGGGACCGGTGACGACGAGGATCTTGGAGCTGCGGTAGGGGTCCTTGTTAAGAACGAAGTTGGGATTCTCGGAACCGTCCTCGTTGAAGCGGAGGGCGTAGAAGAGGGCGTTGCCGAGACCAGTGCGCTTGATGGTCTTGAGGAACTGCTTAGGGATGATGGCGTCGGTGTCGACGTTGGACATCTCCAGGGGAGCAGCAATACCCCTAAGGTTGGTGAACTTGGGAAGACCAGTGGAGCTACCGGCAGAGATGGTGTTGGTGTGGGGTTCGTTGTCCTCGGGCTGGTCAGCGATGGCCTCCTTCTCAGCGTCGCTCTCTTCCACCCGCTCGTCAACCTGGGGTTCGCTGTCAGGTGTAATGGTAGCCTGAAGCTTAGGGCTGGTCTGGTAACCCTCGAGCTTTCTGACGTCAGCCAGCTTGCCGACGATACCGGCAGCAGCAGCCATCACGGGAGACATGAGATGGGTGCGGGAGCCGGCACCCTGGCGACCCTCAAAGTTTCTGTTGCTGGTGGATGCACATCTCTCCTTGGCGGCAAGGATATCGGGGTTCATGCCCAAGCACATACTGCAACCAGCCTCACGCCACTCGAAGCCAGCGGCCTCGAAGATCTTATCCAAGCCCTCAGCCTCGGCCTGGGTCTTGACGAGACCAGAGCCGGGGACGACCATGGCGCGCTTGATGTTGGCCGCAATCTTCTTGCCCTTGACGATGTGGGCCGCAGCGCGCAAGTCCTCGATACGGGAATTTGTGCAGGAACCGATGAAAACCTTGTCGACGGGTATGTCCTCCATTGGAGTTCCGGGGGTCAGGCCCATGTACTCGAGCATTCTGCGACCGGCGGCCTTCTTGTTCTCGGTGGAGAAGGTCTCGGGGTCGGGGACGACGCCGGTGATGGGGATGACGTCCTCGGGACTCGTGCCCCAGGTGATGGTGGGGATGATGTCCTTGCCGTCAATGAAGACGTCAATGTCGTACTTTGCGTCGGCGTCGGACTGGAGAGACTTCCAGTACTTGACGGCCTTGTGCCACTCGTCCGAGTTGTACTTGGGCGCCAAGGGGCGGTTCTTCAGGTACTCGAAGGTGATGTCGTCGGGAGCGACCATGCCGGCTCTCGCACCGCCCTCGATGGACATGTTGCAGATGGACATGCGGGCCTCCATGCTGAGGCTGCGGATGACTGAACCGCAGAACTCGATAACGGCACCAGTACCGCCGGCCGTTCCGATCTTGCCAATGGCGTGCAAGACAACATCCTTTGAGCTGACGCCGGGGGCCAGCTCTCCGTCGACCTGTATCCGCATGTTCTTGCTCCTCTTGGTGATCAAGCACTGGGTGGCGAGGACGTGCTCGACCTCACTGGTTCCGATACCGAAAGCCAGAGCACCGAAAGCGCCGTGGGTCGAGGTGTGACTGTCACCGCAGACGACGGTGGTGCCGGGGAGGGTGAAGCCCTGCTCGGGGCCGATAACGTGGACGATACCCTGGCGCTTATCGCCGAGACCAAAGTATGTGAGGCCAAAGTCCTTGACATTCTCCTCGAGGGTCATGCACTGGACTCTGGAGTCATCCTCGGCGATGAAGGAGCCGATGTCCTTCATGCCTTTCCGCGACGAAGTGGGGACATTCTGGCCAGCCACATGTTAGCGATTGGATCACCACTACGGAATTGAGATTGGGCGGGCGAAAGCGATGCTTTTCGCATGTACGCGCGTGTGAGAGTTTGGGTGGAATAAGAGACTTACGTGATCGGTGGTCGCGAGGGTGCAGTCCGGTCGGCGGACCTTGCGGCCTGCATTCTTCAGACCCTCAAATGCTTGCTGCAGCCCTTTGTTAGCGAGATGTCATGGTGGGGTCGATCAACCGACGTCATCCGAGCCGGAGTGCGGCGGCGGCTGCGGATAGCGAAGGGGTTACGAGGGGAAGCGGGAGAGAGAAAAAAAAAGCCCCCAAAACAGGAGCAAGCGTCAAACGTACAGGAGAGGTGACCTCATGCACGAGATGTCTGTCTGCATTGCGTCTCAATGTTAGCAAATGACATCCTTTCCTTTTCTCCGCGCAGATCCAAGATCCAGATCGTTCGCAATGGAGGGAAGAGCATGACGCAGAACTTACCAATGTACAGCAGGATCGTGCCGTCCAACTTCTCGTCTACGACGTGGGCCTGGAGGACCTTGTCGTAGAGAGTTTGCGGGGTGCCTTCGGCAACGGGCATTTTGTGCGACTCGGGGAGACGGGTCGGGAAAGCGAAGCAATTTCAAAAGCAGGTCAGGTAGGCCTTAATTGAAGGGACCTGGTTGGGTTTTGCGAGGGGGGTGGTTCCCAAGCTTCCTTGTCAGATCAAGCTGGTGTGAGAGCAGCCGGTGGGTGCCAGTGTCTGCGAGTGTGCGCGCGTGTGTGTGACTCTGTTTGTATGGCGATTGGGAGTCTAGGAAGTGGATGACGGAGAGGGAGAGGGTTTGGTGAGGGAGAGATGAGAAGATGGTTCGTGGGAAGAGAAGCGTTTGGAAAGGGAAGAGAGGAGAGGGAAAAAAGGTAGAAAACGTAGAAAAATCCTGAGTCGGAGGAGAGGTGTGGTCAGGGGTGTGGGGGAAGAGCAGCTCAATATGTATCTGCCGGACCGGGAGGCCTTCGTCCCTCTTGTTGTGTCTGAGGTAGGTGCTTTGCTTTGCTTAGAGTTGGGAACACCTGAATCAAATTGCTCCGTAATGAGAGACCTAGTGACTGGCAGAGAGCGAAAAAGGATCAAGGTACGAAATCGGAGCGAGAAAGAGGTGCCAACTTGCAAGGGCGACAAGGAAGAGAAGGCACGTACACTTACGCCCGCCCGCCCCTCTTGCAAAAGTGCCCGCAAACCGCAGGTACCTCGAACCCTTTTTTCCCACTACACACAGCGCACCAAGTACATTCATCTAGCTACAAAGCTACTGGTACCTAGAAAACGAAACAATCAACTGTGACTACCTTACTACGTGGGTGAAGCTTTGGGACGAAAAAGTTCCCAAGTGTCCGATGATCGGAGGCGCCAGCTCCAGCCAGCAGTGGGTCCTGGCGACGGAAGACCTGTGAACGCGGGGTACAGCGCCCTGATTTGCAAATGACGCCCGCGGATTGGCCCGTTGCCGCAAGGTGCCCTGGCCCGGGGGTCCCGCATCCCACTTTGAACGCCCTGAGAACCTTCCAAATGCTGCCATGAACATTGAACTCGGGCCATTCCATGGACGAGACCTCAACACACGCCACACTACCTTACCTTAGCACCTTACCTACCTCAGTACCTTGGTACTCCGTAATACCTCAGCCATCTCGGACGAGAACTCTTCATGTCTTGGGTGTTTGGCGAGACGGGCAAAAATGGAAACGTTCAAAAAGGGGAGCCCCCCATATCCACCGTGGATCACATCAAAGTATGACTCTTTTGACGTTTGGAAAAATCTCTCCCACCATCGGAGAGGATCCCGTTACTTTAGTATAATGGAATACGACGGCACTTGATACTCCACCGCTTGACTACACGTCCCGCACGTGAGACGCAGAGAGCCCGCAATCTGACGAGTAATATGGGCTCGAATGGGCTCAGCGCCGCCCAAAACAGCAACTCGTTGAATTCTCATGTGTCCGACAAGTACCCTCTGCTACTTGGGGGGCCCAGTACCGTCTCCGTTTTATTCCGTCGTTTGCCGTTGCTGACTTTTTTCTCTTCTCTTTCGCCCTCACTCTGATACCTGCCTGCTCGGTCACCGGTGACCCTAAAACTGTTTGTGTTTATCCGTAGGTAGTTAGTAGGAATATACATGCCAAATTCAATCCAAGTACATGCGCCAGCAAGACCAATTAGCAGAACACCGAATGCTGGCGCCGGCATCATTCATAACCCCCTCATGTACGTAATTGACGCGATGCCGATGCTGCATTGCAGCATTCACCTCGCTTTGCCTCTTGACGGTCCCAATCTTATTCCAATCCCCCGGCACTTTTTTTGTGCACTAACACTGACTCCAACCTGTTCAATGTTCTCACATACGCCGTACGAATAGTGGCACTTACCACCTTAGCTCCCAAGACCTCCGAGAAAAGGAGTACGTACCGTATTACGGAATCACGGAGTATCGCCCGTCCATTCAACCCAAGCAAAAGTGGCAGTGATTCGTGAATCAATAATCCCTGAATCCCATCCTGGAGCTGGATGCAACATCCGCCCGCCGAGGGCTTACTCGATGATGACGCTGCAGAACTACGCGATAACATGATAGGGCCTCGATCGCCGCCGCTGCTGCTGTCGCAAACGCAAGGTCCAGCATGAGGCAGCTTCACCGCATCGGCCGGCCCTCCTGCGGTCATCCCAACAAGCCCTCCCAGGCTAATCCGGAGAACATCTACCCTCCCCAATAACCACTGCCCGTAACCGTACCCGAGCCCGAGGTGCCGACTTCATCATGCATTGCGAAAGCATACCCGGGCTTGCTCCCTCTGTGGTGCAACTCTGTTTGATTAATGTCTGTATCCGTAGCCATACCGGCATATCAATACTGCGTCAACTCCATCAACAACCCGGGCCATCTGCCATTGCATTCGTGCTGCCATTGTCAAACTTGTCCAAGCACTCGAGAAGCAAGGTAATCAAGTCTCGAAAGGGTTGATCTCCTTCATGCTGCATGCTTGGCCTGCCACTACCCCACACAAGCTCAAACAGCGCCCGTTCGAATCGTATCATGTGCATTTGACGCTGCGCTTTCGGCCTCCGTCTTATCAAACATTCCTTTCCCCCAACCCAGCCGATATACGGAGTATGGCCTTCGTAGCGCTTCACCCAGCCGACCTGGTCCCTACAGTGCCGATCGGCGGTTGGTCAGGCTCCAACGCCAAGCTTTCCTCCACAACCTCCCTTTTTCGTCACCACCGGCTGTCAGGAACCGAGAATCGCAATCAAACCCCCCAGCAAGCCTTGCACCATCTGCATCACCCACGCAATCCCCTGCGCGAGCCGGACCGCTGTCGCCAATAGCACGAATCCGCTACTCAGCGCAAAGAGAAACATCCCAACGTCAGTCCAGGTTGACTCGTTGGTATCAAGTCGCTTTCTGGCAGGCGATGTCGGATCAAAGCAAGGTGATATGGCTTTCCAATACCACCGAGCCACGCTCCCCGCAATCTGCTTGCCGTCGGTGGCGCACTTTAGCACACGCTTACTCAGCACGTCTCTTTTCAAACGACCTCCGGTGTCGCCGCCTTCGGAGTCGCTGTTCACCAGGGTCGTTGACGTGCTGCAGCCAGCTTTCAACCTGGCTTGACTGGCTGCTGACAACTGCTTGTTCTCCGTTGGTGCATTCTGGCGATTGTCGTTTCCCCCCTTCATGGCGCAAAACGTTTTCGAACTCTTGCGGCTGCTAACCGCCTCTATACCGTCCGCCACGGTGTTTTCTGACTTTGACAGGCTCTTGTTCGAGAACCTCATCATCCTCAACTTGTTCCGCAATCTCCTACTCGGAACAGAGTCGGGAGGAGGCTTCCTGAGGCTGGTAGGCAGCGGTCTGGGCGTTCCGCTGGCCGAGAGGCTCTGTTTCCGAGTTTCCGCCGTCCTGTTGCCCGAATTGGCCACTGCGGCCCGCGCCGCCCCCGTCGATGCGATCTTGCTTTGGCCCTGCTGAGTGGCTTGCTCCAACACGGTTAGGGGTGATGTAGACGTGGACATGTGTGATGTGACATGGTCCTCGACTTGGCTCTCCTGCTTGTCGCTGTCTACCAAATCTCTCGCAGAGTATTTCTCGACCACCTTGTGGATCGCATCGTTTTGATGCTGGAGGGTCAGCGTTTGGCTTGCTTTTGGTGCCAAAGCCTGGGTCCTTATTTTGACGGTCCTTAGATGCCGCACTTTTTCGGTCGAGATGTCCTCTGTTGACGTTGACATATGTTCGTCGCACTGTCGACTCACGCGTCGATTCTGCAACATGCTCCAGCTTTCGCTGACTCTTCTCTCGGGTTGTTCTTGGCATAGGCTCGATTGTGAAAGATCTTGGCCGCAGCCAATAATGGTGGTGATGGGTGTGGTGGCAGCTTTTGTCTTTAGAGCCTCCATCTTTCCCACTTCCCGTTGGCATATCACGTCCTCGTGAACCTCCATCCTTCTTGGAGATGTTGCTCTGTCCTCGAAGGTGAGACTTTTCGGGATTGGCAGCTCTTGGGTCACCTTGCAAAGGTTGTCCTCCAGCGCCTGGATATGCTCTCGGGCCAACGGGTTCTCTTGAAGCGGCGGGCTTTCCAGATCGATCTGGGATGTCAACAATGACTCGAATGGGGATATGTTCGCTCTGATTGGTGGGCCACGAGTCTTGGCTGCCTGCTGGTTGTTGACTTCGTGACTTTGGATTAATGAATGGCGAGCCACTACTAGTGGTGCTACTGCCAATTCCTCCTCGCCGTCCAGGACTTCCGTATCTCGGATCAGTGGGATAAGTTGTCTTGCCTCCCAACGGTTGATTGCTGCCTGCTGCTGGTAGTCCAGGGTTAGGTGTTGGTATGTTTTCCCCTGGATATGATCTCTCAAGAGGGTTGTAGGTGTCAGGCTTGCGCTTGCTGATACTGTCCTCGAACGGCGGATGGGGATTTTGCCTGAGGTTAGAGACAGGTTTCTTGAGAATTCCCTGCTGTGGTATCCCAGCGGATCCTGATCGTCTGCTTTCCGTAGAACCAATGGGTTGGAAACGGCCCGGAGAGCTTGCCGGCCTCCCGGCTCTGTCTCTGGGCGTCGCTGGCCTAAAAAAGTCACCGTTTTTTGAGGTCCTTGAGGTATGGGTGGTAGCTCCTTTTCCATGGCTTTGCCCTTCTGGCTTTGACCTTTGGTGGCTGATGCTGGGAGGCCGAAGTGACCTGGTCGGCTTTTCTCACTGATGCTTTGAGGAGAGTTCGAGTTTCCAAATGAGAGCGGCAACTGCGTAGGCTCTCGATCTCCGCCCAGGGTGCGGCCGTTTCTTCCGAATTCCTGAGCCGCGGTGGATGCCAAGGATGATCGTCTGCTTTGGGGGGTTCGTATCACAGTGTCAGATGAATCAGCATCGTTCTCTTCCGAGATGATATGTTTGGGCAGGTGAGATTTGGGATCAGTATGGCCCATCCCCAAATGGTGAGCGGTTGTTTGCTCGGGCAGATTTCGGGCGTCTCTCGCTTCTGAACCTGATTTACTGGTCAGTACATCAGCCCAATGTCGACACAAGCTAGCTTACCGCGAGTCGATATGCTCTTGGTTGACTGCGCAATCGGGCTGAGTATGGGCTCTTTGGCAGAAGACCACTGCTGTCTATGGCGTTGCCACTGAACCTTGCGCTGTGCTTGTCGTATGGCCTCCTTTTCCCGATCTTTCCGGGCAAATCTTTGCTCTTCTCGTTGCTGGAGCTGCTTGGTCACCTCTTCTGTGAGGAGTTCGGCACCGCGGCGCGTACGTCGAGACTCCGACTTGTGTCTGGCTTCCAGCTTTTGGTCGAGAGTCAAGGAAGCAGAGCTGAAGCTGGTTGTAGACGGTGTCTCAACGTCTAGTTCTCCTGTGACTGGGTTGATTCCTGTGACGCCAAGGTAATCTCCACTCTCTTTCAGACTTCTGCGCTCCCGGTGAATCAACCGACGTTCTTCCAGTGTTCGTTCTTCTCTTGAAGATCTAATTGCCGGTGGATGAGCGATCGTGTTAGCTCTCCGGAGAAGAGGCTCAGGTTCAGATGATCGGGCTTTCCGAGGACGGCCCAGTTCCTTGGCCGTGTTCCAGCGTGTGATGCGGTCAGAGCTTCGACCTACTCGAGGCGGACTTGTCGGAGAGTGTCTAGATCTCGAACGAGGGTTTTCGGCGGTTTCCTAGTACCCTTGATTCCGATGGGTGCTACCCTTCTCAGCCCGGCGGCTTGGGAGGACGGCCCTCAAGCGCGCGCTTAGATTTAACTTCCGGCCAAACCCTTCGGAGACTTGCTGTCCAGGACGTCTAGATAAGACTCGAAACGATGGTGCATCGAGCGGTCGACCGGTGGCTGGAGCTGAGTGGGTTGACATAATTCAATTCGAGGAGATGCGGGGATAGAAATGCTGCATGGTAAGACAGATAAAGAGTAAACAAACAACGATGCCGGCAAAAGAACTCATTAACCCGTTGCCAGGTGTATGTCCGGCGGCGATGTAAGAGATCGGAAATGATGGGTTGCGTTTGGAAAGGGAGATCCTTGCGCAGGAAGAGACGACAGGTTTGAGCAGCCAATGTCAAAAAGGCGCAACGACTCGACGAACTGCTGCTGCTGTCAACCCCTGACTCAAGGAACAAGGCAGTTGCTTGTAAGTTGGCGACACTCCTTCCCAGCATTTAATCCAACTCAATTGAACTTCTTTCTTTCCCATCCCTTTTCCCTTTGTGCTTCGCCCTCCTCCTTCTATTGTTAGACGTCTACCAGAGCAACCGTCACCCGCGCCTGCGCAATGGATTTCCACCTCTTTGGCGAATTGCCTCCAGAAATTCGAGCTGAGATCTGGAAGCTGTCTCTTCCTGAAGTCGAGCCAGAAGTTTGCATCGTTCCGTCGACATGCGACACACCACAGTCGTTGCTGGTGTACACTGCCTTCCCGGTGCTGATGCATGTTTGTCACGAGTCTCGCCAATTCGTCCAGAACTCTAGACTGAGTGGAATCAATCTTATGCGTCCGCGCTCGGCCATTGACACGATTGATTTTCCTGTGCCATTTCGACCTTATCAGCCGGAATTGGATACCTTGTTCTGTCAGAACCAAGGTCCGGCATCTTTGGAAGACATTGCCAGTGAAGACGATTTCGAACACGTCATTCAAGAGACAAGACATCTGGCTATCCCAGGCGAGAAAGAATTCTTGGATCTGGTAGCCTGGGTACTCACATTCTACTTTCCGAAACTGGAGACTCTGTCCGTGGTTGTCGGGGACCCCTCAAATGGCTCTTGCTTTGGCTCCTATTTTGATACACCAAAGACACGCTGCAAGCTGCGCCAGATAAATGCGGGAGGCACACACATATACAAGGTTGATGTGAAAGATCTTGACGGAACTCAAACCTGGGACCCATCGCACCTGTCGAGATGCATGGCGGAGTACACACAAGAGCTCGAAAAGATCATTGAGGAGTGTTTCAACGACATGGACAGAACGTTACGAAGGGCTCATCGCTGGTGGAATCGTGAATCGAAGACTTTCAGAAGAGTCCAATATCTAACCCAGACATTTGTTGAGTATGAAGCAGGAAGTACATTCCGCTTGGAAAGCATATTCTCGTAGCGCAAGCATGTTAATGAGGTTCGGGTAGCAATGAATGATAGAGATTCCTAACTGGTATCACTAGACGCTTCCTTCCAAGGAACCGAGTATACCTTATCAATCACATGAGGTACAAGTTCTTGAATGCGCTGCGGTGCTTCTTGCCAGAGTCATGCTTAAGAAGAGCAGGTGCAGCGCCTCTGTCTTCTCTCGAAGCTCTTTACGAGCATCCAGGGTGTCTTCCTGCCTTATCGGACTGACCTCCTTCCACAAGACCTCTCCAATCCCCATAGTGTGAAACCCAACGAATAAGAGGGAATAACCAAGAAGGCCTGATGAGGACGGGATCTAGAGACTAGCAAAACATCATTTGAGAGAAGGCGTCATGTATCGTTGTTGACCGCCTTGCTCGTTAACCTACTGCAAGGGAAGAATCAGCATAGGTTGTGGAAAACGCAGTATCCGCAGTTCAACTTTTCGCTCTGCTGTTCTTCGTGTTTATGTGTGCAAAGGCTCATAGGCTCATAGGCTTAACAAAGGCGTCTGACTACCTGGAAACTCTTACAAGAAGTTTGAAGCCGAGAAGGCCGTGTTCGACAGCACAGCGAATATTTTCCATGAATAACAACCATCAAATGAAACGACATGAGGAGGCACTTCTGTATCCCTCGCTGTAGCAGAGGTCGAACAACCGGGAGAGCTTCTTCCCTGCGTAGACGTACGTGAAAGTCGAGGGGTATCATGATCTGGCGAGCGAAGGGACCATGGGTCTTTGTCCAGGCCAAGTCCAGCAACACTGAAACCAGTGTTCAGGGCGAGGTATTTCGCGGACCAAACTTGGCGGGTAGCCAACGTCAGTAATGACAAGACAAGCTCAATCACCATCATGAGGCAGGTATAACCACTTCTGTATCCTAAGAAACACCCAAGGGTGGCAAGGTACAAGGTCACCAATTCGCCTAGTTGCAGATGCTTCGTGATAACAGTGCTGGGAATAATGCGCATTCACCAAGAAAACATTGATTGAGGAGAATACAAATTCAGTCTGGAGACTCGAATAGTTGATTAACAGAGAAGAACGCCGGCCCAGGAATTGACCATCCGCCCGAACCAGCCCAACGCCGCTATATGCTGCTGTAAATAAGTTTGAAGCCATCAAGCAAAAAAAATGTCTTCCCAGAGCAATGTCACCCATCTCTCATGCCACGTATGTCAGCCTCTCTCAGTGGAAACCCGACCATCTGGAAGGGTACCGTTCCCCTTGTTGATTACTTCTGTTCCTCTTCGCGCTGGCAAAGGGGTTGTAATCGGGAGCACTCGTGTGGTCGAGAGCATCTGAGCCAGTCGATCTTCTAATTTCCGACTGCTTCAGCGGGCTTCCTCGACGTTGTTCCCGAGCAGCCATTTCTCTCGAGTTCCGGGGCGACATGAAGCCTTGATTCATCTCATTGAGACTCGACGTCTTCTTGAGTGGCGAGTTCGCGTGGTTGAATACACCCAAGTTTCCGCCGAAGCTCGTGGTTCCGGTGTTCGCCGTTGTCGTTGAGGCCGACTGGTACATGGGTGCCGGCGGGAGACTTTGCCGGACCGAGCGAGTACTGGGCACAGGGGTGAAGGACTCGGATCGCCTCTTAGACGTCGGAGTAAATAGACGGGATGCGAAGCTGCTAATTGGAGGAGTGTGGACCGGGTCCTCCTGCTTGACGTGAGGATTTGGTGTAACCACGAACTCCTTCTTGATGACCGTCGTAGGCGTTCCCACTTCGACAAAGGACCCTTCATCCTCAGCCTCTTCAGGCGAACACTGTGTCCCGACATCGCGAACAACCGGGTGAAGACGTGGCCGCACGAACTTGGTGTCGTACTCGTGGAGGACCTCCTTGTGGATGATAGCCGTATCCTTGATCTGCTGAGCATACCGAGTTTGGACGAAAATCAGCTGGACGGAAAGCATGAGTTGCAGCACAATGCAGTTGAAAACTGTTACACTCGGTCTGGGATCTAAGGGCACCAGAGGGAGGAACATCAAGTAGACGAGGACGTGGCCAGGGCTGAAGAGGCAGAAGAGCTGCAAAGAGACCGGGAGAGGATCCCAGACACTTAGCTCCCAAACGTCGTGTGATCTGTCGGGATGGGCTCGCGACTCGGCAGTCTCGGAAGTCAGGAGGTTGTTCAAGAGTCTCAGGGGCGAAGAGACGGCCGGGTCGGACCTGGCTTTGACTCGTTGGGCTGAGGGGGTGTGCGGCTTGTCTTCGACGTTGACTTGGAATAATCGGTACTGCCTCGTCCTGGACATGGTATAGAAGGCGTTGGCGACAGATAGGAGGCCGAGAATCCAAACAAGTGGCCGCACCTAAGGACTTATTAGCAAACATGATGCGCAACCCTTATACACTCGATGCTACTGACAATGTAGGTGACGATGCCCCCGGAGCTCCCATCGCTGAACACATCATCCTCGACCTCCGATGCTACGCAGTTAGCTCTAGCAAGGAGGAACACGAAGTTGCAGCCGAGCCCAAGCTGTGTTCCCAGTGCCTTTGAGTCCCAATCTCTCGTCTCCAATTCTTCCGATAGCCAGAGCAAGAAGTCCATGGGGTTCAGCATGGCCTTCAGGCGCTCAGAGAGCGGCTTCTTTCGCACCAGACGCGGCATCTTGTCAGGTTGCGCTTCTTCACATCAACAGGCGACTTCTGGGGGGATGGAATCCTGAAAGCCTCGGTGGCGATGGCTTCGTGGTCGACGGGATCGAGAGTTGCGTCGGTGTCGTTTGTCGTCGTTGTCGTCGTCGATTTCGTCGCTAGGTGAAATTGTTTACAAAGAAGTCTGGGTCTATTGATTTTTGGGCCATTGTCCCGCTGCTAGGCAGGAGGAGCTTTCGACAGGGGTACCTTCCTTATGTGCATGGACCGTAAACTGAAAGCACACCTGGGAGATACGTACCAGAATGCTGCAAGTGGGGTCTTCACTGGCTTCTGTCGCAGCGCCCACACCTCATCCGAGCCTGTTAGCAGTTCAGGCTCCAGCAGGCAGTACCTGGCAGAACAGCGCTAACAACACTTCAGCCACAGTGAGATGCTGGGGTGGAGCGCTGCCAGCCCGCCGCCAGGTCGGGTACAGGTAATCAAGGCAAGTACGTCAATCCGTCCGCCGACCTCCTAGGCCATCGCAAGCTCTCCAACAACCGCACAAGTCATCCAAGATGGCTTCGCAAGCAGATATGAAGGACCGCCAGTTCCTCGCCGTTATCGGCGACGAGGTAGGACGCTTTGCGTATTCGACACTATGAGCGATTACAAATGGCTAATACTTGAGAACTAGGACTCGGTCACCGGCCTCCTCCTCGCTGGCATTGGGGTGCGCTCTTTCGACTCCACGACGATTCCGATTGCGGCCCGAGATAACTAACAAGTGCACAGCATGTCAGCACGGGTGCCGACCAAGAAAAGAATTTCCTGGTGGTGGATAGCAAGACGGACACCGCTACGATCGAGTCTACCTTTGAATCCTTCACTTCGAGGAAGGACATTGGCATCATCCTCATCAACCAACACGTCAGTAGCGATCGCGGGGGGCAAAGCCTTGAGCCAAGAGGACATATACTGATTGAAAGAACAGATTGCCGATCGCATAAGACATCGGGTCGATACCTACACTGCTGCTTTCCCGACCGTTCTCGAAATTCCGAGCAAGGACCACCCGTACGACCCCGAGAAGGACAGTGTTTTGCGCAGAGTGCGCCGGTTGTTTGGCGAATAAGCATGTAGTTCCACAGAGTATGGGGATAGTAAGGGCCAAGAGGCAAAAGCATGGTACGCCGGCAGCGTATTCGGAGTTTGGATGGACCGCACCGGCCTATCATGAATAAATTGCGAGCTACATGCCTAGCACCGCTACCCTATGTACGTACGCATTGTTATGCCGATACTCCTACGCAGAATGAACACTCAAAAGGACCCTCAAACGAATCCATCACATGGGCGAAGTTGAACTGCGTTATGCCAAATTCCTAATGCTACCAGTGTTATGAGATGAAGTGAAACCCCAACAGCAATCTGGATGTATCGCTACGTGTGACTGTAACCCATGCCCCATCATCGTAAACCTTCGTATGCTTGTAATTAATTTAAAGCTCCAAGCTGAAGAAGCTCTTGGTGTTGCGCGAGAAAACGACTTGAGCGGTCAAGCAAGTGATGGGGACGTCATCGGCGGTGTAAACGTCAGCAAAGACGGTGTACTTGCCCTGTAGATATTGTCAATAACCCGATAAGGTTCATATAGAGGAGGCAAAACTTACGGAGGGGATCTCGTTAGGAAGCTCGACGGACTTGGTGACGGTGAGAACACCCTTCTCGATGGGGCACTCGAGGTCGACGTTCTCGATCTGCTCGCACAGGTCCGCCTTGGTGCTGATAAGGCGGATGAGGCCGTACTTGACCTGGAGAAGAACGTAGGCGCCCTTCTCGATGTTCTGCTTGACGGTGCCGGAAGCCTTGATGACGAGCTCCTTGCCACTGAAACACCATGTTAGCTGGCTCCCGTTTCACGATACTGCGGTATCCATCGTCATAGACTGGGGGCAGCTGCAAACAAACTTACGCCTGAGGAGGGTTGGGAGAGAGGTCTACGCTGTCGATTGTGACAATGTCCTCATCGTGGGACTTGGGGCAGAGCTCCAAAGGCGAGTCGCCAGGGACCTTGAGGTCATCGTTAACGATGATGGACTGGTCTCTCTGAACCAGGACGCTGGCACCGGCCGGCGCGAGACCGGCGGAGAGGAAGGCGATGACAGCTGTGGCGAACCTCATCGCGGGTAGAGGTTGAGGTTGTTTGGTGATTAGATAGATGGGATATGGGCGGTTCAAACAACGGCGGTCTCGACGTCGTTGATGATGCTCGGTGTGTACTCGTCGGCGTCCGAGGTTCGATGTTTAGCGTGAGGATGATGGGAGGTGATAGAGAAGTGGTTCCTGCGAGTGGCTTTGGTTGGTAGGTGGTGAGCAACGAACGGGGCTGGGTTCGGAGGGAGAACGTCATGGGGACAAGCACAGATCGATCTGATTGGATGGAGCTAGGTGGACCTTGGTTGGGACAAGCGCCTTTGCCTTCCCCAGCGACCATGGCGACATTGGAGGTACCTTTTACTGCATATCTTTTGGCGTAGAGCAAGCGGTACCCTTTTGAATAGATGTGTACATTGAGGTAGAGCTATCTGATTATAGACTCATATTGAAGAAGTAATAATCACAAGGAGTCTCCGAAATAATGCTATTGCTGGACCAAAGCAAGTAGACAACGACAGAGCCTCTTGAATGATGTCCCAAAAGGTACATCGAATCCTGTCGTCGTCGATGCACGGGCCACCGTAAAATTCCCACTCTTCTGCTTCGTTCCCCTCCAAAGATCCCACTTTCGTTATCAACTTCCCAGCTCCAGATTGCCTCCCGCCTTCGTCTTTTGGAGATTGAAACGGCCGAGTCGCTCGATCACGAGTTGCGACCATGGAATTGCGTCGCGAGTGCCATATCACCACTTGCGCATTGAAGGAGTCGTCCATGCGCAAACAAGACGGAGCGCCACACGAGAAGAAGCTGTCAGCATCTAGCCACAAGAATGGGCTTGACTTTTCGCCTCCGCCTGTGCTCACTCTTATGCGACGACGGCTGGAGCCTTGTCACACAGAGCAGCTGGGCTGTTTCGACGGCCAAGGTTTCGTTGGAAGATCCCTGGAACCTTGGTCCCGTGGACAGAACCGAAGCAGACAGACAGCAACCTGAGCATTGAAAGCCCAGTGCCAGCCAAACTGTTCAGGGTCTCTCCATCATCACAAGCCGCTGGCTCCTCCAAGCTCTTCAGTGTCAGAGCCAGAACTGCTTGGTGCGCATTTCGATCCAAGCATCTTCGAGATCTCGACTGCGCAGGTTTCGTGATTGGACAGAACTCCGTCCGCGATTCAAGAAGTCGTGCTACGGCATGGATGATGACCTGAGGGGAAAGGTAGCCACACCAGGAGCCACACCATCTCATGCGTCTTTCATGGTGGGAAAACAGTGGTGCACGGGTCCGTCGGCTTGTCCCAATCAGTCCATCGTCGAGTGCAGGGAGCTGGCGCAAACAAGTGCTCGAGTGAACCGGAAAGTGTGGCCAACCTGCTTGGACGATGAATGGGGACCGTGGCCAACAAGTACCGGGCACCTCGACAACTCAGCTGCAGCCCCGGCTATCAGTGTCGCATACGTCTGGACAAGTCTCGAGGACGCGATCGTAGGACAGGGAGATCCTAGCTAGAAGGACACCGGCCGCGAATCATGCCGGGGCCCTTTACGCCAGCTGGGTGCGGATGGACGACGGAAAACCGCGACTCTTTGTTTTGTTTGTCTACTCAGTATCTCCAGTTGAGGAGAAGGATGGGGCGAGAAAGCGAAAGGATAGCGCAGTTCCTCCCGTCGATCCCATCACCTCGGAAGCATTATTATGAACGGCAAAGGCTCAACGAGCCTTCGAGACGGCAGCGGGCACTGATGTCCCCCCCTACGTCGTACTGTACTTGGAGCACCCGGGCGCTCTGGGCAACCAGTCAACCCAAGGGCAACAAGGACCACAACTGCTCGCAAAGGCGCCGCGCGTGGTCGCATTTCGAGGCGCGCAATTGTGCTGGACCTGAGGAGCATTGACTGAAGGTAGTCAAAGTACCGATACTTCTGCAACTATGGCTTGGTGAGGCAGATAGATGACACCTCAGCAGCCCAAAGGGCCGCCCCCCATGCCTCCGTTTCTGCGTACACACTCACAGTTCGCAGTAGAGTTCAACGCAGCGTGCCATTTACCGAGCTCTTGGAGGCCAACCTAGTCTGTCTTGGTGAGGGGTCGAGCCATCTGGCGCAGATGGTTGAAGGGGCATCGGGCGACGGCGTGGGATTTTGGAGAAAAAAAAGGAGAGCAACTGGAGGCGAGAGTCAGTCTACGCTACTCCGTACCGAAGTGTCGAACGAAAGGGTGGGTTGAAGTTCCAGTGCCGAGAGGGGACGCTTCGCATCAGCCTGCAGTGATGATGACTTCAAGCTGCATGCTGTTGTCGCCTTGAGTTGACGAGCGGTGCATGAGGCTTCACGGAAAGGGTGATGGTGGAAGAGCTTCAGCTGCAGTCATCAAGGGCCGCCTCTGCGGGTGGTTGACCTTACGGCAAAGATACCTCTGCGACACAACCAGCGAAAGCTTCCGTCAGCCGCGGGCGTGGGTGAGCAGAGACAGAGACTCTCTCGCAGTCCAGAGTCAACATTTGCGCATCCGAGTCGGAGCTGTTTGTCACCTCCAAAACTCCAACGCAAAGTCGCATGCAAAACTGCAGGTCTCCAGCTTGACCAGGGGGAAGGGCGACCTGTTGCAGGGAGCGAAAGACCGGCTCCATGCACGATAATATTAGGCCCTGGCAGTAAGACCCGGTCGGCCATTCCCAGATTAATCTACTGACCAATGAGAGAAGGGAGCGGGATGTTGAGTTGAGACCTCAGACAAGTGGGAATCGGCAGGACGCGACGCTACGCCGTAAGACTTGCGGCTTGCGACTTGAGACTTGGGGGGAGGAGGGACTTCACCATTTTGGGTTCTTAGAAGGAGCACCAGAAATGCTGCCCTTTCGCAGGTAAGCCCCACTTTGTCCAATGGAAATCCAATCCAATCCGATCCCACTGCAGCCGAAAAGAGTCACTCAGCTAGAGACGTACAGAGATGTACCTTTTCTTCCTTTTGCTTCCTTTGAAGTCCTTAAGGTACCTCGGCCTATCTATCCTGCAAGTCACTCCCGTCTTCGGTGACGGTGAGGTGTGTACGTACTGACTATGGGTGGCTGAGTTTGGTGTAGCGTCCGCTTCGTTTCCGTAGCCCTCGACGCGATGAACTCTCGACTGCGGTATTCGTACCTTTTCGGCTGGACACACAATTCTGCGATGAGAAATCAGAAGCTCTCTTCGTCTGTAATGGGACCAGAGAGAGGCAGACGAAAGTGGATGTTGGACGTGGATGCGAAGAGCATTGGAAGCAGTGGAGTCCGGAGTGGATGACGGCGCCTTCGAAGTCTGCCTACGTAGTATACGTAGTAGCCTCCCATTAGACTAGAGGCCTTCTCTCTCAGTCTCACCACTCACCATCTCACCTCGAGCGGAGGGCCCCCCGAGTGTCTCTCCAGTCTCGTTGGCTTCTTCTACCCCTGGCGCCCTGGCGGGTTGGACTTGGGCTGCCCTCAACCGGAAAGTGACTCTTGCCACTCGCCCACGTCGTATAGCTCCCTACCTAGCACAAATCAGAGAAGAGCAACCACTCACTTGTTCACAAGTCAGGCTGAAAAAGGGGGGCAAGGGTACAAAGGTTTCTTACGAAACGACGCGCCAAAGTCAAGTCACTCGAAGCCCTCCTATTTTAAGAATGTCCAGATTGCGCATAATTGGCCGGGCCTCACGTCTCCCTCGGGATGGGATGAAAGCCATGGTCATCCCCGATTCTCAGTCTTGAATTTTGCTGGTTTGGTTTTCCAAAGACGCTACCATGTTTGAAGGCATCGAATCCGACGCTTGTTCAACTGGAACTCGACGAGGAGATCAACACGACGCCGGCATTCTCCCGCTCATAGTACGGAGCACACAGGCAATCAAACCTACGTTTGCGCTTATGCCTAGCCTTCCATCGGCCAGATACCAGTCACATACTCTCTCTCAGTCTCTCCCGTGTCTCTGGCGTCGACTTCTCCCCTACTGACTTACGGCAATAGGGATTCAGTGCTCACAGTCGTTCACTTCCGCCTACGCCCTCGTCTACCTACTTGATGGATACCTTATTCGTCTCCGCACACGACTCCCGCACACGGCACGCGGATGCCCTCTCTTTTGCAGGCAGAAACCAGCGAAGCAAGGCATCCATGAACCCATCCATCCGTATGGCGCACGCAGAGTCACTCCCGTCGCGCGGGTCACCCCTCCTTCGACCAGGCCTTGACCAGTCTGCCGTCGCCTTTCGCCCTCGGTCGTTCCACCTCTCGCTCCTCCCGTCACATCCGCCCGCCGTTTCTGCTAGGGCCAGAGAGGGTCGGTCACCCAACTCGCACCAAACACCAACACCACGCTGCCTGCCCATTTCTTTCTCTCTTATTACTCATTAAATCTTTGCATGCCGCTTCTTGTCCCTCCACTCCCACCAGACGAGTCTGCCTCTTGTTTTTGTTCACATCAAACCGACATCCCGTGGCCGCCAGCTGCTGCTCTCTCATCAAGATGATGAGAGTCTGTTCTAGTCGAATGCCTCCTTCATTTTGTTTTCGGTACACTTATTGCGGATAGTGTCTTCACTCCACTTTCTCTCCAACATTTTGCTTCTTTTACCACCCAGACTTGGATTTTTATTTTTTTCATTTTTCCTCTCCGCCTTCTTCTTTGCCTGGTCGACCCTTCAGGTGCGTCTGGTGCGGAGGGCTAACAAGGCACTCACCAGTCCTTCATCAGGCGGGAACCATCACACACTTTCCCATTTTCTCTGTGTCTGGTTGCGGCCTGAAACCTCTTCTGCCTGAGGCATCATGGATCTGCGCTAGGCACCTGATTGGACGGTTGTAGCCACTCATATCAGCGTGCCCACCGCCTTTCGGGTTTAGCTTCAAGTAAGTACCGGTACCTCTGTACCCTGTTTTCCCTACACACGGGCTTTGGCTTTTCTGCCCTCGTCTCCCGTTCTCTCTCTCACTCTCTTCCTCGTCTGTCTCTTTCGTCTCCCCCCGTCCTGTTGTCGCCCTTCCCACCAGCGCAGTCCGGCCATACCAGGCTGTGACGGCTGGCAGGCTGGCTGGTGGTAGCCAGTGCTCCCCAGCCAGCGGGCAACGAGCCAGGTGCCAGGGCATCTTGAGCTGAGCAGGTGCGATGCTCCCCAAGCATCCCAGCACCCAGCAACCCGTCCTGAGTCCTCATCGCCCTTCCCCCCCAAGAAATCCCATCTTCGAAGACGCCCCCCCTTCCCTTGCCTTCCCTCCCCTCCATCTTCCAGTCCGCAATCCGCGCACCGAAGCACAAGGTGCCAGTCAGTCCCCAAGCCCGCAGAGTCCAAGTCCCCCAACCTAAGCAGTGCAGTCACTGTTCCTACTCGTTCGCCCTCTCTCTCTTTTCGGCTTGGCCTGGGCTCCGGCCTGCACGCTCCTGCACTGGGACCTGTCTCGCTCAACTCGCACCGCACCGCACCAGCACCAGCACCAGCACTCCTACCTACTCCTACCCAGGTACTGCTGCTGCTGCTGCTGCTACCACCGCCGCTGGTCTCTGCTACGCTCCTTTGGGGGACCCATCCATCTTTCTCTCCTTCGTGTCGTGCCCCCCTCTCTTCTTCTCTTTCAATCTCTTTTCCACCCTCATTTGCTCGACCCAAAACACCCTTCTCTCCCTCACCTCCGGTCCTCAACACTCGATTTCCTCCTCATACTACGTCCCCTCGACTCGGCTCAGCTTTTCGAAACGCTCCATCCCTCCCCGTCGACGAGGCGCAACCGCTCAACCCTTTCTTCGACTTGATCCGTCTTCTGGCTTCGATCGGTTCGTGGACACGCTCTTCGCGATCACAATTCGAAAACTTTTCCACCTCACGACGCCTACAACACACGCTTGTGACAACCTACTGGTGTTTTCCTGGTTTCGGGACGACCGCGGTGTGTGAAAAAGCGATTTGCTGGACCGTTCCTCGCCTCTGCGACGACCTGTCCTTTGTGAGCCAGACTCGACAATCCCACCGAGTCTTACCTTCCCCATCTTCGTCGAGAACCCTCGACTCGACCATACCCTTCCCGCCGACGGATGACGACGGCCCTGCGTACTGCTGTTTCTGTGGTTCATTTGACGGCTTGTTCCTGTGCGTCTAGACAGGCGTCGTCATGCTACCCAGGCCGCAACAGTAATCATCTCACCCAATACCTCGACTTCAATCCGCACCACGAGGCAAACCTAGATTATGACCGAAAAGCCCCAGCCGCTGTCGACGCAGACCGCGACTCCTAGTCAGACCCTCTTCGCTCCGAGCGTACCGGTCTCAACACATAATGTGCCACGCAAGGCCGAGACGGTAGAGGAAGAAGAGCCGTACACGATCAAGTGTATCTGCAACTTCACTGACGATGATGGAAACACGATATATTGCGAGACGTGTGACACGTGGCAGCACATCGACTGCTTTTATCCTCACAGTCGCGAGGAGGCCCTACGCGAAGACTTTGCCCACTCGTGCGCTGATTGCAAGCCGCGTCCCCTAGATCGACAAAAGGCCATCGAGCGAACCCGGCGACTAAAGAATGGTCCCACGACAGAAACCATACCGGATAAGAAGGCCAAACGCCCGCCATCCAAAAGCCACAAGAAGAAGCCAAAGCCAACGGACTTGCAGTTGAATGGCCACCCTGTGGGCCAGGAGAATGCAAAGCACGGAAGTCCGAGCGACCACCCTCACCCAACCAAGAAGGTGAAGTCGTCCCATCGGCCATCACATTCGATCAGTTCCCAGAACGCAAAGCGAAGTCCTTCCTACGGAAATGGTGGGCGATCACAACCCAACGGCCACCCCCCAAGCCCAGCAACTACTCCCCCGGACCTTCCGAGCGATTTCCAAATACACAATTACTCGGACGGTTTCTTGTCCATGAGCAAAGAAGCAGACATCCCCATCACTCGCATCAATTCCTTTGCAAGCCTCTTCGTCTCCAATACCTTGTCAGTTTGGCTTCGGGAACCGGATCGTATGAGGCAAGAGACAGGCGAGGAATTCAACGATGTCTTTGCCAAGCTACCGAAAGACATTGACGCTCGCAAGCGTCAGCTTCACGTCGAGAGCAAGAAGATTCCTGTTTCGCCAGAGACGACATTACGATGGCAATATCTCGCTACTCCTGCCGCCATTGAGAAAGACGTCCCTCTGATTGAACTCAACGGCGTGATCGGATTCCAGAAGGACTACTGCGCAGATCCCGAAAACCTATGGGAGGAACTGTCGTCCCCGTTACCTTTTGTTTTCTTCCACCCCATGCTTCCTTTGTACATTGATACCAGGAAAGAAGGATCGATGGCTCGCTTCGTTCGAAGAAGCTGCAAACCCAACGCCCTGCTGGATACTTACCTGTCAGGCCAATCCGAGTATCATTTCTGGCTCATGAGCGACAGACACATCGCGGCAAACGAGCAAATTACTCTACCTTGGGACTTTAGGCTACCCAAGAAATTCCAGGCACGGTTAGTGCATCTGCTGGGCCTCGCTGACGACGACACCAATACGCAGAACGAGTCTGAGATGGACGAGGCTGAGTACCAAACACTATCGGGCTGGATTCATCGGATATTGTCCGAGTACGGCGGCTGTGCGTGTGACTTGGGTGCCAACTGTGCCTTTGCTCGCTTCCACAGACAACACCAAGCGAAGGTTCAGTCTCGGCCTCCCGCAAAGAAGAAGCAACGAAAGCCAAAAACCCACACCATCTCTCCCACCAGCACCGGACATGCTACAAACAGTCGCGCAGCCAGCGAGGGACACCAAGACGACGCTGACAACGACGGTCGTTCAGTTTCTGAGCGCAGCAAACCGCCTAGTCGTGATCGCACGCCCGTACGCCAGGGTTCATTGGATCGGCCAGGTATCCTCACAGAACCGACTGACAGGGACAAACGCAAGGTTCAAATGGTTGAAGACTCGTTCCGACGAATGGAACAGCAACAGCCTCCACGCAAGAAGAAGCGAACATCCGATGGCACGGCATCTACTTCCGGTTCTTCTAAAACGAAACAACGGAGCTCAACCAGCAACGCATCCAGTGGCACTACACACTACGTCGATGCGGGAACATCTCGAAGCAAGTCGAATTCCCCTTCAAGTGGCGTGTCACCAACGGCACAGAATCCGTTCAAGGCACCTGCCTCCAGAGCAGAGTCGGTCGGTTCCCAGTCCGGGCGAACGTCATCTACACCTCGTCCCGTTTACTGCGATGCCGGTGTACAAACCGACCCTGTCGAAGGCGAGTGGTACAGCGAGCCCGTCCAAACACCCAGGCCACGACGACGTATCATTTCTCTTTCGCAACGGTTGCTCAACAATCGACACCGCCTACGCTGTGATGAAGTTGAGAGACGCAAGTCACTCTCTTCTCTGTCCGCTCAGGAACCAACACCCATGGACGTGGATCAACCAGCCGAGGTCAAGCCTAGTGCTGATTCTCCCCTGCCCTCCAAGGCTATTGGCAATCAAGCCCGCGATACATCGCCAGCCGCTCCTCCTGCTGGTGATGTCGTGATGTCGGATGCTCCGACAAGTTCGCCAAGCACGGTCAAATCGCCCCTGCAGACCGACAGCGTTTCAGATGGACCCGCGAATGGCTCAAGCAGCCCGTTGAAGATGAGATCACCGGAGTTACGAGTCACGATGCCACCGGTCCCAGCCTTCAATGGACCCACATCGGCGACTCCCAGTGCTACAACGCCGTCGACAATCCAGTCGCCGTTCTCTGCAAGCAGTCTACCTAGTCCATTTGCTCCGACTGCAGTCAATGGTGTTGCGGCACATCCGAGTCCGGTCAAGAAGAAGTTGAGCCTTAGCGATTATACCAAGAGCAGGATGAACAAGGCTAAGCCTGCTGGCGCTCTGAAGACCTCATTGTCTGGCACTGAGGAGACGAAGCCAACGCTCGATGCTATTGTCGATTCTCCAGTGGTTGAGAAGAGTGCGGATGTTCTTACACCCGTCACGGGTAACACGATCAACTCGAATCCTGCGGCTGCGGCCGCCAACACGCTGTAACATAGAACGGGGTTCACGAGTTTCTCAGATGACACGGCGGCTTTTATTTCCCCTCTAAATATTTTCAAAAACGTTTCGGGGCGGCGACAGTCTGGTGATTGACTTTGGCGTTTGGGCAGCGACGGACAATGGGAATGGGAAAGGGGAAGGGGTTCCTCGGGTTCTGGTCAGCGCTTTTTCGGGAATGTCTTCAGATGAACTGCGTTTTACTGCTGTTTTTGGGAGGAGCTGCAAAAAAGAAAAATGCACGTCTTACGAAAAATACACAAGCCCATCTCGACACTATTTTGTTTTCGTCGTCTGGCAGGAAAGCTGAATCTTTTCTTCGATGGGAGGGTCTATGGCGTAACGTAAGGGGCAAACGGACAGACGCAGTGAAGAGCCGGGTATCGACCGATACGAGATGAAAAGACCGGGAAAGGAGGTTCCAACTACTCTTGCCACGAACGGCATGTTTTCGTGTGTATTTCTAGGCTTTGTTAGCTGTGCCGAGAGCGACGTGGAAGTTGCCTCGGTGCGGGACTACTACACCCCTCCCATGACAAATGGATGGCTCTTTTTTTTTCGCAGCTGGAAACAGGCTGCCTAAGTTTTCGCTCACACACTACTGCTTCCCTGATCTTTTACTTGTGTGAAGTGACTTTTTTGGATTCTATCTTGATTTTACCGACCATCTCTCAAGAGTGTCGATCTCGGGTCTTACATACCCGCCAGGTACTCTTACAGGGTATCTCAATTTCAAACCTTCAACCAATTCTTTTTTGGTATAGTACAGACAGACGGCCCTCCTGGCCGTGCCGTCCCCCATTGCGATGCGAGATCCAGACAGAAGAAAATAGTGACAAGAAAATCCTCGGAACGGGATACAATTCCGGGGCTGGTGAACATTGATAAACGTGCGAGGTCCAGAGGGTCTTTTATCTCGAGGCCCGTAACACACGGCAGGTCTGCTCAATATCTCTTGGTCGTCATACCCCAGTTATCCTCCTTAAAGATGAGCAGAGCGAGGCGATGGCGAACAAAGAGGCCAAACAGGCCGACAAAGAGCTGGAGGAAAGTGACCTCCCACGCGAGGCGGTCCTCTCTCAGGGGACCTCTCCAGACGAGCCACAGGTTGAGCAGGGTGAAGTTGCTCGTCTCCACGAAGCGGCCCTTTTCGTCCACCGTCACTTCCAGAAGGCGCAACTTGGCGAGCAGGTGCAGCCCTTGCGCGACGAGGGGCCGGGGTTGGCGTTCGGGGCTCCAGGGAGTCTTACTCGTTTCGAGGAGGCCGGTGCGAGCGTTGAATCGGGGCAAGCGGTGACGGGGGCAGGGGATGAGACCAAAGATTTGGGGCGTCGAGTAGAGGAAGTTGAAGAGCTGGGGGACGAGGAGGAGGCCAAGCGTCTTTGAGAAGTGGCCGAGGATGCCGACGGTGGCGAAGACCATGCCGGAGAAGTAACAGTAGGTGTCGCCGACGAAGACCTTTGCGGGGTACCAGTTGTGCAGGACGAGGGCGAAGGAGACGCCGAGCCAGGGGAGGAGGAGGTAGAGGGAGAAGAGGTGGGAGTCGGTGGCCGGGTGGGGGTAGGGCGTGAAGAGGTAGAGGCAGTCGTTCAGAACGAGGAGGAGGGAGACGACGATGCACTGGGAGACCTCGATGCCGTTGATGCCCGCGAGCATGTTGATGGACTGGGGGCAGAACATTGCGATGCAGGACATGTAGATGTAGTAGAGGACGCCGAGGTCGAAGAGCTCGCCGAGGTAGGGCTGGAGGGGGATCGGGATGACGATGGAGGTGACGCCGAAGTCGACAAAGTAGATTACGAGGATGGGGACCGAGGCCAGGCCCGGGATCCACCACTTGTGTCGCCATCGGATGTCGAAGAGGTCGTCGCCAATGCCGAGGAGGGCGGTCGTCTGGAGGGAGATGATTGCGGATAGGTAAGAGGCGAGCTGAGAATTTGGGATGTGTCAGTGAAAGGCTTCTCGTGATGGCGTTGCGCCCAAGGAGACACGAGGTAGACTGACCTTGCTATGGGGGAAGCGATGGAGGAATCGTCCCTGCTGTACATGCTCAACCTGGAACACAACGTCCCTGTTTCCACCACCGCTAGTGGCGGCAACAATGTCCTTGTAGAAGGGGAAGGGGATGAAGACGATGACGACGAGTAGGTAGACGGCAGCGCAGACGGCGCCCATGCACTCGGGCAGCTCAGGGCGGTGGTGTTTTGAGAGGTCGCGACCCTTGAAGCCGGCCTGCTTGAAGACTGGGCCAAGCCATCGGATCATGGAGTAGGCCAGCGCAAAGGCCAGGACTGAGAGGGCCAGTGACGCTATCAGGGGCTCGCCCTCGCCCTGGAAGGCGTTGAGGAGGACTGCGACTGCGGCAAAGGAGAGGGCTCCCAGGCTCAGGGTCTCGGTTCGGGTGAGGGTCGGAGAGGAGGTTGAAGAGGAAGCCATCGTGGGCTATGGTATCGTCGGGTCTTGCGGGCAAGAATGCGCCCACGGTGGTGGTGGTGGTATTAGCAGCTCTGTTCAGTTCCGGTGTCGGTTCCTTTACTTCTTGTAGGAGCCTAGACTTGGCTGTGGTGCGATTGCATTGTAATCTTGTGCGCAAGGTGAGTAGACAGGTGCGCAGGTGGTTTTGTTTTCGGGAAAGAGTGGTTGAAGCTGCGACAATGGAAAGAAGTGAATAGCCGCAATTATCAAAGGTATTGCGACGGGACACAGTTGCAGAAGGTGGAGGAGGGCTTCGTCAGTTTGGAGAAAGAGGTCCCCACTCACTTCCAGGGGGGGCCGCGTTATCGATGGTGGCTTTCCCTTTTCAAGTCTTCTTTTTTTGGAGTAGTGTATGCGGATGGATAGAGTGTGGAAACCACGCTGAACTTTCCCATGTGGGCACTGGGCTCTCCGGGAGGCTGCGGGGCAGATACGCAGTGCGGCAGTGGGCAATGGAGGTTCAGGGAGCGTCAGGAAAGGAAGGCGTGGAATTGGCAACCGAAGTGGAGCCGGGGAACGGTTACAAGTTACAACCTTCCACCTCATTGCAGCTGTTGCAGCTTCTGGTCTGTGCGAGACTTGGCTCTTGAGAACTGGAAAGGCGGCGCATTGACCAGTGGTTGAGTCTGTACGCAGTAGTATCCGTAATCTGACAGTTGTAAATGAACTCTATCTCTAAAGTTGATTGATTACAAACTCTAAGACTCTCGTTGCATTGGTAATTGGAACTTCATCATTTATTTCCTAACAGGCTTCGTGCTCATAGGTACTTACACTACAGCCGTATATGCATTTGATACAATTTACAATTCCGCCGTGACAGCTGCCTGCCTTAGATAAGTACATGAAGCTTACAAACACCATTCCAGCTCGCAACCAATGACCACCAGCTGCGGAAACTAAATCAGAAAACGCGGAATTAAGCATGCCACGGCAGAGAGATGACGGAATGCCCAACACTGCCGATTTGCCGTACTGGTGGTCAGCCCCGAATCCCATTGTCCCTTTGCGGATCTCCATGGATAATCCACGGCTCCGTCTCCAACGAACCCCGCGTCCTAGACTCTCCCGTCGCCGTCACCGCCTATCGTTGAGAAACAAGATCCGAGGTTGCTTGTCCTTAGTGTGTACCTTAGTCTCAGAGGTCCACCACACCCTACCTAAGGTAGACTCAACCTGCATTCTTCTCATTCTTTGTGTATCCATACTATGTGCCCCTCCAATCCCCGATCCCCCAGACCCCAACTATGCCCGCCTCGAAGCGGGTACGGAGATAAAAACCTGGAGTTGTTAGCCCCGACTCAGAGAACGCAGAGGGGAGCGAAAACCCCGGCGGCGGAAGAGAGGCTAAAACGCACCTTCCTGCAGGTTTAGCCTGCAAGTCGCAAGGGGGGGTCGGCCGAAAGATGATGGAAATGGGGACTTTGGACAGTACTGGTCGAATAACGTTACACCATTCACCTCGACTGATCGTCGCCCTTGCCTCGCCCTCGCGCCCTTCCCTACACATAGTACACAAGGGTAGATGCGGCAACTGGGGGGAAAAGGAAAGGAGAGGAGAGGGGGGTCTCGGGTTAGAATTACTAAAGCAGTTTTCCTTACTGCTCACGCCGTAGAGTCACGGCAGCGCAGCTGAGTAGGTATTATTGCTAGGTGGATATATACGCCAGGCACGCGGATACTTGCTTGCTCCTCCCGCCGGCTGCTACTTCCGGGCCCATTGCTCTTTCCCATCCTCATTCTCAATTTCCCATTCATTCTCTTTTCACCTACAAAACCCCCTCCTTCCTAATTTTCAATCTCGGGTGGTATCACTTCCAACTACTTGAACCAATCTTTTTATCGACTGCTCATTCATAGGCATCATCCACTTTTGTCAGCCAAGAATGACGTCCGAGAAGGACGTGGAGACGCCGGCCGGCGCCCACGGGCACCGAGCATCCTCTTCGGAGCAGGGCACCCTGACGGAACGGGACACTCGACAAAACTTCAACGCATCAAGCGATTTGGAAAAGGGTGAAAAGACTGAAATGGAAGAGAGAAAGAGCTTCGACGATGTTGAGGACACGCCCGACAGCGAGCCGTACCAGGAGGTGAGTTTCAACCTTCTCGCAGATGTTCCTTGGCAAGACTTTCGCGCCTGCCTAAGAGTTTGCCAAGGCTCAATGGCCATTGGCACTATATTTGTCTTTTCCTATGACTTCTCTGGGAGTGCCCAATTCCTTTACAACCTAATGTCTTTTATACTTCATGATACTCGTTCTGCGCTAACTCCATTTCCAGGACATCGTCGTCGAACGCATACATACAGGACACTCCCACACCAGCGCCAAAAGTCGGCTCTCCCGCATAGCAAGCCTAGCTTCCTCCCGCCGCAAAAAGGAAAAGGAGCAGCTCCCTCCCACGATCCACCCCGTCTCCGACCTCGACAATGGCCTCGTCGGCTGGGACTCCCAAGACGACCCGGCCATGCCCATGAACTTCCCCCGGCGCCGCAAGTGGATCATCATCTGGTTCCTGGCCGGCATCACCTTCATGACCCCCTTCGCCTCGTCCATCCTCGCCCCCGCCATCGAGTACCTCAACGAGGACTACGGCAACGCAGACCTCACCCTCGGAACGCTGCCCGTGAGCATCTACCTCCTAGGCTACGCCGTCGGCCCCCTGATCCTCGCGCCCCTCTCCGAAATGTACGGCCGCCGCCCTGTCCTCACGGCCGCAAACTTCTTCTTCTGCGCCTGGCTCATAGGCTGCGCCCTCGCGCCCACGCTCAACTCCCTCATCGTGTTTCGCTTCCTCACGGGCATGGGCGGCTCCGGCTGCCTCGCCATCGGCGGCGGCGTCATCGCAGACATGATCCCCATCGCCGAGCGCGGCACCGCAATCTCCATCTGGATGGTTGGGCCCCTCATCGGCCCGACAATCGCCCCCATCGTCGGCGCCTTCGTCGCTCAGGACGTGGGCTGGCGCTGGTGCTCGTGGATCGCCTTCATCGCCGCCACGCCAATGGCCCTCGTCATCGCCGTCTTCAACCAGGAGACCAACCCCCGCGTCCTCATCGACCGCAAAGTCGCCCGCCTCCGCAAAGAACTGAACCGCCCCGAGCTCCGAAGCGTCTACGACGACACCACCGCCCCGGGCACCGCGCCGAAGTCCACCTCCCAGGTCCTCCTCCGCGGCCTCGTCCGCCCCATCAAGATGCTCTTCCTCTCCCCCATCCTCTTCAGCGTAAGCCTCTACTGCGCCTTCGCCTACGGCGTCCTCTACCTCCTCTTCAGCACCATCCCCCTCGTCTTCTCCTCCACCTACGGCTTCTCCGTCGGCACCACGGGGCTCGTCTACATCCCCCTCGGCCTGGGCTACCTCATCGGCATGGCCTGCTTCACCCTCCTCTCCGACCGCACCGTCGTCCGCATGACAAAGGCCAACAACGGCGTCTACGAGCCCGAGATGCGCCTGCCCGACTGCATCTACTTTGCCGCCCTCCTCCCCGTCACGTTCTTCTGGTACGGCTGGACCGCCCAGTTCCACACCCACTGGGCGGCCCCTGTCGTCGGCCTGCTGCCGTTCGGCATCGCCATCCTCGGCATCTGGCAGCCCATCCAGGCCTACGTCATCGACGCCTACCCGGCCTACGCCGCCTCCGGCATGGCGGCCTTTACGGTGTTTCGCAGCGTCGTCGCCGCCTTCTTGCCCATGGCGGGTCCGTCCATGTACGACGCCCTCGGCCTCGGGTGGGGCAACAGTCTGCTGGGGTTCATCGCCATTGCGCTCATCCCCGTGCCGGCGCTGATTTATCGGTACGGAGGCCGGTTGCGCAAGTGGCAAAAACTAGAACTTTGATGTTGGAGAGAGAGAGAGAGAGAGAGAGACAGAGAGAGAGTGTGTGTGTGCATAGGGTTTGTTAGATAGACTGGGCTTTCTGAGGAGAGTGTGATAAAATTGCAAGATACCCATTAGATGTAGAGTTTGTAATCAATCGATTGGATCATCGCTTCGTGTCACTTTGGCCGTGTTTCGTCTCATATCTTAGCAGTGCTGAGCTAAAGACATCGTCCCCGTGCCTGACCCCTGAATGGATTCGACTTACATTGCAGGGAAGCACCAAAGTAAGCGAGTTAAAGTTACAGCCCCAGGAAACCAAAGTTCAAGGCACGGGGCGTGATCCAAAAAAGTCCCATTATCATTATTTATAAACGATATAATGTTCGGCCGTCACAGTCGTCAATAGAAACTCCTCCCTCCTCATATCTCATGCGTCAGTCGCCCCTTTGCCCTCAAATGAGCTCCCACTTCATGAGGAACGTCCAAGCCATACCGCACCTCCCTTTCTTGGAAAAGTAGTAGTCGGCCGTCATGCCCCTGGCGTCCTGCCCGTCAATCGTGGTGATCATGGCTATGCTGACGCTCTGGCCCGGCGCGCCGAGGTCGATGGCGTTGACGTCGGCCCAGTGCCAGAACCCGTCCGTCTGGATGGGCACCATGTCGTCCTTGCGGCCGTCCCGCCCCTTGATGCTGAGGAACAGCAGCGGGGGCTTCCCCTTGCCGTGCTTCTCCGAGGTCCAGTGCTCGCACTTGTTGGACCACTGGAAGCGCACGACCTGGCCGCTGTGGACGGGGATCTGGAGCTCCTTGGGTTCGACGGTGTGGTCCCAGACGCCCTCTTCGTACGCGTGCGTGTAGACGATGGGTTTGTCGCCGTGGACTGGGCCAATGTAGTATTCCTCCCAGGAGGGTACCCTGCCGTCGGGTCGGAAGAAGTGCCTGTCGTCGCTTGGGTAATGCGAGAGTCCAAAAATGTCGTTCCTCCGTGTGAACTCGTGCGGCTTGAAGGACTTGGTGTATTCTTTTGTCACGTCAGAGACGTTGCCGGCACCCCAGCAGGCGTCGAGCAACTTCCACTCCCCGCCGTCGATTCGTACCGCATTCCACGCATGGCCGTCGGCCTTCTTCGGCGGCGGACGCTCCCCCTTCTTCAGCGCGGTATATCCGTACCCTTTCCCGTGGCCTACCACCGTGATACACTCCAGACCCGCGCGAGTGGCGATTTCCCTGTACGTGTCCGCATACCCTGAGCAGACCGCTTTGCCCATAAGAATCGTTTCAGCTCCCGAGCGACCCCTGATATTATTGCCGAAGAAGGCCGCGCAGTCGTAAGCGATATTATGGTGAAACCAGGTGAAGATTGCCCGCGCCTTGTCTGTGAGTGATGCAAAGGGCCCGCAGAGCATTTGGGCCAAATAGCCCACTGGGTCGTTTCGAGGGAGTACGTGTATGGGATATTGGGCAGCGACACCATCCGGCCCGGAGAAGTCGCGACAAATCAGACAGTCGTTCGCACGCTCAACCACTCTGGCCGAGACCGCCTCGATTTGCGCAGCGCTTGGCCGCGAGCTGAGAGGAACTGGAGGCGGTGCGTCATCATTCGGAGTTGGTCGTCTCCCTGGCAGTGGCGGCCGGTCGTTGGCTTGTTGATCCTGGTTTGTCGTCGGGGGCGGTGGCTTAACGTAGGCCGCTGGCGGTGGTGGTAATCTTCGTGGCTTTGCTGGTTCTTCTTCCTCCAGCGTGTGTCGGTGGACTTGCTGGGTGGTTGATTTTGAGGTTAATCGTGGGGGTAGTACTGGTCTCTGAGGAGGCTCAATCTGTCGGATTGCGGGCGATGATTTGACCGAAACCAGAGGGAACTTGGGCTGAGCGGCGGCTTCCTTTGCTTGGGCAGCTTCTCGCTCCCTCTTGGTCGGTGGCAAGGGTGGTAGCTTTGCCTGATCTAGGGTGGGAGGCAGCTTTCGTGTTGGGCCATCAATCGAGTGAACGCTGGTTGCTGACGATATAGTTTGGTTCAGGGAGAGAGACGACAGGTTAGAAATCTCGGAAGCGTTCGAGTTACGGCGAACCGTCAATTGTTGTGTAGATGGCCTCCGAGGGGGTAGAGCTGGTGAGATTTGCTGGGTCGAAGAACGGGTTGGCAGGGGTGGAGGTGCAATGCGATCCCTGGGTGCTGGTGAAGTTGACGTTTCGACTTGGGATGAATCGGTGGTTCGTCGCGGTAACGGTGGTGGGGCGGGCTTTGCCGGTGCAGCGGCCTTGTTCGGTCGAGGAGGGATCGAGGGACTTTTCTGCGGCGTGGGAAGTCCATTCGTTTGAGTGACGGGGAGCGTCTGACTGCGTGGAACAGGACGATTTGTTGGCGGCGGTGGAGGAGGAGGCCTCTTAGCCTTCGCTTCTGGTGCTTGGAAGTTCTTTTGCTGGTTGAGGGCGGCAATTCTTTCAGCCAAGGAGTTGAACTTGGGCTCCTCGACGTCGGCCATGGTTGAGTCTCGGGACTTGAGTGAGGGGGATCTAGTGAAAGGCGAGAGTTGGTGGTGTGCCGCAGCTCAAGGGGATGAGAAGTGCGAACAGGTGGTTTGTATAAACGATGGATGAAACAAACGACTGTCGATTATTGGTGTTTACCCCACCAATCCAGTTCGTGTTGATTGCGGCGCGATGTCCCAATTGAGCAATAGGCAGCAGGCAGGCTTTCGTGACTGAGTCACGGAGCCCTAGAGGCGATTGGGACTTTTGCGCGGCGGGGTTTTTAAGAGCAAAGTGATGATATCGGTGCCGGACTGGATCTGTAGAGAACGGCGGAGTGTGTCGAGCAATCGACCAGGGGTCTGACGAAACAGATAAATGAGTTGGAGGGATACTGCAGACAGCTTTGTATAAATGTGCTTGCTGTCACGGTAATAGTAGTCGAGGTTCGAAAGAGAGTAAGCTAAATGTGTGGCTACTGGTGTGGCCTTGGAGCGGAAACGAATGCTAGCCGTGAAGGATTGGCTGGAAGATGGCTCGGCCACGGACAAGTGTAATCGTACAGCGTTTCTGTACCTCTGTACCAAGCTGATGCCAATACGTACAGAGATGGATGTGGGGAGTTGAGAGATGCTGGATTGTGGCGAAGCTCTCAGCCTTCGGGTTGATTGCCGGTGCAAACAAGGCGAGGATGGGAACGCAAGCTCGCCTCAGGCAGTGGTGACACTGGTGGTCAGGCCAGGCAGGCAACAGGAACGGTGCCGCCTGGTAGGCCCACCGGGTCGGAGGTAGGAGGCTGGCAGGCGCGGGACGCGAGAAGCTTAGCCGTGACAAGGACGGGGATAGGAACGATAGTGGACAAGAGAAGAATGAATGAGTTAAGTTACGATATCCTTACAAAGTACGAATTGATGAAGAGGAAGGGGGGCAATGGGGAAAGGAGAGGCGTGAGAAGAGAAGCCCAACAAGGTTTTGCAGGAACCGGGGCCAAACCCGGACTCGACCCAAATGTTGGTTGCACGCAGCTGTACAAAGTATCCGTAAAAAAGGTAGGGTATGTCCCTCTTTTCCAGGTTCGCAAAGCAGCACAAGCGCGCAAACACAGATCAGGAAACAGCAAGCAGCAAGGGGTGGGATGAGGTTGGTTTGAGGGAGAGTGACGGGTATCTGCTTTATTTAAAATAGAAAAGATGGGAAAGACAAAGGAGCATGGGGCCATAGACATGGTAGACTTGGGAACGCCAGGGCCAGGCACGGCACCCATACCCATGCCTCGCCCCGTCTGAATTTGCACTTCTTGTCCAAGACTTCAAGGTACGGATACCAGTACCTACACTAAGAGACGAAAATCCATCTGTACATGGCTGATACTCTACTCAGCCCAGCACTTTAGCTTGAAGGTCTGGCCTCTGCTACTACGTACGAGCTAGAGATACGGCCACAAGTATCTCTCGAGGAGAATGGTACCTGAGATTGGAGAGTACATAAGGTACGCAGCATTGGTGCTAAGAAGAAGGTAAGAAGGTGGGCTGGGCTGGATCAGTCGGCACAGCCCAGCCTTGCTAGTGGGGGATTGTGGGGATTTCCCCTTGAAGCGGATGCGCTAAGGCCGATCGTCGCCTCACGCTTGCGCCAAGTCTAGCGCTGGACCTGTCTTGAATGGCGGCTGCCTGGTATTGGATTCTCTTCTTACCTTACCATCAGCATCTCGTCTATTGTGTTGGAATTGGGCTTTTTCCATCAGCAGGTACGCCGTTGAAGAGGCCGTTTCAAACCCCAATACCGGGTTTCTGCAAGCAGTGACTGAATCAAAGTGAGTAGGTACTTATTCAGAGAATGGGGACTTCCTGATGCTGCCCCTTCTCCACATGAGCGTCATTGCGCCCCGTAAAGAACCATGTCTACCGCGGAGATGCGACACTAGCAGACGGCAAACGTAAGCTGCCGTAAAACTTACCGTAGCCAAGACTACATCCCTCATGTTTCTCTCAGCCTCTGTCCCTTGATGCTAGTTGTCTGGGTGGACAGTCAATAGAACCTGAACACCTAAACATGCTTCCAACTAAGATGATATCTTGGTCCTCTCTTGAGGTACTGGCTGATTGAGTCGACATTATGGCAATGACGTGGGTTCCCGCAGGTATGTATCTATGTGAGATCCTACATGTTCGCCAAGGGTCTTGTCTGGGGTCAGATCATGAGAGCATATTTCAATGTTCGTCTCATTTGTCGATGGTATCATGTCGGGAAGGTGCAGAGAAACTACTATTTTGAGAAGAAGAGGCCTGGGTATAAGTTTGAGGTCAAGGGTACGCGCAGAGCATTTATCAATGTATGCGACGATAGTGGGTGGTTTTCTTTCTCTTGATAGTCGCATAGCAAAGGGCTTTGAGATAGAAGACAAAAGCTGGGACAGTTGAACCAGAACCGGAACCGCGATACGTTGGTAAAGAGAGGGATGAGACATGTCTATGAAGGGCATGTGTTTCTATCCGTCCATTTGAATACAATCGGTAGGGGTTCTTCAAAGGCCTGATAGGTATGACAGGTGAAAGAAGGGGACGACGGTGACTCTGCTCCGTACCTCAGACGGGAGTTGCAACGGCAGGGAGGTGGAGCCGGCCGGGTTAGAGTGCTGCGAGCTGCGCGTGCTGCTGCGAGCCATCCTTGAGTCCCACGATACGGTAGCCCTTGAACGTCAGGATAATAAGGTAAGTACCTCAAGGTGGGCGAGACGCTAAGCCCTTATCTCTCCCTCTGGAACCAGCAAATGGAAGCGCCCATGAAGACAGCGAACCTGTCATTGAACGCTTAGTCATCGCCGAGGTGGATGGTAGTGCCTGTAAGGTATCCGTCCTTCGTACGGAGTAGTGATGGAGAGTCTAGGGCAGCTGCTCGCCCGCCAGTGGAGTGTGGCTGCGACCTACAGCCCCGTGCACAGGGAAGGGACCCCGGGGAGATCATTGACCACCCATTTACCTGCAGGTTCCATGCATCTTTTCTGCCAGTGACCTACGAAGTAGGGCGGCCCTTAGGCTGGAGGCTGGAGCCCATGGGCCACCCATCCCTGGGCTCCCAGGGTACATAGGTTTGCGCTGTCGGTGGGCCGAGGGCGGGCGCATCGTTCGCTGTCTGGCTGGCCCGCCCCGTCACTTCTCGCCTCCAACGCCGACCACCACCACCACCACCACCACCACTTCCCACCGTGACGCTGCACCCTCCGCCTCCGAAGACGCCCCTCCTCCACTCCCAGTCAGTCACTCAGTCAGTCTTCTGCAAGTCGCAACTATTCTTCTGCCCTGCCCCTGCTCGCCTACCCGCGCCTAGCCTCGCTATCCATTCCATTCCCAAGTTCCTTCCCGTCCACTTGCAGCTTGCCATTGTCCGTTGTTCGTTGTCTCCATGTCTCCAAGGGTGTCTGTCTCTTCACCCTCCCCAACATAAGGCCGGCACAAGCCAATACCTGTATTTTTACATTTCCTCACGCAAAAAGAGGACAACGACAGACGTAGACCCGTCTCCGTCTTCTGTCCATTCCCACAAAGTCGCTTGCTTTCCATTCCAGTTTACTTTTAATTCCGTTTCTGGCATCCTCTTCACTGCGCCTCCGACGACCTTCCCAAGTTCCACCCATCGCGAATCGAGTTGGCGTATCCGTACTCCCCTTCCTACCTATGCGCCACACTTCGCCCACGATGGATTCACCCCAGTCTTGCGACAAGGCTACCACTACCACCTCCGAGCCCGCACCCAAACCTCTCGGCTTTCTTGACCTTCCTCCCGAGACCCAAAAGGACATCTTCAGCCATGTATGCCCTTTCCTTCCGCCTACGGCTCATGTCGCAATGTAACTGACCCCTTCTAGTGCTGCCAAAGCGACCTGATTTGCCTCTCCCTCGTCTCCAGACACTTTCGCGAACTCGCTGCCGCCCAGCTATACCGCAACTTTCACATCGTCTTTCCCGATGAAGATGATCCATCATTCGATTCACCCATCGACAGCCTGGCTGGTGGCCTCGACACCTTCGTATCGAGCGAATACGACTATGCCCAGCATCTTCGTGATATTTCCCTCGATACCCTCAGCGCGGGCGACAAGGCCGAAGCTGCATATAAGCCATACTTGTACAGCGCCAGCTGCGGCAAGTTCATGAACACATTGCTATTTCTCACCCTCAAGAATGCAAAGTCCCTCGAGACCTTCAGGTACGTAGGGTTGGCCTCCATTTGCGCATCGTCCCCGCTGACAGCTCGGACACCAGGTGGAACATCCGAGTCGAGCTAAGCCGGCCTGTGTACAAGGCGTTACACCAGATTGCGACCCTCAAGAACCTCCACATCCGAATGCAAGCCGGGCCGTCCCTCTTCGAGATCCCCCCTCCACTACCGTATTCGACGAATCTACCGCCGCCTACATCCACTCAAGGTCATTGGGACCCGTTGCCGGCCTTTTCCTCGATACCGCCCCCGCCTCCTCCTTTCGCAAGCATGTCACTGAACGTCCCGCCGCCGTACAATCCATCTTCTCTCAGTTCTCACCCACCCTTACCGCCTGCGTTGAAGCCGACGCCCCGAAGTAGGCGTAGGACGTCCGCCCACGAGCCCGCAACGTTGGGCGGGTTCCGCAAGCTGAATTCTTTGGTGGTTCTCGACATCGATACCTTGGATACAGTTACAGAGATCAAGTCATGTGTGCGCAATTCGGCGTCTACCTTGACGAAACTGAAATTGTCCTTCTCGACGTATCTTGCTCTGCAATCGCGAAAGCCGCCTCCGGACACCGATCCTGACGACTCGGACCAGGATGACGAGTTCCAAGTCGTTCCTCTTCCATCAGCGCCCGGTTGGGATGAAGCGAGTGGGCCGGCAAAAGCGTTTCGCGCGCAAGAGGAGAGGAAAAGTCAGGAGTCAGTTTTGGGCAGGATCTTTGACGTGGAGCCATTCCTGGCAAAGAAGTCACAGCATCGCAAGAGTCTGAAAGGGAAGGCCAAAATTGATAATCCGGCTAATACGCAAGAGGCTGGCTCACCCGCCGAAGCCTTCATGAACAGGTTGCGAGAGGTCTCGGGTAAACTGATGGCAAGCGTGGCGGAGGGCGATACAGATGACGGGTCAAAGCAAGAAATCCTAGAGATGATCGAGAAAGCCAGCCGGAAGTATTTGGAAGCAGAGGAGGCGAAAACGGCGACGGAGGCAGCGAGAGAGAAAGAAAACACGACATCAGCTGAAGCGTGCTCTTCCACTGGTGCGGGATCGTCGTCCGCCGCGACAACAAGCGTTCAGCCGGCGACAACTGTCGAGGTTTCGAGTGCTTCTACTGCCGGGACAGATATCAGCGCCAAGACCAAGACCACACCGGCAGCCGATTCTAACCCCGAGGATATCAACGTGGAAGAGCCCATTGCTGCTGACGAGGCTGAGGCGATCGAACGGGTTCAGGCTGTCGCTCCCGAGACGAGCTCGTCAGTTCAAGAACCTGCATCGCCTACCACGGTGCGAGCAAAGGCCGCGTTGGAAGCTCAAAAGGCGAACTTTGAAACACTGGTTGCTCGTCTACAGCACTTGTTATCCGAAGCCACAAGTCTCCAGGAGAAACTTGAGGACTTGCGAAACACGACGAGCGCTTTCGACCGGGACCACATTCGATATGCCGAGAATCAGTTGCAGGGCTTCTACCGCGATATTGAGAACGTTCGGTCCGAGCTGAATGCGACTGAAGCAGAGATTCGTGAAGTAGAGAAGCAAGTCAACGGCATAGCCACGACAGCACATAGCGAGGACGAAAGAATCAGCGAGTATATCCGGGCGACCAGAGGCGTCGCTCTGCGATCCTTTAGTGTTCACCTCATCCCAGTCAAGGCCTCTGTCTTCAAGGCAGCCATTGACGTGAGAGTGCTAAAGAGGCTGACGTTGCTAAATGTCGGCAATCAAGCTCCCATCTGGACTATGTTGACCAAGGAAAACAAGGCACAGCCGCTCCCCTTACGCAAGATCTTCACGGATAACGTGTCCATGCCTTTCCTGACATTTGCATCGCAATTGGAGCAGATCACCGAATTGTTCATGCTTGAGCGGTCGTCCAAGTACAAGCCCGAGAGCTTCGCGCCCAAGACCAATGTCATCATGGACCAGATCCGCCGTCTTGTTCTCAAGAAGCACATGCCGACACTTACTCGACTGATGATCAAGAACGATTCTCAAATGAGCTGGGATCTGGATGAGAAGGCCATGCTGCTCATTTGCAACCGCGGAAAGCATCTCGAAGAGCTTGCGGCCTCGCTTGGCATTCGCGCCATGGTACGTTATCTGAGAAGTTGTGCGTGTTCCAAACTAATCAGTCTCTTAGCACACATTCATGCAACACCTCGGAGGGCTGGTAAGCCTTCGAGCTTTAAACGTAATCTCGTTCAGAAACGATGATACCTGTGTCTGGGTGATGCGCGAGACCCGCAAGTTCCTCGTCGATAACCTTAGCCACCACCCCCACATGAAGCTCGAATGGATCTCAATCGACGATGACCGGGTTGAGCGCATCATCCGCCCACCACCACAGACCCCGGCTGCCAAAGCCGAAGAGAAGAGAAACAAGAAGGGCAAGAGTAAGCCTGCTGGCTCTGCTTTTGGCGCCTTTGGTGGCCCGGGCACCTCCACTGGCTCAGGTGCCCCGGGTAGCTTCCCACCGCTGCCTATGCCGGGATGGGAAACGGATAGCGACAGCGACGATGAAGACACCGATATAATTGCCAACACCAAGCTGGAAACCGTTGAAGGCGTCCATTTTTATGATGTTTGGGACGTCCGTATTTTCAAGAAGGAAATCATGGCCGGAAGGCTGTGAACGAAGGCCCCGAATGTTGAGGAAGAAGTTGTCAACGGAGAGCAGGAGAGAGACACGGGGCTGAAAAGAGTGTTGGAAAACCCGTGGGCTTGGAAAGAATATGTAGCAGACGAAACGGCGTTCATTGGTTTCACTTGGATGGGGTTCATATGGGCAATACCCGGCACTAAAGGGAATCAAGGCCTGGCGCATTAAGGTACGGGAAATGGGGTATTATGGGATATCTTCGGGCTGTCCCAATCTACCCATGGCGTAAAGTAGCGACCTCGTTTTTGTTCAAAGCATCATTGGGTGGGCTTACATTGCCCCCTTGCCATGTTCATATCATACACCAGTCAATTGTGAGATGTGTGTAGAGTTTGCTATGACATATTGGTCTCCTATCGCAAGCCCCATCCATCCATCTCAGTATCCCAACACTCTGTTCTTAAGTCCGGCCCGTCTCTCCAGAATCCATCTTAACCTCGATATCGAAAGTCAGGCTCTCTCTCTCTCTCTCTCTCTCTCTCTCTCTCTCTCTCTCTCTCTCTCTCTCTCTCTCTCTCTCTCTCTCTCTATCCCTCTCTCTCGTGTGTAGTCCCCGCCAAGGACGTGCCTCATTAATCTCAGTAATACTCATCATCTGCTCTATCTTCTTGATACTCTTCTCCATAACCGTGATATCGGTATTTCGACTTGTGAGGCTTGTGTGAGGAAATGGAGTCGGTGACCTTATGTGTGAGGATTGTGTAGATACAGGCGAGTGGGACGTTGTGAGAGAGCTAGATGCGGTAGACCTCGAAGCTGTACTGATCAGTCAGGATTTACTTTGGCCCCTTCGATGAGGTTGGTGATGACGAGTTTAGTTATGAGGTGGGTGAGGTTGGTGATGATGGGCATTTTGGAAGAGTGTGGTATTGAAGTTTAGGGAGGGCGGGTTGCGTTGTACGTTGACCAGGGATCGGGGATCGGGGAGGTTGTTGATCAGAGAAGGTATGTGTGAGTGAGGGAATGCCTCAGTAGATTAAATGAGAGTTGGAGGAGGTATGAAGACTGAAAGGATAAGAGGTAGGAGTCTGGAGTTGAGCTGATAGAAAGGTATGTGGCATGTGATCGGAAACTCCATGGCGAATGCCTTTTACTTATCTGGCGCGCCTGGGTATCAGAGAACCCTTTGAACAGACGTTGGAGTTTTGGAATCACAGGTGTATGTAGGCTCTATACTCGTGCCTCCAAATGATGGTATCCTAGATGCCTTCCCTTGGCCCGGATGAGAGATGGCTTTCATTGTGACATCAATTTGAAGATAAGGGGTCTTTGAGTGACAGGCAGGTGGGCAAGTCGGAAGAATGCCGCACCACCACTCCTCGTACCGTGGTCTCTGTTGTTCGTCCACAGCCATTTAAATGCTCTTCTTTCCTGATCATCAGAGGTCTGAGAATTGTTAGTAGGTTCATTGGTTTGGGAGCCTATAGGCTGTGGAAGTAAAGAGTATAGATGTTCCAGATAGTGAAAGAATTCCGTCCAGAAGAGGAAGGGGTAGAGAAAGAATTCGCAAACGGTATAGTTACACATGTCAACCATTCATCATAATACTCATGCTAGGGTCGGCACGTTCTCACATTTGTAGCCTATCGACGGAGGCTGTAGGAGGCAATTCTTGCTGGCCGAAGAATATCGTACAATCTAGTCTACCTACTTAGGAGTGCGCCTTCTGTTGAGGTACTGGAAGGGGAAAAAATAAAATAAGATTCCATCATGGGGAATCGAACAAAAAATTAAGCGATTGTTCGACTTGGCTCTGGAAGAACGGGTTCCACTGGCGCCCCCTTAGCCCCTCGGCCAAGTGTCCCAATTCACTTGTATTGATGGTGAGTAGAGATGAAAATAGACCCAAGTACCCTCTTCGCTTTCACAGTGTATTGTATTCGCTAGGATGAATATACGTGTGTGCACCGGACCGCTTGCTCACCCTAAGTTGCTGCCATTCAAGGAGTACATGTTCGCATTATATGGCTGGGATGTACACATAGCTGGTAATCTGAAAGACACCATTAGAGCTACAGTACTATCGGTTTATTACTGAAGTAGATCAAACCGTCCCTTTGCATTGTTCACTTGTCTGTCTTCTCAAATCAAGCATGGCATCAAATACCACCCTCAACTGCCTGCTGGCCAGGGTGTAGAGGGAGAAAGCTACTACCGTCGTATTGCGATACTTCGCTCCCCCATCAACTGTCAAGTAACACTGAAGTTGGGATAGGATACAGTATAGATCAGGGGGTGACATAATAAGTCAGATTTTTGTTTGGGTATCAATCTCCTCTCCTTAAAGCCGCCAGCAGTTCGACGCTATTCTATGCCGCTTTCTGGTCCATAAGCGCCATGATCTCATCTTCCTCATCCCCTTCACCAGCCCTCCTCCTAGCTTCCCTCTCAATCCCAACTCTGGTAGTCATACCACCAGCAAGCATCCCAGTCTCCTTCACCCCTCTAACCCACCCCTCGAGACTCCTCATCCCCACGACAAGGAAACCGAGCTCCTCCCTCTCGACATCAAAAACCTCCCACCACGCCACCTCGGGCATCTTGGCCCCTGCCTCCCGTGCGGCGATATACACCGCCGCCGTCGCGAGCGCGTTGGGCTGGTGCGTCAAATACAGCATCTGCGGGCTCAACAGCGCCGTGTTGAGGTGCGCGACCACCCGGCCCGCCACCTGCGCCCTCGGCTTCCCGAGGAAGTCGAGCGCCTGGAGATACGTCACGGCCAGCGCGTGCGGCAGCGCCACGGCCGTGTCGAAACTCAGGGCCCATAGGATCCGTGCCTCGGCCGCCAGCATCCGCGTCTGGAAGGCGGCGTACTCGCCTTCTGTCTGGTAGTACGTCGTTGGGTCCGGGCGGGGGCGCTTTTTCTGGTCGTCGTCTGGTGGCTCGCCGCGGAAGAGGGTGGAGGCTGGGGAGAGGAGGTAGGCGTATACGTTTGAGACGTCTCGTGTTGAGCGTGGGAGGGGGCCCATTTTGGCGACTAGGTAGAGGGCTGCGGCGGAGACGTCCTGGAGATCTTGTTAGTGGGAGCTGAGATGCTGTGTGGAATTCGTTGCTTGCGACTCACGCTGAATTCTCCTGCCATTGGCGACTCGACGAGCCAGTATCGCGCCAGCAAGACGTTTGCCTGTGCCGTTGTCGATTGCGGCAGGTCGAGTAGCACACCGGCGGCCTGTGTTAGGCACTGCGTCGCATAGAATATGACATCCTGGAGGTCGGCCGGTAGTGAGCTGAAGGAATTGCGCTTGTAGAGCTGCTCGGCCGTGGCCAAGGTGTTGGTCATATGCGCCATGGTTTGCGCCCTCGATATGCCGTCGTCTCGGTGGTATTTTCACCTTGTCAAGGTAGCAATCGCCAAATAACCGTCGTCGCAAGGCTGTGAAGAGTGTCGAAGTTTCGAGGTTGCTGGGATTCCGGTGTCCCTATTGGTCAAAGCTGAGAGCTGTCAGGGTAAGTTAGGCGCGATGTCTGCCGCGCGTGTGTCGTCACTTTTCCCAAGGAGAGACAGAACCCGGCCGGAAACAACTGGAGGCGCACCTTTCTTCGGTGCTTAGGTAGGCTGGCCCGAGCTTCTTCTTCCAGGTTGCGACCAGAGGACGTGGGGACGCTAAGCCGAAGCGGAGGCTGAGTGGGGCTGCGCTGCTTCGCGGGCTTTGGGTACTACTAGGCTCTGTGGCTCTCCGGCGTACCTGAGGCTTTGAACTTGCGGTGGTTACGAACCAATTCAAGGCAGCTGCGTGGAGAAAAGGTCCCCCGGCCTTCTGGACTTCACGCTCGCATCCCGCCTCAGCTTGCGAACGACACGAGAGCGATTATACGGGCCATCATCTACACACCCGGACCACTATCCTTCGGCCCACGACAAGCACTGTTGCATTCCGACACTGGTCAATGGATGGGCTCATGTGCCGAATCCCCAAATAACCATCTACACCCGTTCCCTCTTCCCCGCATCGGCTTTGTCGGCCAGTCGTGATCCGTCCAAGCAACCCGACGACATCATCGATCGCACCCTTCGCAGACGACGAACGACGACGACGATAACGAGACCACCGTAGCCATGGATTACAGCGCCTCCATCCACGAAGAGAGCGGCGCATCGCCCTGGGGAAACTCCCCAGGCTCCTCGCCCCGGCCCAACCAGACCAACTTCTCATCGCTTGGTGCTGACCTCGGCGGCGACCCGGCCGGATCCCCCTTCACCTACTCACCGAGCCCCGGCAACGCAACGCCGCAAGACCACCAGGAGGGCTTTGGCGGCGAGCAGCAGTACAGACGACCAGACACCGCAAGCAGCACCCAGTCGACCACCGAGGTGGAAACACAGGAGTCGAGGACCGAAATAGGCTCAGAAGCCCGCTCCAGCGGCGATGGTCCGGGGCCTGAGCTGCCTCAAAAGTCGCAAGAACAAGGTGGCCCCGCGGCCGCGGGCGGTCAGGCTCAACAACAGCCGCGCAAGCCTCAGCAGCCTCAGTTCAGGCTACAGGCCAAGATCACCGGCCTCGAGCGCACCGGGAAGAAGGACCCCATCTTGCGGTTCGATGTTCATGTAAGTAGCAAATCCCCTAATGCGGTGGAAGTTAATTGTCTAACACGCCGTAGACCAACCTCCCGCGGTTCCGCACCACGCAGTACCGCGACGTGCGTCGTTTCCATTCCGAATTCGTCAAGCTTGCGGAGCACCTGATTTCAGCCAACCCGGAATGCCTGGTGCCTACCGTACCGCCCGCCGTAACTTCGGCCGGCGCTGGCACGGACGAGGACGAAGCCCGCGTCAAGGCCTTATTACAACGGTGGTTCAACTACGTGTGCAGCAACGAAGTCCTTATGAGGGACGATGAGATGGTCCTCTTCGTTGAGAGCGATTTCGGTTACAGCCCCATGGTCAAGATGAAGCAGCCGGCGACGGGTGTGCGCAGAAAGATTCTGAAGCAGTTTGCACCCCCGCCGGACGACACTCCGGAGCTCCAGGAGGCTCGTCCGATTGTCAAGCTCTTCTACCTTGGGACCATGGATGCCGGCCACAAGGTCGATAAGCTCGTCAAGTCTCGTCGAGGTAAGTCCAACGTCAATCCTTCCCAACAACGCGCGGGCATTTGCAGGTCTGATACCACCTAGGTCTGGGATTGGCTGAATCCGACTTTGGCGTCAAGCTCGGCTCCATGCATATCCAAGAGCCCCATCAGGGTCTCGCCAATGCCTATCGTAAGTTGGGCAAGATCGTACAAACCGTCGGTGATT